AGCAGCACATGTGAGTGTATGTGTCTGCAATGGGCTTAGCTCTTATTTTCGTGTCTCAGCATCTGGCTGGTAAGCGAGATGGATTTTTGGTCTCTCCGCCCTTTGAAAGGGTTGTGGATCCGTGGGGTCCTCCATTTCTGGGGCCCGAAGTCAATCTGGCGTACTATACACTGCAGAAACGTCGAACTTATGATCAAGTGGGTACGTAGTTCTCAGTTTGCGGACAGCTGCATTCTAGATAACGTGGAACTGCATATAACATATCTTACCTGCTGGCTGAAGCACCTTCAGGCAGGACTCGGTGGATAGAATGCATCGCATGTTTCCTTCTATTCATTTCCTTTTCACTGCTTTTTCTGAACCTTTCTCATCCGGGAAATTTGATGGGAACTCACCTGCTTCCCTTTTCTCTAAGTTTTGTTATGATAATCTTTGGTAATCTCTTTATTGCAGGTCCTAAATCTCCACGGGGGAATGTCTTCGGCTGTGGCCTCCACGAGCTTCAAAATTCCGCAAACAGTCTAATCCACTATATTCTTTATCTCTTTTCCTTTTCCTATTCCATATATTCACTTTTAGTTTCTTTTAAGCTCGTTTCAGTCTCCACTCTCCTTTTCCGTTTTTGAAAAGAACAATACTAAGGCGAACAATACTAAGGACTTTCCCAGGAACATACAGCCTAATTTCCCCATGAGCATTCCCCGTAATTCCCACACCGGGCTTTCCACTTTGGGATCGATTGTCAGATAGTGTTACACCATAGAGGGTCGCTAGCTGCGTGTATTCTCCTACAATACATGATGCCACGACAAAGCCACGTGCAAGTGACTGAAAGCATGATACACAATACAACCAACCCCCTGGGGAAATTACAGTTCTCTGAATTCTATTTTCCTTTGAAAGATCCCCGAATTGTCCTGGGTATCCCCATACAATTGTAAGGGTTCGCTGCTTTCACTGTTTGGCCCAGCTCCATTATCCAGGCTTCAGGATGAATATATAACTCTATGTTGTTTCCTTCCTCCTCCCCCCTTCTACTTTCTACTTTCTACTATTTACTTTATACATCAGTTCCCAGAAAGTCTAAATAAGAATCTCCCAATATTCCAACTACCAAACCTTGCAAGAGATATACGATTCTCCTCAAACTACCAAACAATTTTCAAGCAAAAATGTCTCCTGATACCGTCAACATTGCCCCACCAAAAGCCCCCGAGACCGGTAAGAATTGCTTCCATGTCATAAACGCCGTTCCTCTTCTGAGCCTTAATGCTGACCAGACCATCATTTTCTAGGCCCGGTCTTTGTCCGCAACAGCGGCGGCCAGTGTATTGTGATGTAGAATATCTACATCACGATACGTGGCATCTGCCACGGGGGGAACATTTTACAGAGTGCTTCGACCTCAGTTACATTGATATTGAAAACGACCAATTTTTCTTACTCGCTCCGTGGATCCAGAGTTCCTCCAGTTCTCTTTGACATTGCTCCTGTTATTTGCATGTTTGGGAACAGTTATGCGAAGTTTTCGATCAAGAGTGCGTGCTCACACTCCGAGAGGCGATTGTGGAGAGGGGGATAAAAGAAGTCAAAACTACCAATGGTCGCTACTCGCTGCTTTCCTTGCGACTAGCACATCTTCTCTTTACCTCCTCTTCTTCGGATGAAAATTACGCAGCCAACTATCGATCGTAACCTCAATACCATAACTACCCGTCGCAACCAGCTATGATATTACTAGGGAAAAAGTCAAATAAAGGAAAAGAAAGGAAAAGGAAACGAACACTACAGACACTCTCCCGAACTCTGCTTCTCAACGATACACAACTGCCCTTTTCGTATTGAGAGACGCAATGCTCCTGGTATCTACCCGGATTACCTGATGCGGTCTTGCCTTCTTCACGGAGTTGTTTTAGCGAGTACGTTTTCTATATCCGCGCAAATCAAAATGTATTTGATCTTGGCATGGAGGCTCTGTGAAATCTTCCCGTTTTTCCCACTATCCTTCCCATTTTTTTACCTATTATTCTTGACGATATTGATGCGAAAGTCCTCCCCCTCCCCCCCACACCCGGCCCCCAGGCCCCCATCCCCATCCACTCACCATTTTTTCAATCTGATCAGGCAATGCCAGTTATGTTGTGATGTTATCCCTTCGTTTTTCTCAGTTATCAGAACGTTGTACTCGTACTTAACATTGGATATGTACCGCTTTCTGGCCCCTTCTTCCGGTAGCTTCTCCGACATCACTATCACCCTTATCGGTCTTCACTCGCAGAACAAGTCCATGCAATCCACGACTTTAGTTTGTGCTGTCCGAGTGAACATTCGGAAGTAGCTTGGGGAAGAGAGTCCTAGGAAGGGGAAAAAGAAAAGGTGAACCTCATTGGTCATGCATGCATGGATGGATGAGGCGGGTGTTGGATACATGGGGTTTAAAAAATTGAAATGGGATATTTTCTACTTTCTCTCTTCCCTTCCCTTCGTTTCCCTGTGTCCTTTCCAACTCAGCCGGCCGCCATAAATGCAATGTGTATTTGTTGCAAACCCCAATTTCTTTTCATCAATTTTTGTTTCCATTATCATTCTTTCTCGAATATTCCATGTTTTATGGCTTCCATTTGCCAAATTGATATCGCCATTATTAGGCCATTTCACGACACTCATTATACCCTGATCCACTATGTATTTCTTCCCCCAATATGATGACTTCTACTTGTTTTTTTTTTTTACTCTGGGACTTTTTGACTATTTTTTCGCCATGATTTTTTCTTTCTCACAAGGGATAGGCTGGGCATCTTGGACGGGCCAGTTCCCCTTTTTTTGTATTGTGCTCTGCTTTGCCTGTGCTGAGCGCAGCAAGTTCAGACGACATATACATTACATGACATTTATCTATTCAATCACTGGTGGGTGTTTTCTTGTTCCTCTTGCAATCAATGATACTTTATATTTAGTAGTAAAAAGTGGAATTAAGACGAGAGTAGATGTAATTATACATTAAATTGGGCGAGGGGGGAAGCTTTCCTTTCCTTTCTTTTCCTTTCCTTTCCCACGTAGCTCTCTCTTCCGGCCTTTTTCATAACTTCGTATCAAGGTATCTTGAGGGTCATTGAAATCATTAAGAGGAGAGATAAGAATAACGCTTGTGCAAGGGAGGAGGGATAGTCGCCTCATTTCCGCATTGTATGCGGTGTATTCATATCATAATCTATTAAAAGAAACCACCCCAAACATAAGCCCCTCTCATGGTGTATATGGCGGGGGTTTGTCATCGTCAATGCATAAAGGGCTAACATCGGGAAGATCCTGAAGCACAAACTCGCCCTCCTCATCAGGGTCGAGCAAACTTTCGGCAGCACTCGAATAAGTGTCGGTGGACGGCGAGCTGGGACAATCATCCTGCGTGCTGATATGTGGTTGATTTTTCGAAGGGAGTGGAGGTGCTTGACGTTGGTTTTGGTGCTGATCGCGTGTTAATGTTGCTGCTGGTGCTGGTGCTGCTGCTGCTGCTGACTCTGCTGCTGGTGTCGGATCCAATGAATCGAAATTTGGCGGTGGTATCTGGGGCGGGTTGGCATGCTGGAAGCTCCTGCGTAAGTAACTTGAATACCTGACTTGGCAAGGGGGGAAGGAAGGGTAAAATTAGGTATGTAAAAATATGTATCTATGGAGTATGCAAGGAAAATGCTACACAAAGTCCCAATTTTCTCCCTTACCGTAAAATTGCCCTGGGGGGGACAGATAAAGCCACTGGCTTCTCCCGACGATATCCCCACCAACAGCACATTATCCCCCTGAGCGCCAGCAGACGCAGGAATCGGAAGAGGATCCTCCATACCTCCTTTTGTTCCTCCTCCTATCCCAATACCTCTCTCCTGTCCACGCTTTTCTCCTTCAGCCCTTCTACTCCTCTCCCGCTCCCTCTCTTTCTCCCTCTCCTCAATCTCCGCAAAATTCTTTGCCTTCAAAACCACCCCTTCCCCCTTCCTCACCTCTCCAACGAGCTCCCCATCCTCCCAAACCCCATTCCTCAACCACAAGCCCGAAAACTTCCCCTTCGAAATCTGGCAACCCTCGATATCGCAATCCTTCAAACTCGAATCCTCAATCATGCTCTGCGAGATTTTCACATTGTCGAGCTTGCTCCGTTTAATGGTGCACGGCAATGGGCCAACGATGGAGTTGCGGATATTGCTTTTGTCGACTTCGGTTTTTGCGATATTTGTAACCGGATTTGGCGTCGTGGTGGTAGTGGGGATGTTATTGTTGTCGTCTGGCATGCACAGGAATTCAGACCCACTCAGCTTGGAATGCGTGATGCGCCCCGTGCCCGATAGTGTTGACCTGCGCAGGTGCGATCCCAAGATGTACTCTGCGTTTGACACAGTGACTCGTCGCATGTTGGTGTGGTTGATGTTGCTGCTGGAAACGGTGCTGCGGGATATATGACTGTGTGAGAGGGTGCTGCTGCCTTTGCTGCTGCTCCCCCTCCTCTTGCTGCTGCTGCCGCTGCTTTCTGCATTATTGCTACTATCTAGACCTGTTCTAGATCTCTGAGATTTCAAAGTTGAGTGCCAGATGTATGTATTTTGGATTGTTGTTGAACTGTCCAGGTCGTCTAATACGAGATCGTGAAGTTGGGAGTGGCTGACAGTGGGGTGGTATGCAGAGTTGTTCGCGGGAAGGATGGTAAGGAATGTTAGAGCGCAGTATCTTGCTGTTGGGATTTTGGAACCTGATTTTAACTTCATGGTTGGAATGGCTGTTGGATAGGATGCGAAAAACAAAGAAGAATGGATCTGATGTTACCGCGCATCTACGACAGACGAGGTATAAAGAATTGAAGACGGCTGATAAGTTTGCGTCGGAATGATTGATCCTCGTGTTCGGGAGTTAGTATTCCCTGCAATCGGAAACGCCACAGTTGCTCATTCAAACATCACTCTAATTACTGCGCCCTCTTCTAAGGCGGAAGGACTATAATATCATTTAGGTCCTATGCTGTGGTTTCCTTCGTCGGCCATTGCACTCCTCTTTAAAAACTCCCATAATGTGTACGTAAATATCTATATTTTGTAGAGAGCTCAAATCGTTGAAGCAGTTAAAACCTCTGTTATACCCGTGTCTGTATGACTAGCTGCCAAATTTAAACGAAGCAGGTTATAGTACAGAGAGAGTTGAGGCGACAGACCTGGACAATAAAATGAACCCATAAACGTTTATAAGAAAAATAAACTAACAACTGACAAACTTGACGAAGAAAGCCAACTGGCAAAACTTGGACTTTATTGGAGTCCTTTGAAGGCAAGATGATACTCGAAAGTTTTCAGTTGGATGACCCCTCCTGCCCGGCGTTTACCAACAAGCCAGCCGAGGCATCTTCAATCTCCCCAATGATATGTAACATCAACTCCGCTGCACCTTGGCCCACCTGCTCCGCCTCGTTGCCAATCTCCATCTCAACCCGAGCCTTGATCTCCGCGTCCGTCGATATCTGCTGCACGAACGTCCTCAGCGGAGCAAGGAACTTAGACTCGAAGGCTGGGTGGAGTTCCTGTATCTGTAGCTGTTTGTAGAGGGTTGCGGATTGGGTGAGGAAATAGTACAGATTCAGGATGGCGAGATGGTAGGGAAGCAGATGTTGAGTAAATGTCAGCCAGGTGTTGATGGGATGGTCGGTTTTGGCGGTCCCGAGCGAAAGCCAGTCATCCGGGATGGGTTCGTAGATGCGTGGGAAGAGGATGGCGAAGTGAGTGGGGTCGATGAAAGGGTTTTTTTTCTGACCAGGGTGTACGTTTGGCGTTGTTGCTGCCAGGAGATCCTCCTTGAGCCATCCTATTGCTGGTTCTCGGGCGTATTGTAAATCCTCGTCCTCGAGAATTTGTCGGATGAGATTAAAACGGACGACTGGGTCGGGGTTGCTGTGAAATATTGTTGACGGAACGCGCTCCATCCGGCTAAAACTGCGGAAACCAGGCGCACGGATACAAGCCGTGAGCTGGATGATGAATTGGGGTAAATTCAGTTTCGTTTGGAGGAGATGAAGATGGGTTAGAACTCGCAATGACGGCCAGCGAACAGAGCGAATCGACCAGAGCTTCGGGCTCTTCCATCACAACTGAATATGGAGATTCACCTTCGCCGAGGAAATGTGAATATATGGCGGCAAGATCAGGGAAGACTGGAATAGCTTTTACTGGCTGGCCTGACGAGAGCAGTTTATCAGCCGCAGACCGCGCTGCCAGCAGCAGGAGACAACCGTGTCTTTGAAGGTGGATATCTTCCGCGTGTTTCGGAGTTTCTTCAAAGTCTAGAGGAGGTGGCTGCTGGTCACCAGGCTTGGAAATGATATCCAGCAGTTCATTTGTTTCTATGCCAAAATCTCGTGAAAGTGCCTAAAGATAGGATTAAAGAATTAATTAGTATCATGAGAAATCAGCAATAGGAAAAAAAAATAGCGGGCGCTAAGGAATTCAGACAAACATACAATAATCTTCCCAACGGTCATATCGCGCTCTTTCAAATAGTCCTCCTTCCCAAACGCCCCAATTAAGCTTAGAGAGGAGTGCATCTGGTTCCTAGTATCCAATTTCTCCTGTAACCGAAGTGCCCACAGCATGCCAGCAGGCGTCGCATTGACGCAATGTAGAAGGTATGTTTTCAAAAGCTCAATGAGACCAAACTGCATAAGTCTATTGATCAAAGCGCTTTCCTCAGACCCTACAGTTCCGGGATGCGATTCAGCTTCGGGATCTGGCGCAGTAGTCTCTTGCGCACTCTGCGTCAATAATATTGATTCGCTCGTATTCCGCGGCGGGAGACGGGGACGTTTCTTTCCCGCTATGTCTCTGAAGAATTCTAGCACTGCAGCTGTCGTTTCCACGGTCGGGAATGCAGTGTATGCTTCCAGCACGGCTTGGAGGGAGGTAGCAACAAAACGACTGGGATATCTGGTCTGGATGCGGGAGTGGAGGACTGAGAGCATGGAAAGGAGACAGTTGAATTGTAGGACATGGACGGGCACGTTGGAGGTAGCCGCTGATGATTTATCGTCTGCATTTTCGTCGTTGTCGTTCATACGGGGTTCCTCCTCCAGTTTAACCTCTCCAACGGCTTCACTGAGTCTCCTGTCGTCCTCTCTGTCCATATCATCTCCATCCTCGTCCTGCACAGGCTCCAACTTCATCAATGAATTACAAACCCGCAAAATAACCTCTCGCGGATTCCCTAGCCTGGCCACATCCTGCAGGCATTCTTGGGACGCCGGCATCATAGGGAGAAGCAGCTGGACCAGGTCCCAGCCAATATTTACGGTCAGCTTTTCATCTTGGAGAAGATTGTGGAGAATCGGGAGGCGTTCCCGCGTCAATTGGTATTCTAGGATGGTGAGATAAGTCAGGTAATCTGTTTCGGGTGGGAGGGCTTTGACAAGAGGGTCATCTCGTTCATCAACAACCATGATGGCGATGCTCTGGAGGGTGAGAAAGGCTGTTCTTATGCAGGTTCTTATGCAGGTTTCTTTGCAGGGCGCATTAAATAGGAGCGTGGAGGTACAGAGCTGAAACAGATGTTCGTGTCAGCCGCAAACCTCACTCAATCACGGGGTGAATAAAAGAATGGGAATTTTACGGATGCAGAGTCGCAAGAGCTGTAAAGCAGTAAAGATTGTTTCCGTCCAAGCCTTAACATTCAAAACATCTAAAATCTTGTCTCTGGATTTTTGTTCCTTGGTTAAATTAAGGTTGATCAAGGGATGACGTAATACCAATATCGGAATCCTCCCCACACTGACGCGCATACATGAAAGGTATGCAAGAAAAATATCAAAGGAAAAAGTAAATGAGTTGATATATCGTCCGCACAACGTCAAACTATTATAGCCGCCATTAGAGCACCCCAACCAATCCTCGTTAAATCTTCCATCCCTATACCCAAAAGCCTATTCGGAACAAGCGCCTCGAGAGCAACCTCATCATCTCTATCGACTTCCCCACCTTCTCCCCAGGGGATATCCCGCGTAAACACCGCCGCAGCGCACAGCTACAGGTTCTGCACACTTGCCACCTTCACCGCCAGAGGCAAGATGTCCGGCGTGACCACGAAAATACCATTAAACGGGCTTATATTCGTAGTAGCTACCTCTTCGTTAGAACAGCCGTTCGTCGTCAGGAACAACTCACCGTTTTCCAGATAGGTCCTGGCACCCTCCGCAAGTGCTTTCCCCAAAAATCTCATCCCAGTTGCACCAGCCGCCCAATGCGGAATTGAAGGTTCGGGTGATTTGGATTGGGATGGGGTTGTAATCGCCGCGCGTAGGCGGTCGAGTCCGGCGAGAGGACGAATGGGTAAGGACGGTCCTCCCTGGGAGCTCCGGTAGGGGTGAAGGTGTACAGTATTTGCGCCGGGGATAATTGGGATTGGCGGTTTGGTAATAGACTTGCCTTGTGACGAAGGGATCGGAATGGTGATTTATCTAACTTACAATCAAAGACTTCGAGGGCAGTCCAGAAGCATTACATTCGCTGAATTTCCAGAAACAATCGATGGGGCAATTCTCGCGCTTCACTCGCGCTTCAATTAAAGAAATGCCACAGTTGAGAGCGGCCCATCAAGCGCGAGGTTTTCCAATGCCTGAGATGGGACATATCTCGGGCCGCTAACACATTGCTGCCCACAGCCCTGCAACAAGTTCAGTTATTCTATTTTATCAATATGTAAGACCTATTGATAGAGTGCATCTTATCGCCATCAAGAGAATTAATTCATTTCCCTCCAGCAATGGCACACCAAGGGCCTCCTTGCGCTGATGTTCCCTCATTGGGGCGAGCTCGAATACTATGCATGGATGTCATCAGTATCGGCGTCTTGAACAACTCCAAGACGCTGCAACGCCATCTCGTGTCCAATCTGGAGCACTCTGCACATGTTACGGAAGCTCGAGGGCCGTTTTCCCAGTGGTCTTTGTTTTGAGAGTCTGTTCCGCCCCTTGCTGGCATTCTTTGGTTTGAACCTCTGGTTACTCATTGCGGTATGTAAATATATCCATCATTGGTGGCGGCAGGACACATTGTTTCGTCCAACTATGACTTGGATTTCGGGTTACACTTACCGTGTACACATTGTTTAAAAAAGTTGAACGCTCAAATTCTATCACCTCATCTAAAACACACTCACATCACACTAACTTCATACTCACCATCTCAACAAATGCACCACCACCACCTCAACACCGAGTTAGGGATTCGGATTAGAGGTTAGAGATAAGCAATTAGGGGTTAGGGGTTGGGATTCGGTTAGGATTAGGGGTTAGTTAGAGGGTTAGAGCCTGAGAGCGATGATATAACTAAGCCATTTCATTGTGGGTTCTTCCGATGTGTGTATTAATAATATTTCATGGTAATTATATTTGAGTAGGGTGGTCTTTGATTGAGATGTTTACATCACTGCACGATTCTGAAGGATTTTCTGCCCAAGATTTAAGCATGTTCCCTTTAGATTTGAAGAAGACCCTGTTCAAATGTCTGACTAATCAAGTACAAGGCATAACTAACTAGTTAAGTAACTGACGACTATTTTTGCTCTGGAGGCTCAACTTTAACGACACATACCAGAGGAATCGCCTCTGTTTGATAATTATTATAATTTAGTGAATCAAGGTTGACCTGAATGATGTCACCGATCTTCTCTGCCGCTCGATCCGTCTATTCGATTCCTTTCGCCTCTTCTGCTGTACTATGGAGGTCAAAATCACAGTGTCTGCTCGGATGCACCGGCAACGCGTTTGGCTAAGGGGAAAAAAGGTTTCCAGCTGCAGCTCCAATCTTTGAATCCACCGCGGGATCAAAACAAACAAATAAACACCAACAGGATTTCATGATATTATTACGGCGTCCCCACCAATAATAGCCTGCGGCAGAATCGGGGTTCCGTGGGTCGTTTCCCACAATCATTGACAACCTTAATCGTTCTTGAGGTTTGGTGTTGATTGGCCGTGATGCCGGGGGATCCATGGCACCCGTGGTCGCCAAATAATTGAGAGCCCAAGGAGCTGTGTTCTTCAGCAAAGAGAGAATGTGGGGTAGCAGCAAAAAAAACGTATATAAAGTCAAAAGACTGGGATTAGAAAGATCGATCACAAATCGTTCTGGGTGCTTCGGCAAATATTCCCGACATCTGAGAAGAGAAAAGAGATCCCTTCCTCTTTTTTTCATCCTTCTAAGTCTCTCTCTGTTCACGTTTTCCGCTATAGTATTCTCTCTTTCTGCTTCTTCTCTCTTCTCCGTATGGATACTGCTTTACGGATGAATTAATGATTCTCTTCTTTTAAGCTCCCTTTCTCTTTCTTCTCTTGGTCCTGTCTCCTCTTGCCCGGAGTGGTTGTTGCCTTTCTCTGCCTGGGCTTACTACCTTGTTGAAACTGGTGCATCCCTGATGTGAGTGTTCCGCAAAGAAAAACAAGAGCCTCGATTCCCCCGTGATCTTGCTGTAGCAAACCTCTTCATCTTCCTCCCCCGCTACCGCATTCCCCGCTGTGGCTGCCAGGAGACACAACTTTGCGGTGCCGTTGTCCCGGGCCGTGGCAGCGGCCTCAAAAGCTCCGGCAAGGATAAGAAAGAAGCAATTGCACCCACTCTCTCCTTCCCCTGCGTGCGCACCACAACCCCAAAACGATAATGGCGACCGAAACCAAGCACTTCACCTCCACCTCTCCTCCCACCTTTACCTCCTCGCCTCTGCGCAGTCAGCTCACTGGATCGCATAACGCTTCCCGTCTACAATTCAACCACCTAATAAAAACCCGTGTCAAATCCGCGTCCGCTCCCCCAGCCTCAGCCGCAGCCTCCTCAAGCTCAGACACAACATCAATGTCAATACTAACCTCTTACCCTTATGCGCATCCCGTAGACGACTCCGCCCCGATCCGACACGACAAACCCAGCCTCCTCAGACGGTTCACTAACCGCCTCCAGCTCGCCTACTACCGCTACGAAGTCACCTATGGCATCTACGTCATGACCCCCGAGGAGAAATTCGTCGCCAACACCTTCCTGCTTGTGTTTATCTCGCTGCTTCTCTGGGGCTTGTTTTTATATTTCCCGCCCTTGCTCTTCCAGAAACTGAGCCGGCTAGCGTGGATTTTGACCGGGGCGGGCATCGATGGCGTGAGGGAGAGAGTGTCCGCGGAGTTGAAATTGGTCAATGGCAGTACTGGTACTGGTGCGGTTCCTTGTCCCGGCGGCCCTTGGAGTACTGGAGTCACCATAGCCATCTCTCCAACAGTTTCTCATCAACTGCTACCGCGGTCTTGAGTGCAAGAAAGAAAAAAAAGAAAAGGAAATCTCAATTTTGCTCCGCTATGAAAGGCGTTTGCCCTCTCTTATTCCGGTTTGTTTTTTGGTTTTTGGTTTCTTGAACATTACATTCCTTGGTTTTCCGGTACGTTTTCTTGGGTTTTTAACGTGAAATCACGAGCCAATGATGATGACTTGCAGGCCAAAATTTGCCTGCCAAAAATATGCATATGTATATTTTTAATGAAGGCAGGTATTGCTGACAACAAGATTTGTTTTTCCTTTTGATCTAGGATCAGCATAATAATATTATTAACCACGTGTTTTCGCCGGTTTTCCTCGCGTTTGTCACCCTTGCGCTCATACATGTATGTGCGCCGTCTACATTGTTAGAACGGGGAACAATTAATAATTGCATTTGATTTAGTCTTTCCTTGTGTGTTCTGTGGTGGTGGTAATTTTTCTATTTGGAGTTGCATACGTCAATTGCGAATGAATTAGTTGGCTTAACAAATACCCTGGTCCCCCATATCACCTCACCGCTCTCTACTTGATCGAAGTGGTTGGAACCCGCCCACGCTGTTTGTGTCTGACTTTCAACAAAAAGAAGACTATATCGTGCAATTCACGCTTGATATATGGATTTTTTCCCTCTCTTTTTTTCTCCCCTAAGTCAAGGCGCAGAACATCCCTTGTATAGATAATTTGTGGGCACTTCAGATCCGCCACTCTACTCACATGCACGCCCAGATCGATTTCTTCGAGCTATGGAATGTAGAGATGTCGATTTTTCAAAATTTTTGTCTCACACTAAGAATTTAAACTGAAATCTCATTCCTAGTGTAAAATGATATCATCGAACTCTGGCAGTGACACAAAACATGAAAAGGCGAATTGCTGTAAATCCTTGTCATCTTTGTGTACCGGTACAACTAGACACAGGCAGGCAAGGTTTAACCATCACACATGATAATAACTGGTGCTGTTATTGGAGTCAGTACTTTATATTTATGTAGTTAAAGCCCCCAGGGGATGCCTAAGCCCTCCCAACCTCGGGCGTGACACTCTGATTCAAACTTCATTTTGTATGTTTTTATGTATGGCAGATAGGACATCATCTGATTGATCTGACTGCCCCTTCGCTGTTTTCTTTCTACATGATGCTTTTGTTGTCTGTCCCAAGCACCATGTATGAAAAACAATGTCAGATTCATTCAGATACTTTTTCAGGGTCTTTAACACCCATTGCCTTCAATACAGTACAGATATCACTGCTTGCTTTTGCTGAAGGCAATCTCAAGATAGAGACTGTTGAAGTCAGGCTGTGGATGGAATAAGAACCTTGGCAAACCTCAGCACAGGCAAACAAATACGTGCAAGGGATATATATATATATATATATATATGGAGCATTTGTTGCCAGCTAAACCTGAACCACCCCATCAAATATGAAGAGCTAAAAAATTAACACGAGAAAAAGAGAATTCCTCTCCAGAGTGGAGCTCATATTTACGCCCTATGTTTGCCCTCTTAAACATCAAACCTTCATCCATATATCCAATCCTTTGATCCAACATAGTGTCCTAGATAGAAGGAGAAGAAACGGCGGCGATCTCTAATCAAAGAAAGCAGCCTTGGGAGGCACAGGAAGTGACAACACTGTCTGCACACACAGATCTTGAAATAGTAGAGCTCTGAGTACGAATCGAGGAAGTATGAGTTGCTGGGTACAGGGTACAGGGTACAGGGTGCATGCGGCCTGTACTGCCCCTATTTTACACAGTGCCCAGCAGATCTCAGGATGTAGCTTGCTCTTATCCTGTGGGAGGAACAAAATCTTCCCGTTGTTGTGCAGACAAATCCTCCTGCAATTGAGAAAGCACAGTCAGTGGTGCTGTTGAAATCAATGGAGCTTGGCTTGCTTGGCGGCTTGGCAGCGTGGTCCGGCTGTGGCTGTTCCAACTGGGTGCGGCTGAGGCAGCCAACGACAACAAAACTCCCGCATCCCAACTCCCCTTAGCTATCCAGGCTATCCAGGCCATCCTGTTCTCACCGTGCCACGGCCAATCGTCGCCCCTGTTCTGCCGTGGATCAGCCACTAAAATGAACCAGGCCAACCCCCATTCCTCCAAGCAACAGAGCGGTGCTGTCGTCAGAGTTTCGGAAAATTGATTTCGAAACCCGCCTCCTTCGAACGAACCCATCACTTTTTTTTCCTGCCTTGTCCATCCCCCGATTCCTGCGTCTATCTCTCCGTTTTACTACCCCATCGCATTCGTTCTTTCATCGCCATCTCCCGCGCCCTCCGTCCAGCGCTCTCTTCCGGGAGAAAGGTGAAAACAAAATCCGTGAGAACATGGCAGCGAACGACTTCTACCAGCCTTACACCTCAGACCACTCCCAACAGCAACAACAGCAACAGCAACAGCAACAGCAACAGCAACAGCAACAGCAACAACCCTTAAATCCCGACAGAACGTCACCTCCGCCAGTCTGGTCCAACCAAAGTCTTCCTCCACTTCGCACCCCTTCGCCATACGGTGCGTATGGAAACCCCTATGACCGCGACGGTTGTCAGTATAATCCCCGCTCAGACCATGGCTATCCCCCTTCCCCTGGAGTTCAAAGTTTCGGAGGAGCTGTCGGCGGAGGCATAGGCATGACGGGAAGGCCGCATGGCACTGATTACTACGCAGACGATATCCCTCTCAAGGCCAATGCTCAGCCAACCACTGGTGGACGGCCGGAGTGGATGGATCCAGATACCCACTACCCCCTTGAGCGAGAGAGCCAACGCGTGCCACTGAACCCAAACCCGACAGCGAGACACTCGAAGGGATGGGAGAGGAAAGGGAGAAGGTGGCTGAAGAAGAAGATACCTTTTGTAACGTACTTTGTTACCCTGGTGCAGGTTGCTGTGTTTATTGCGGAGTTGGTTCGGAGTGGTAAGTGATTTTTTTTTCTTTCTTTGTTTGTACTCATCGTGTGTTTTCATTTTCATTTTTTCATTTTACTTTTATTGACGATTCCCCAGCCCAATTGACAGGATCCCCAATCATGACCAAACCACAGTTTAACCCCATGATCGGCCCATCGCTCTATATTCAGATATACATGGGTGCCCGATACGTTCCGTGTATGCGGAACGTGGAAGGCGTCCAAAACAACCCAAATGCCACGAACGGCCTCGTCCCCTTCCCTTGCCCAAATACCACATCCTCAGACCCCTCTGCTCCCGAAAACCTATGCCGTCTCTCCGATCTCTGCGGTTTCAAAAAGACCAACAAGGTTCATGATCCGACACCCAACGGCAGCCTTGACGATAGACCAGAGCCAAACCAATGGTTCCGCTTTATCGTCCCCATCTTCCTACACGCCGGTCTGATCCATATCGGATTCAATATGATGGCCCAACTCACCATCGGCGCAGACATGGAACGCGCAATCGGTTGGTGGCGTTACGCCGTCGTCTACTTCGCCAGCGGCATCTTTGGCTTCATCCTCGGCGCTAATTTTGCGCCTGCCGGCATCGCCTCCACCGGCGCCTCGGGGAGTCTATTCGGGATCTTCGCCCTTGCTTTTCTTGACCTTCTGTATTCCTGGAGTAGTCGGTCGAACCCCGTCAAGGAACTCCTCATTATGCTGATTACGATCGCCATCTCCTTCGTCCTCGGCCTCCTACCCGGCTTGGACAATTTCTCGCACATAGGCGGTTTCATGGTTGGCTTGGTGCTGGGCATTTCTGTTCTTCGCTCACCGGATAAGCTGCGCAAGCGCATCGATTCGATAACTCCTCATCACGATCCCTATGACCCACTAAGTGCTAGCGGGGCCCTAGGAGCCGGAGCTGGGGCCGGCGGTGCAATTGATAATCCAAAGACGGCGTTCATGGTAAAACAGCCTGTGAAATTTTTCCAGGGGAGGAAGCCGCTCTGGTGGGCGTGGTGGGTTATTCGGGCGGGGACCTTGGTGGGGATTCTGGTTGCGTTCATCCTGTTGTTGAATAACTTTTATAAGTATCGGTCGACGTGTGGGTGGTGCAAGTATTTGTCGTGTTTGGTATGTTGTATTTTTCGTTTCTTGTCTTTTCATGCCTTTCCTTCCTCGCTACGATGCTGGATATGATGAGTTGTTATTGCACTGTGCGTATTTGGTTATGGTGCACTGCTAACTTCTCTCTCTATCATAGCCTATTGCAGGGAAAAATTGGTGCGATGTTGGGAAGATCGGTTAGGAAAAAGAACAAAAATCGACCACCCTCGGCCAGCTACCTACGTATCTTACCAGCCTGCCTCTCTACTTACCCTTCTGTCTTGTATTCCGTCCCGCCTTTTCTAACGACCGACATGCCTCCCTCCCGGTGCCTCTCCCAATCCGCCAAGTTCCTAAGAACCCACATGGCGAAAGATTTCTTCCTTTTCTTTGCTTTACCCCTTACACTTCTGTTTACCCGGCATCTACATAGAGTAATACCATTTTGTTGATTATTTATCTATATTTTTTTTGTTGCTTTACCTTCATTTATTCGGTGTATGGCGGTATAATATCCTTCTTCCTTTTAAATCTTTTCTTTTCTCTCTCGAGAACCCGTGTTGTTTCCCTGTCTTGTTATCTGTCTCGTTCTATTATCTTCCTCGGAATTTGGAAGATGGATACTCCAATTTGTTTCACCCTTCAGCTCCTTTCGCTGCCGTTTAATGGTTGGTTTGTTCGGTACATAGAGATTTTAGCGTTAGATCTTTTTTGCCCCTTTCAATTTTTCTTCCCACCTAGTTTATCTGTCGGGTTGTGCTGTTTATTTCACTCCCACCCGGTTTTTAATTGTTGCCTGAAATGTCTTCACATTTTAATATACTCTCATGACACTTCCTTTTTGTTTATGCTCTGGGTGGGTTTTTGTGTGGGAGTAATTCATCTTTTCTATTTCCCTTCTCCCAATCTTTCCCCTACCTCCCCCTTTTTTACCAGCTGCCAGTTAGAGCATCGAGGGACATACAAGTATATCGTTAATGATCACCACGTTTCCCAGGCCTTGTTGTCTGTGTAGCTAAATTCTTCCTCTGCGTATCGTAATCCACTATTCTTCCAACATTTAACAATATATAATACAGCGAATGGACGACACTACAATCCCAACCACATATACTCCCTATCCACCCCTTGCCTCTCAATCCACGGCAAGCATGCATCCCACAAACCGCCTAATCTCCCCATCCCCGCCACCAACCACCCGCTCCCACGCCACCCGATCCCCGCGCTCATACCACGTCAAAAAAAGCCACAAACACAAAATCCGCATACCCGGCCTCCGCGCCCTCGAAGAACGGCCCCCCCCGCGGCCCCTCGCGGCCCCTCAACAACATCTGCCGCGCAACCTCCACATCCGCCTCCACGCTCTCCCACGCCTGCTCCACTCCGCGCTTATCCCCCGCCATCGCCTCCAGCGTCACCCCGAACATCTCCTCCCGCGTCCGCCGGAAATACGCCGCGCCCCGCTCGTCGAGGAGCGCAGGGATCTGCGGCACCAGGATCCGCCGCGTCGCGGGCACCAGGGCGCTGACCTGCTTCATCGTGGCTGCCGACTGAGGGGAAGAGGGTAGGGTGGTCAGGAGCCGGAAACGGAAACGCCCCGTCTAGGTGCAGGGCGATGGACCAGCTGTCGTTTATGACGCCATTGGGGTTGGCGGTGGGGTGGGCGAGGGTGGCTGGGTGGGCGATGGCGGGTAAGGGGTACGGGAGGTAGTTGGTGCTGCCGGGGAGGGGCGGGACAGAAAGCGATTGCAGTAAGGGCGCGATGTCTGGGTAGGAGATGAAGGATTGGGTGTAGGGGATCTTCTTGTAGTTTGAGGACGAGGTGGGTGCGGAGGGTATTGGGGGACCGGGATTTGAAAGGGACTGTTTTGTAAGGTGGGGTTAGTTTTGGGATTCTTCTTTTCTTCTTTTTTTCCCTTACGGTTTCTTCTGAAGAAATTCAATGGATAATAGTATGGAAAACTGGTATGCACACTTGGGAGTTTAGAGGTGATGTGAGAGGAATAAGGTACTAGTACTATTCAAGATCAAATCCCTGATTGATTATACCGTTAGCAGGAAGGCAGGTAAGTGGAAAGTGGTTGAATTTGAAACGACATCAGGTGCGCGCGTATATCTGGATTAATACGAGAGCTTATAGTTGCAAGAACTTGCAGGCCTTGCTATTACCAGCTGTGCTTTAGAATTTAGTACAGTCGGCTTTTCTAAAGCTGCTCCTTAAATTGGCTGCCTCATGGTATTGATGAGTCTCTGGTATCTGCTTTAGATACTCTGTGGGTTTTAGAAACTTTTGGATTGGTTTTTTGGTCTAATTTCCGATCTGGCACTGGAGAGGCAACTCGGCTATGCATATATCCATCCTGTTGACTAGTTTTGATAAGCCAGGATCGGACAGACCCAGATATCAGAAAGCAGCCGAATCATGGGTTAAGGGGAAGCGTACAAGTAAACAGGAAGTAATCGATGTACCAGGTGTATGCCCCCTCTACAGGCTCGAAATGTGCTTCAAAATCACCAATCAGTCGTAAGTGGTGACTTAATTTGAAGGAAGGTTTGGAACTGTCAATTTCTTGTCTGTCAAAAGGAGGTTGATCCCTAAGTCCGAGTATAGTAACAGAAAAGATTTGGAGCAACATCCTTCTTCAAATTACTCGAAACGAAAATGTCATAGGTTAGAGAATGTTCGTACTTGAATGTCCATGCTAAGTCCGGATCTGCTGGGCTCGTGGAGGCGGAGGCCAACGAAGGAAGAAGTATCAGAGTAACTTCCAGAAGCTCGAAGACGCTGGGTTCAATTCAAGGGAGATTCCAGTCGTCATTTTACACTCAATTGCATTTTGCTTTATTCGCCGCTGAGCTTCTTTCTATTAAAACAAGTGGGAACACCACACAAGGACGGTGATCGCGGATAGGACAACTGTGCCGGAGGATGGACACGCGTTGCAATACACTTGTGTGTGTGGGCGCCTGCGCTGAGGATAGTGAACGGGGTACCAGTTGGGATGACATGACTTCATCCGCGAAGCTCAGACTGAATAAGTTGAGTTGACGACTGGTCTCGAATATGGATGATATATGACGCTGTAGCCATCTAAAAGGGAGAATCCATGGAGATCAGGTGAACACAAGAGAAATACCAGGGCCAACAGTATTTCCATCTGGTATAAGTATAATCCAGAAGTTCATCGACATACAAAAAGAAGCCCAGGAATGCCGTCAGCGTTGCGAAGCTATCCTTCTACCCTTCTCAGGATGATGTGTGTGTTGATACAAAGGCGGAGGCGGCGTGGCTGGTGAAAGTAATTTCATTAACGTGATCACCCACCTAACGATCACTCCCACCTAACGATCGCGATTTCCCATACAAATTGACAAAATTATCCACCTCATATATCAATCATTTTTAAATATATTTGATATTTTATTGGTAATTTATAATCTACTATCAAATCTAACTATTATAAGAAAATGATGATATAAAAGATTATATTATTCATTGTGTATTACATATATAAAAGTTCTGAATATTTCTTCATAAATTTATATGAGATGTATTTGAATTACTAGCTATATTTTTTATATTTCTATGAGAAAAATGCAAGTTTCTGTCATATTTAAATAACTTTCTTAATATATAGTCTTTTTATATATAAATTGAAATTTAAATTAATTATATAATTTTTTAATAGCTGTTAGAATTTAATTGAAAAATATTGAATAGTTCTATTAATAACAATACAGTAATCTGAATACATCTCATATAATTTATATATGTAATTTATTAAGAAAATCAACTGCTAATACACTTTATAACTCAATACATAATGCAGATTTTTAATATCTAAAAATTGCATAATCTACTATGTAGATATACATACATAAATTACATATTATATATAAATTTGATAGGGTTATTGTTGAGATTTATGTATCTAAGCATTCTTGATTTAGTATGCAAAATAGCGATCGTTAGGTGGGTGATCACGTTACCAGTATTGCCAAGCCATTTATCAGCTCCAAAGCTCCAAGACAACTCCGAGACAACGACAACGACAACGGAAAGCAACTTGGACGTACACTCGATGGATTTCATATTCCCCCGATGAGATACATATATTCTCCCTTTTGGATTTAGACGGAGCCTTGACAAGATGGAGGCGTTCTCCGCCCCAGCTCCCACGAGTCCTCCGCTTTCGCCTTCGAGGAGGAGGTGCCGGGAAGTTGCTCGAAGATGTGAACGCCTATGCTGTAATATGTTCATATATTTCCCGTTGGCATTCGTGTACGGACTTACGACATGGTCTGTATATGTGGAAGCAAAGATAGGAATGCAACCAACAAAAAGCAGGTGGATTGGTACGTCGTGGAGTGCGCTTTATCTTGAATGCACCTAGCAAAACGCTTTTACCTGCGTGATGGGTTTAAATGCACTTCTCTGACACATAAACCAGGTCCTGCAACATCCGTTCTCGGAATAATCCTTTACATCCTTTTAAATTCTTCGTATACGATTGCTGTCTTCACAGATCCGGGTTCTCCGTTGACGGGGCCTCGGACGAATAGTCGCGGAAACCGACATATGTATAGCTCTCTTCCCACGACGGAAACATCCGGCTATACAAACCTGACGGTGAGCTCGGCTGGTGGTAAAAGATACTGCAAAAAGTGCATGTGCGTCAAACCTGATCGTACTCACCACTGTTCGTCATGCCAGCGCTGTGTTCTCAAGATGGATCACCATTGCCCTTGGCTAGCTACGTGCGTCGGGTTCCGTAACTACAAACCGTTTTTGCTGTTTTTGATATACACATGTTTATTTTGTTGGGTATGCTTTGCAGTTTCTGCAACCTGGGTTTGGACAGAGATATTGAATGATACTCGGTATATCGAATCATTCGGTCCTGTCGCCAATGTTCTCTTAGCCGTCATAGCTGGGATAATGGGCCTGGTTTTATCCGCATTCACAGGTTGGCATATCAACCTTGCAGCACGAGGTTCCACAACGATAGAATGTTTAGAAAAGACTAGATACCTCGCACCTATCCGCAAATCTTTTGATCGCCAGAGGCAGATAAGGGCGAGCCCTGTTAACGGGCAGATGGACCACCGCCTTAGCCACACGCTCCATAGCTATGGTCATCAATTCCTGGATGCACATGCCAACGCTATCCCTGGTGTGACTCGTGCGGAGGAAGGAGAAGAACGAAGTTCGCCCACCATTGCACCCCGTCAATTCCATCCCGAACATGTACCAACAACATATGCCCAACACCAACATTTATCCCCCGCACAACAATCCCTTTACCACTCCTATGATGAGTTGGAACATGCTCGTGAGAGAGCGCGATATGATGAATACTTAGATGAACAAGACGGAGAAAAGCTCCCTCACGCATTTGACCTCGGATGGCGCCGCAACTTCATACATCTCTTCGGTGAAAACCCCTTGCTCTGGTTCCTGCCCATATGCAACACCACAGGCGACGGCTGGCATTGGGAAGCAAGTTCCGAATGGCTTGAAACAAAGCAACGCATAGAGAACAGGAGAATGCAGCGGTGGAGCGGGCACCAGCCACTGGACCAACTGCATCCACCTACTGCCCCGCAACCCCCACGATCTGAAACATGGCAATCCTCTGGCGATACGTCAGCTGGAGGATACAGCGATGTCTCGCGGCGTCCAACCAATAACGGAGATTTTGACGATAGAGGTACTCATGTACAGCGTCCCGACACGGGGCTTTCGATGAAAACGCTGCGGCCCATGTCTCCCCGCCCTGACGCGGGGGAGGTGGTTTCAGAAGACGACAGCACACCCCCTAGCCAGCCGAGTGGGCGAACTAGGAGTGAAGGCCAGGATGAATGGCACAATTGGGAATAATGCATTGCTGGTTTATTATGTTTCATTTATATATTGATGCTTTTCCTTGAATGCTTGCTTGTAGCTATTTGTCGGGTGGGGAAGGATGGCGTTCTAGACTGATTTTTTTTTTTTTTTTTTTTTCAATGCGTCATGAATATTGCTGATTTGAGCAAGTTTTTATTTTCCTTATTCATTTTCATTGTGTATCTCTCGACTGACTATATCTTTGATCATGGATCACACTGTAACTATGCATACTATTAGGAGCCGCGGGTTTTTATCGTGACGGTTTCCTTACTGGAACTCAATTTTCCATCCCTCCTTTAACGGCCTAATCTAATCCCAGCAAGATATCCAGATAGCCGACGACGCTGTTCAGTTTAAAGGTAGATTTTGATACTAATAACGCTATAAAATTAGCTATACTGCATACAATATTTGTTTTGTACTGTACAAATATCACTCCATGGACAAATAATATATCAATCTTGCATATGAATAGTTAAAAATACACGGTGAGCCCTTCAGCTCTGCACAACCATCCACCACCACTCCTTCACCGCCCAGCCGGACACACCAGCAAGCCTCTCAACGACACCAGCTTCCTCCATCCACTCCAGAACCAAAGCTACTTCCCACTCAGCAATATGAGGCTGAAAAATACGGCTAATGCTCGCTGCGCTGAGGCCGGGGCGAGCAGCAAGATAGCCCACGACCGCCGCAATGACCAGATCCCAGAGCATCTTGACAAAGTTGCCATGGATATCGAACCAAAGGGGAATTTTGCAGAAAGGGGGAGGACTGGTGGAGGGCGGGAAGTCAGCCGGCATATCGCCCCTCGGCATGCTTTTGGGGAGCTGGACGGGGTTTCCATAAACGTAGCGTTCGGGGACAGGGAGAACTTCGACGTCGAAGCGAAGCTTGCCCTTGTCCATGAGGCGCGTCAGGTAGCCGCCATCCGTCAGCCCGTATTTATCCCTCGGCGGGTTTTTGGGCCATATGGTCACCCTCCCCTCAGCGAAGAGGTTGATAAGGACGAGGATATCCCCGTCTTCCGCGTCATAGTTGACAGCGCATTTCCCTTCCAGATGCAGTTGCGTGTCCAGGATGGTGGTTTTGAAAGTCGCCGCTCGTTTCAACTGCGTTGCTTCAATGGCGCGTTTGCGGCCAAATGCATGCACGAAATACTCTGTCACGTCGTAATTGCGCCCTGGAGTAATTCGACCCCTATTGCCCATGGAGATCACTCGTTCAGTGATGAGTGACTGTATCGCCTGCCCGATGAGCTCTTCGCCAAGGCATTCAAGAATGCGCCGCGCCTCTGCTGAGTTATACGACTCTTCTGGCGTGATCACATTCGCCCGTACCCAGGTTTTAGCTACGTTGAGGCGTTCAGTTCCGGGCCGTTGCCGTTCATGTCTCGTGCCAGTCCTGGAAACAGGAATTGCAAAGTTTGTACCAGCTAGCAAGGCTTGTTTTCGAGGAATCGTGGCTGGGGCGTTATGCTGATATAACTCGTCAAGCGTTTGAACCGGTTCGGGACGAACGTCAAAAAGGCTATCGAATTGCTGGTGGGTAGCTGGTAAGTTTGGAAGATTATCTGAACGGGGGGCCTCGAGTTTGTTGCTCGCCCAATTAACGATCCACTGCCAATCATACGAGGTAAGGTCGGCGTAATCGATACGTGGTACCTGGTCCTTCTCGTATGCTTCTGCATATTGGTCTTGAAAATCACTTTGCATTTTCGACATTTGAAGTCGATTTCTTGAAATGATCGCCTTTCCACGATCCGTGATAAGCTTAGGGTCGTGATCTGGGAAAGCTAACGTAACGAGCTGCCAGTCAATCATTTTACCCTCAAGTCCACCAGCCAAAGTTCGAACAACGACGATCGCAGCAGTGATCTTTTGTACAATGTCGCCAGAGAGGATATTGATGAGCTTGATTCTTCGAGCAGTCGGGGCTGCTGCTTTGGAAGTTCGTTTATCCGCTTTTGATTCTTGCATTTGCTCGAGTCGTCGGTTGACGGGTAAGTCGAGGCGCTTCTGACCACGAGATGCGACTTGACGACCAGATGGACGCGCTGATGGAGTTGCTCCGGCGGACGATGACGCGAGGATCCGAAGTGAATTCTGCGGAAGTGGTCTTGCTCGTCCCGTTGATACTTGTGAAGTTTCACTGGCATCGAATCGTACAGAGCCGTCCAGAGGAGCGCTTTGAAATGGGCCAGGTATCCCATGGTTAATGTATCTCCACCCGACTCTCTGCGAATCGAATAGCTCAGGGTGCCTAGATTCCCATCTGCCTACTGCATCAATTTCAGAGAATACCCTGCTAGAAACAGGATCGGTAAGATTTGACGATGGATGCTGCCGTTTCTTTGTCAGGGAAAGGATATCTCCAAGATTTCGTGGTAAACTCATGGTTGTCTGGGCCCATTGGGGCATCGTCGTTGTTTGGCTACGCCCTTGCATATCAGATAATATGGTTCCAAACGTGCCAGTTGGGGCATGGAACGATTGGGACGGACACAAAATGATTGTGTATGGTAACAGCCTTGGTATTGATGGGACGGGCTGCCGTATTCCCGTTTTCAGGCTTGGGTCTTGCATCGTTGTTAACCAGTTCAAAAAGGAATTTGCAGGAGACCGTCGCTTAGTACTTCGAAGCCGTTCTATGGGCCCCGATCTTGGTTTGTAAACACGGGTATGTCTCATTTCAGGAGGTCGGGCCTTCACCGGCACTTGATGTAATGTCACGGTGACTTCTTCTTTTATCTCCGGGAGTTTTCTTGCGGGCAGTTGTGTGATTTTGTGCGACTTCCTTATTGATGGATCAATATCAGGGCCGGGTGGAAAGTATTGCTGGGGGTCGGCTTCTAACATTGCCCTCAGCAAATCCATAACTATTGGATCAGTTGCAGGGATATCTGGTTTCGCAATGATGGACTTGGTGACCATTAGCCCTTTGCTGTTCCTCCCGCTGAAGGTTAGCTGGCGGAGCGTCCCACTCTCAGTCATATATTTCACCGCATTTCGAAGTGTTCGAAAGTCGGGCCTTTCGGTTTGTTTGGTCTTTAGCCAAGCAGTAGTGAAAGGGTACCACAACTCAGTGCCGTATGGATACACTCCGTCGGCGCTCTCGACCACATCCATGACAATCTTCCTTCGAAGAAACGCAATGGATCCTCCTTGAATATCTAGCTTCTTAGCTTTCGTTTTAGCATTTGTGAGTGATATGGTTTCAGAAACTTGAGAGGAAATGTCTGTGGCTTGTATTGTTCTATTTTCCGTATCCTCGATTTCCATCCTGGACTGGGAGACTTCCGTACATGTATTGTTTGGTCCGGGTACATGCTCCGAAGGAGTAGCACTGGAGGATTGGGGTCGGTGCGATCGTAAAGTTTCTGAGGGTGTTTCACCATTACTCCCACTCGGCATATGTTCAACCACTTCAGGCGATTTTGATTTCTCGTAACCCACATTGATATCGCCAACTTTCTGTGTTCGCTCACGCCTAGCTGTTACGGGAGTCGCATGTTGCCCTGTGGTTTGTGGACCTTGCACCGGCTTGTCAGCTTGTGGAATAAGCCTAATTAGCTCTGCTGGACCAGTTCTGACGTCCCTTCTAGGAGACTTGTCGATTTCTTTCCCTGGAAGATCTTTTCTGGGCACTTGGCGACTTTGTTGCAACTGAGTATTCCTTCTTTTGGAGGGGGATTCGCCAGTCTGAGCGGGTATCGATGTTTCTTCATCACCGCCCATGTCAGTATATTTCCTTTTATTGGATTGCGGTGGATTGTCGAGATGGTCATTGGTCCCCGCGTCAACACCAGGAGGAAGGGTTTCTTGGACATCGGCATCCTCACCCGGTTGCAATCGATCAGTGAGTCGAGATGAGGGTGTCGCCGTGGACTGAGAAAGTTTCGTTCTCGGGTAAGTGGTGATACGGATCGATTCTCAATCCCCTCCCCTTTCTTTACAGTTCCAAAAATAGGTTCCAAATCCCTTGTAGCTTCATTTGGGGGATTTTCAGTATCTTGCTGATTAGTAAACCACTCAATTTCCTTCAGTTTCTCCGATTTGATGACAGCAATACGACTTCGACCCGGGCGACCCCGGGCTTTTCCGACTGGCCGTCGCTTGCCTGGAGGAGTGAAAAAGATACCAGGTCCAGGACGTTCGAGTATGAGGATGCTGTATTCGGTCCACGTCTCGTCGAATCCCTGGGCTTCCAACTTCTCCTTCTCCGTCATTCCAGCATAAGGATCGACATATTCCTTCAATTTTCGCTGGCGTTTGGATGGTCCTCCAGTTTCTCCTTCATCCAGAACATCGACCACGACATCTACTGATCGACCAAAACCTGCTTCAATTGCTCTCCGTTTCCGCCCTCGAGAAATGGAAGCCTGCGGTGCGTCCTCTTCAGCACTTGATGAACCAGCATCTGGACCGAAGTGACTAGAGCCTCTTTTGGGCTTTCCGCCCAACATCCTGCCTCGGAAAATTATGGCTTCTGGATAATTAGTATAAAATCTATCTCATACATATCAAAGTAACCAATCACGTACCGCAAGTGCCGTCATCACGTTTTTGTACGACAGGATCGTACATTGTGAGGGTGTAATCGGATGGTTTCGCAGCCTCAAGACACTCTTTAAGTGTTGCATTGCCATCATTCAGCAGGTTCGATGGTTTCATATCCACAGGGAAACCATGTTCATCTACTTGGAATGTCGCATCAACGGGAGGAATTTTAACACTAAATTTTCCCTCCGTTGAAAGTTTCACCGCTTCCCACGAAACCTGGCCGTCGTCCACCAGTGATCTGAAATTGCTCAAGGAATAATGGATATACATCGAAATTGTACCCCGAAGTCCTACATCTCGAACCAGAGCGAGGTGTCTAAGGTAAATCGGTTGAGAAACCTGCCAAATCTCAACAAGCCGACTCACTGTATACTCGATTGGCCGCCTGTAAAACGGGCCCATACATGCGACGTTGATATCCTTGAATAATTATATCAGTTTGGGCGGTCAAATGGATAGAAAAAATCGGTTAAAGCAGTCTTTTCATCCCACTTACATGGTTAGTACTTCCTTCTTGACCACTCTTGTGTACGATGTCAAATATTAAATTTGGCAAAATCTGATCCGGTGTCCATCTAGGTACAACCCGTCCCATCTGCTCTAAATATTCAACTTCAGGTGTGCTGGCAACGTTTCCCTTCACCTCGGATAGTCCATCGACCGTATCTTGCTGGCCTTGGTCCTGGTCCATCTCAGCAGCATCCATGTCCTCCTGCTCCAGGTATGATATCAGAGTGCGACTGTCTTCAAGGAAAAGCCGAAGGTCGTTTTCGGTGAGTTCCCGGATTAGCATGACAGATTGATGTCGAGTTTTCATCCTATCAGAGTATTGAGATACTGCTCTGACACGACGGACACAACCTATTCTTTCCAACTTTCGAATGGCCCTTCCTAAAATCCTGGCGCGCCAGCGATCCTCCATTCCAAGTTTTGCTTTCAAGTCATATCGTGTAATGACTTTGAATTCTTTAAGGCATTGAAAAAGCTTCTCGAGGAGAACAGGGAAATCAACCACATTGGTTAGCTCACCCGGTTGGGAACCTGCATTCTCCCCAGACAGCCCATCACATTGCTCAGCTGGTTTTGAACGGACAAATTGACGGAGCGTGCATAAACTTGTACGAGAAGACTTATACTGAACAGCTTTTTTCTCGATATATCCTTTCTGGCTTAAAGAATCAGTTCGCTTGGGAATGGAGCGCTTGTCTTGGCCGCTCAGTTTAGGTAGTTCTGGCTGCATAATCCCTTGCCACTTTCGGGAAGCAATGACAGATAGAAGAGCGAACTCTAGGGGAGGGACCCTAGAATGGTCGAGCTCGTGCCCAGCGATAGCAAGCCACATTCGCTCTTCTGAAACATAGACGCGAAGTTTCCCGTCTGAGGTTGGCTGTATCTGCGTCCCTGCAGCAACAAGGCCGCCATTTTCTGGTGGTAGGGCATTTTGAGAATTGGGATATGGCTCCTCTGCAGTGGTTTCGGCACACCGGCTTTCCACCTCATCCAGAGTAAGGTTATTGCCTTCCCTGTTCTTGCCAACAGAAACCTCCGGGTGCCTGGTCAGCCAAACCCATGCTTTCTGCTTGAACTTACGGTCAATATTTGGAATGCGGCTTGTAGTCCCAGCAAGTGGAGGAGGGCGATCACTTGGGTGGATAGATGGATCATAGAAATCATCAATAAAAGCAAGCACATCCGCAGGAGAAGCACCTATATTGAGATATTAGCTCAGGATAGGTCTACCATGCGCCCAATGCATCTAAGCATGTGAGAGAGATACTTTCATCTCAGGAACCATCAACGACATAGTTTATGAGTAAAACTCATCTGTGCAAAACAAGTGAAATTTCGTTGAAATACAAATTCATGCTGCCTGTATACATTTCTGCCATGGTGAAAAGGGGGTGGAAAAGACGATACGCACCTCGTTCACCACAGAGCGATATCTCTGCAAGCAAAAATTCAATAAGGTCTCTTAAGCTCCGAGCCATCATTACGCTGTGCCCGTTCTAGGGGGATATTTTTGACATCTCTGTGCATTTGCCGACGGCGGGATTCGAACTTGCGGCGTTGAAGACGACGTGGTTGGACTCATTTCCATTCTCGAGGCGTGTGGATTATGTAATGGGCCTGCTCCAGCCATCCACGTGATGTGGGTGGGCTTCCAAGCTTCAAAACTTGGAACTGGAGAATTCGAAAGTTTGAAGCGCAAAGACAGACCAAGTCCAGGAGTTTAAACAGACCCGTATTCGGTCGCTCCATTTTGTGATGTGGTCCGGGATATTCTGGCTGGAAAGTATCTTGCTCCGGGCAATCCCGTAAGAAGGCCACTAGCCATGATCCCCAGCCCGTATCGATGAGGAAGCGCAGCGCCGCGCCTTTTCTACCAAATCCAGGACTTTATTGCCATACTAACTCCTCTGTTTTGGATCTGCCATCGTAAAATACTCGTACTAATGAATGATGACTCAGTCTGCCGGTAACCCCGGAAGCGAATTTCCCCCAGGTTCAATCTGTCTGCAATCATCACTGTTACTCAGGCCGGCGGCGATATCAGCGCCTTGCAGTGGCGATGATGTCATCCCCGCGTTGAGATTTCTGTTGCCTCTGCTGACGGAGCATATCTCCAGCCTCTAAAATATCTAGTGGATATGGCATTTCAGGCCCTTGCATAGATATATATACGATATACGGCAATTCGCTTGCAGGCTGTTTTAACGTCCCTGAACTTTGCTCAACGCTATTCCTTTCCTTTCCTTTCCTTTACTGCCTTCAAGGTGTTCTTGACAGGCGTTATTGACGTATCCACCCGTTATGGACCACGGGCAGTTGAAAAGTGCACGCATAACTTCCCATTAATGGACAAACCCACAGTTCGACCAACTCCAGGCCCGCCGAATCTTCCCTACTCCTTGTGGGATCGCAAATGGGCCATAACATTTTTCTGGACTCTGTTTGTCATTGACACTCTTGCCCAGCCGTTAATACTGTACTTCACTTTGTGGTATCTTACCGACCTGTCTCACAATTTAGGTATTCAAAAAAATTTTCCCTTTCTCGGTCAGAAGAAGCCTGGGGTATCTGAAAACCTGTCTAACGATGCTTTCATTTCAACCTATCAGTTTTTACGATTAGCACGGCTGCGTTGGGCGGAGTTGCTGTCGCTGAATATTTCTACAGATTTTACACTCTGTATAGGAAGGGATCGGTCGTAAGGCCACTTAATGCCCGGCGATCATGGGTAGGTGGTATGGATATCACCCTTGCGCTTCATGAAACTAACGTGGTATACGTCTTCAGCTGGACTTCTTCCAGATCAACTTCACCATAGTATGGCTGATCCTGGCTGTTGAGCTTATTATGTATGTTATCATCCCTTCTCTTGAATGCAATGGCATTTGTCAGTTAGTTAGCTAACCCGCGGCCATCAGCGGAACTGTGCAAGAGGAGCCATTTAGTAAGAATTGCCTCCATATCGTTCTACCTATGAAATCCGACAACTCCATCTAACACATGACTTTAACTTCTTAGTTCGTCTCCTAGCAATGCCCTTGCCCACAGTTATGTTCTACTTCGGAATAGTGCATTTGACGCTCGACATCCTCCGCGCTCAAGGATACCAAGCGCCATTCCGCATATCTTCCACGCCCAAAGGCTCCGTAATGCCGACCGCGTTATACGTTTTGATAGAAGATATTGTTGCGGTAGATGGCGCGGGAGGACAGAAATACCGACGAGCGCTGCGGAACAGATATCTAGCAAGCCCCTATTTTCGACAGATGCTCTTCGAGATGAATTGCTTCTGGGGAGGCGGATCGATTATCTTTGCCACAGTTACGACCATATTAATATTTACAACACCAAGAGATGTTGCCTATGTGGTTAGTTCAATTTGCAGCCTGCCGATTACCGAAAACAACTCGTTGAGTACAACAAGGTAGCTGACGAATAGTTCTTTCTCTCCTGTCCGCTTATAAGCTGGGATGGAGTCTCCCACTCCTTTGGGCTGGAGTATGGACCCTGATTACGATTCCCTGGGTACAGGGAGATCTGCGGAAGGAAAAGGCCGCCTGGGCAGAAAACGTCACTCTAGATACAGAACCATACACCGACAACATCCTGGGTCCGAAGCCCAAAACCCGCCTCCTCTCCACATCTGGCCGTCTATTTTCCATGCGCCCTTTTCAAAAGCCCGGCTCGAACAACACGGATGAGCCAGCGAATCTGTCTACCACGAGAGAAGAAGTTTGACTACATGAATTTTCAGCGCTTTTGCTATCTGCTGTGCATAATTATATATATATATATATATATATATATGGAAATTTCATTTCTTAGAAATACGAATGCTGTATTTATAAAATATCCACTACACTAAACGCCAAGCCAAATATGTTTTTCAATCTCATCATTTCCCTTTTTGTGCTGTAGCAAGTTTCTGCTTGATTTTCACTAACTTGGGCCTGCGGAATTACATGCATGTTGATCGAGGTTTTGCTCTCACGTACGGAGTAGATGAATGGCAATTCCACTTACCTTTTTGCCTGCAGCGTCCCCAAGTTTTTATGGCTTATGATTCAGATATCCACATGAACAACTTGCATAACTACTACTAATCTGTAACAATTTATTTTTTTATTATTTTTTTAATTTTTTTAATTTTTTATTTTTTTCCCCTAATCCGCACACCTCGAGAATGTTAAGGACGGGAAAATTCGAGCATCACAACAAAATTTTTTAGCTCAAACAAATCGACCCCTTGTTTGGGTAAATTCTATCATCCATAGAGTGACTGGGAAATTTAGTCCGTTGGCCAAAGGGAGAAATGAAAATAGTATAAAATAATCTAATCATTATGTAAATTCAAAGATGGCTATGTATATATTCAGTTCAACGGAGGAGCAGAGCAGTAAGACAAAACATGAAAAGAAGCGAGCAAAAGGGGTAAAGAGTAATGTCCCCAAGTCCATATACAAAACAACCGACATGATATGCTTATTATGGTGGCCACCACAGGTTCGAGGTGCGGGAAACCAACGCAAAAATGAAGAGGGCAATGGATTATTTTTTCAGAAACGCATGGAAAAAGCATTCGCTGGGGTTCGCTTGGCACATGGTCTCGTCACTTCTAAAATATTCCTTCTCCGCAAGTTTCTTCCGTAGACCTCTATATGATAGAGAAACGAAAATTTTATGTCGCGTTGTGGGTGTGGATCTGAACTGAAAATGAAACTGATATACAGAGAATGAAAAACAGAAAACAAAGGCCAACCACCATTTTGTCAGAAAAAAGACAAGAGACAAAATAGTAATGAAAAGTAAGCAAAATACGCCAGTTAAAATGCATGCAGGTATGTATCAAAGAATATAGGAAAGAATAGACGAATTAAAACAAAGTCTAGATACCCACCAAACAACGTACAAAACTTCGGCTAAGGCCAACAAAAAGTGATCAGCTTGGGAAGAATAGAAAGTTTGACAGTGAACACGTCAACACAACGATGGGTTTGGGACATGCCATCACATGTTGTTTTTGATTATCGGGGTCTCTATGAGAGAGAATTTTTATACTTGAATGAGATGCGTTGTATTGGAAAGGAGTTTGCGCGTTGGGGAGATTCATGAAAACGCATGTCAGCTGCAGATTGCACCTAACTGAGTGCTTTGTTAAGAAAATATGGTGACGCTGTGGAGCGGAATTATTGATCTCAATGACGATCTGAGGAACAGATTTTGTTTTCAAGGGCGGCGGGATTCTCGAGAACCCACCAACTTCCGGCCAATATGTGCCAAAGAGCTTTTCCGTCGTCTAGGCAAGAAAAGACGCAAGACGCAACAGGTCAGTTTCTTTGAGCATTTTCCAATATGCTATGAAACATCGGCCAAAAAGTGGAAACATGCTAAAACTCGGATACGCAAACTCGCAAAGAGGAGTGGAAATCACCTTTCGGCCAAAACATCACCATCATCCACATTCCCATTTGCTTGGTGTAGTGAACCATTATCGCTTGTAAGAGGCCTCAAAACTGATTCGCGGGATAGGTGGCAAGCCTGTGCATGGATCTCAGTAACTTAATTAGCAATCTCAATAATCCAAGGGACTGAGGGAGGTGCATACGTCATTCCGGGGGTCAATATTTTCACTCCTGGCCGACCGGGAGTCAGATGCAAGGTTGGGCATCGTTCCAGATCGGGCCAAGTTAGTTGCCATTGAATTGGAGCGGCCAAGGGGCGAGGAAGTTGAGGCAAATGAACGACAAGGAGGAGATTCTGATCTTTCGCTTGTGGAGCTGTGACTGATGATACTGCCTGCTCCATCTGACGAGGGAGCGGTAAATGGATTTAGGAAACCATCGGATACGCTGAGAACCTGGGACGAGGAGGCAAGTTCACGTAAGCGTATTTGTTGCTGCTTTGTCGGGCGGTGATGGGATAGTTTGTTGCTGAGGATTGCGGGAGTGTGAGAGATGAGCGCTTTAATAACGTCCTTTTTAAGCCGCAAAGCAAGGTCTAGATTGGACCAAGTCTTATTACGATATTCAAGCACCGGAAGCCTAAAGACGAAGTTATGCACATCCTCTATATTTCGTTCCCCTTTTCCCTTATAACTCAGACAAAGAACGACATCGTTGATTTTAACATGAGCCAAAGTCATGAAGTTAGAAGCGCGGGAGAGCATCTGGGATAGGTCATCGGAGCCCTTATCGTTCTTTGTGTTGAAAGATCTGGTTGAGGACCTCGCCAATCCGAATTTCTTGGATCTCTCTTCCGTCCCGTTTATACTGTGTTGGCTCCCTGATGATTTGTCATTAAGATGCCTACTCACTGGGCGGAGATTATCAGCAGATGCCTTCCTCGGGATACGACTTGTCGTATGGCGAGAGGTTGACCGTGGCCTCTCGCTTGCAGTTCGCTGCTTGCGAGAGTTTTCGTCGTGGAGGGGCGTCATTGCGAGGCTTCTGGTTCGTTGCGACGGCGAAACCGATCGGCGATGATCTGAGAGCGTAAGGGTAGGTTTCAAACGGTTTTCCATGGCGCCGGGGCCTAAACCAAACGATTGAGAATCATCTGCAGAACTGCTTCCATTGCTGCTGGCAGGAGTAGCAGGTTCGACATCTTCTTCCCCACTATCCGATCCATCCTCTTGCGGTCGCATGTGCTTTATCATAAAAGGCGAGAAAGCCCCATTCTCAAACGCATTGGAACCAATACCGGGGAAAATGTATTCGAACAGCTTCTTTCCAAGCTCCCTCTCTAGTTGGACTTTTAAAGGGAACAAAGCCACTTCAAAGTGATTCAACACAGGTATTCCAGCAACGGCTTCGAGCATGAACCAATCGACCTTCAATAAATTGTCGTCCTCATTTTTCGGCGTTTTTCTGTGCTCATCCAAGTAAGGAACAATCATTTGTGGGTAGATTGCACTGGGCAGAAGATTAAGACCGTATATCCTCTGAATCTCTATTGTATTGCGATTCGATCCATCGATGTTGTCAGTGCGCGTATACGACGCGTTCCGCAATTGGAACTCCACAAGAGGCTCTTGGGGGCTCATCATTAGATGCCACACGAGCTCGGACGCTGATAAGGCCCAGTGCAAGACCCCACTCGACTGGGACAAAGGTCGTTCATCGTTTTTGCGCTGTGAAGTGGTGATGGCTTTCATGATGAAAAACAATTCATCCTCGCATAGCGCTAAATCCCGTTCCAGTGCAATGCGATCCTGCCATCCCTGAGAATCAAGATATTTGGCTTGTATTTGGAACATGCTTTTGATTTCCTCAAGTTGCCGTATCCTTTGCTGCAGCCGGCTCACAATCTGGGGAGCACCTCTTAAATCGCTGAAATCTGAGGCGAGCATTATTTTTTCGAGCTTCTCGCTCCTTACTTTCTCAAGCGGCTCGCTGAATAGTAGCAGATCGAGGACAATGATGTACATGGAATAATACTCATCTGAATCACATATCGCCCGAACATGAGAAAACTCAACCAAGATTTGATCCATCCGTTCCTCGCTGCAAGTGGGAATTCGAAGATTGCTATCATCATCCTCGCCACTCGCAATCTCCTCATTATATTTCAATCTCAGGGTATTGTACTTGTCATACCGGAGGTTTGCGGAGGTTTTTTGAATAATTCTTGAGAAGCCGGATGGGTCTAGGTCGAAGTCAAACATGCACTCCAGAGACAACCACGGCGGCCATGCGGACCCTGGTGCGTTTCCGTACCTATTACCAGAATATAGATGAAGATGCTTGAACAAACATTTATGGGTGGTTACGAAGAACTGAGCACTGTCCATATCTAGAGTGAACCGACGTTGTACCAGGCCGGAAACATCATCCGATACACAATGTTTATCCATGATCGATACAACCTTTAGCTGCATGCCCTTGGCCGTAACGAGAGCAACAGCCTTCTTATTCTTTTCACTCTGTAGCTGGATCTGTGGCGCGATAAGGCGAAGATGGTAGCTGTTTTGTGGTGTGAAGTCTGCAGCAATTTTCTTGCCACATGCACTCGTCGAAGAACGATATTTCGTTTCATTCGGCGTCGAGTCATCAGCGTTAACAAAACGTTTTGCATCGTTAAGAAGTTGTTCGATGCGATCTTCAATAGAAATTTCATCGTCTTCAGGCTGTTCCTCAGATTCCGGTGGTGATGTAGATGTAGATGGAGGCGGTTTGCCTGCCTCCCGTGACCGCATCTTTAATTTTCCTTGTTCCTCTACAATATCTAGGATAAACCTCACCGCTCGTTGAGACATGTAATAGACAAATCCTCGTCTCTGGCTGACCTGGTGAATGTAGCGAAGAATGATATTTCGGAGAGAGTTGTTCCACTTCAATTGAATATTGTGGATAGTGAAGCGATTGTCGAAATCACTAACGAACTCATCATTCGGTGAAGCATAGAGGCCGTCGATCTCCGCATCGTCGCTACCGTGTTCAGATGAGGCCCAGTTTGGCGTGTCTGCGGCCAGAGTTGTGCGGCTATGTTCGGCTCCCTGACCATTCAACACCGCGTCACCTGAGAGTTGTTTCTGAAGACGCTGTAACCTGTCATCTAAGAACCTTACCCGCCTCTTCAGTGATTCACCTTGTTTAACGAAAAGCTCATACTGGCTCTTGAGGCCATCAGCAGCGTGGCTATCCCGAACAACTCGCAATTCTTGTTCTCCAATCATCCGGTTATGAGCAATAATTTGCGCGTCAAGGCTAGCAATGCGTTCCTTGATCAGTTCCATTTGTACCCTCCGCGGATCATTGTCCTCTGACATTACGCAATAGTGTGACGGCTCGTCTCCAAAAGGGCTGTATCCGGTTTCATCGACACCAAGCTCCTCGTGGTCTGTTTGGCGGAAATAAGAGAATCGAGGAGAGTAGGCAAGAGGGAGGATTCGGGTACGAGGGTTCGGCTCTGATGGGATTATCCAGTCGAGTTCTACGAAATCATCCATATCAACCCAGTTGAAGTCTCGATCCGGTATGGTAAATCGAGATAGGTCAACGGGAGGGGTTGGTTGCTTAAAAGCAGACAAGATGTGATCTTCAGCGGTGATGTCTGCTAGATTCGTTCCAGCAATAGCCACTGACACCGCCCTGAAATCCGCAGAAATGAAATCCAACTGTGCCCGGTTGATTCGCATGGCACTTGCTTTCGTTTGTTTCGAACGTCCTTTAACCATCACATTAACTAACTCCCTCCGTTGATGAAGATCCAGCATAAGGCTGTCGAGGCGAACTTTAATTCCAGTGGCAGACACCATCTCCTCGCCATAGTCCTCGGCGTCTTTATGCTTGTAAATATGCGCCACAAATAGTGGGGAGAGGAACAAATTATACTTAACAGTAGCCAAATGGCGGCCAAACTTCTTGCTTGTTTTGGTCACACCGGGCCAAAGTGGACCTTGCCGAACAGGTAACGACATAACTCCAGAAAACAAAGACCACCAGCTAAAAAAATGTGTGAAGAACCTTGGCGTCAAGTGGACCGTATTGTAGCTAGTTGATGGTTCACGGTTTGATACAGACCAAACCCGAGTTACTGGTGCCACGATGGCAAGTGACAAATGAATGTGGTTGCTTCTGAATCCACGGAAAGCATCGTAGTCCATGAGGTCGTCAAGAGGAATGTATCGTGGATTCTTCAGAACAACCTCATAATGCGGCTTGAACTCAAATGACCGTTCAGACGAGTTGATATTCCGTTCAAAAACAAGCCCGGATAGCCACCGAACATTTCCAGAGAGTTTCATGATAACCTTCTTGAAAAGAGAGATATCCTTGGATGACCTGAGCGGAGTACCGCGAGAATCAAGTGTTGCCTCGTATGAATGGCGAGCGTGGTGGCTGTAGTCTGGAATCGCGAGAACATATTCCCCACTTGTAACGGCCATAAGCTCTCTGGGGTCATCTCTCGTGTATATTTCCAATTGCACATCTTTGCGCCAGCACATTACAAAGCCAGCACCAAAACCGGTGACTACATAAGGGTCGCGAGAACCTGCATCACGATATCAGTAAACAACAAAGAGAAGTGGAAAATGCCCAGCGAACAGTAAACATACCTTTCAGTCGTAAATGAACATCACCATCCCCTTTCCAAACAACATTTATTCTAGAATGGAAACTCAAGCGTATCTTATCCCAGAATCCAACACGCTCAGAGGGGTCAATCTCCGGCTTTGAGAAGCCCTCGATGATTTTCATCAGATCCTGCATGACAGGCTGATATGACATCCCCCAAGATATGCTAGTTGGTAAATTAGTATTAATTTCAAAGATCGGATCTGAGTAGGTTTTGAGGGGTGAAACCGTTCGTCGAACATCGATGGAAAAGCCAGGGTGAGTGATGCCATCGGATCCTGTGTTTGGCGGCACAATTGTAACCATCACATGGCGTGAGGACTCATAGTCACGGAATTCTTCGGCAATCACGACATCAGTCCGCAGCGACCAACTTGGGAGGCGGGGTGATTGACCATGGCGGAGGGCAGGGATGTGCAGTAGGTCAAGAGGGTAGTCTCGAACGGTTGCTCGTGCTTCACCCATTTCCAATTGAATGTTCATGGGGATCAATAGAGAATACTTCATGTCCAAGGGCATGCCTTTTCCTATCCTATGCAGGAAATGTGGATATTCATTCGTAGGGAAAGAAGGTTTATCGATAACGAGATGTACGTCACTAATCAGGGCAGATAAGAGCCCAGGCCTGTCGGGAACATTGAGGATATTTTCGTCCTCTTTAATGTCTTCAAGAGGTTCATCTGCGCCCGAAAACATGTTTCTAATTTCTTTGATCGCAGTGTTTTGGAATCGCATGGAAGTATCAATTCGAATTTTCCAACTCCGGGAATTATGTTCCTGTAATTTAAACAGGGCTTCTTGAGTGGAAACTTTGAACGAGTCCGATATTGACGGGACGCCTTCGGGGTCATATCTCACGGTCCGAGTCGGTCTCCTTCCCCTCGGTTCGGAATTGCCGCGGGGTGGCCGCCCATCGGCGCTTTTACTCCTCACTTTCTCATCTCTCCTTTTTGAGCGAGCCGTGGAACGAGGCTCCGGAATGACATGACTCGACTGCGTTCGGTATCGTGAAGATGCCTGACGCTGCTGGAGATCCTCCAGTCTTTTGACTTTCATATGGAATGCTTCCTCTCGAGCCAGGCGTTGTTTCTGTTCCAAAAGCCCCAGGCGGTAAATACACCCTAATTTCCACTCGAAAGCATCATCTTCCAACTCAAAAAGTATAGCTCTGCTGCGAAGCGATATCCTTGGCACGCGTTTCGGGCCCTCAGGGTGTTTTCCCAGGACATACTCATTCGTCCTTGTTTTGAAGCGATGGTTCAGCTGTTGAACAGATTTTGCAGTATTGATAAAATTATCGAATATCCGATACATTATCATCTGATGTGGCACAGCGACCCGGATGAACTCGGTGGAAACATCGACAGACTTCTCTTCGATGATGGTTCCATCTGGCTTACGTCGGGTTTCCCGCAACCCCCCTCGAATGTTACTGACACTCACAATTCGAGCCCATGTGCTTTTTATCTTCGGGGCTTCAGCATGGAGACGAACAAGTTGTGATCGCATAAAGGGAGCAGACCATCGATGACGTCCAGCAGCAAATCCATAAATTTGAAGCATCATAGGAGGATCTGCTGGCATGGTAAATTTAATCTGGATCAGAGATGCTTTTACATCAATGGTAATAAGCTCAGCCGATTTAGGTCTAACGGGAATGTCGATGGGCTCAACGACTTTCGCCGCACCAGGTGGGTCACCCGAGACTGGCGCTTTGGATGTCTTTGGACGTAGAAAGGCATCCCGTAATACACAAACGGCTATTCCAACAGCGTAGTATCGATAAAGGGAACAGTCAAGGTATATCGCTTTGACTGTAGAGTTGATATGAAAAATTGGCCCTTGTAGGTCGCTCGACGTGCTTAACGCAATTTCAAAGCGGGGAATAGATAGAAATGATTCCGGTTCCATGAAATCTGCGGATTCCATTACGAATCCTTCAAGACCACGAACATGGAACGCCAAACGTCTTCCATCGGCCTGGCAATGGTGAGACTTTCGAAAAGAAGGAGAGGTAAGTCGGAACGCATGTTCATCTGAAGTTGTAGAATGGCTCGGCGTTCGACGTTTTACTGATCTTCTATGCGGCTCTGACTTTTGGGATTGGTAATCGGCCGTCCACCCTTGCAACTGTAGAACGGTACCACGCGCAGTCGTCCCGATGCTATTATCAATTCCAGCCACTTCAACACTAAACCCTGAAGCCTCAAACTGGAATTGCAGAAGCCATGGAGGCAGGCGTCTAAGAAGACTTGGTGGGTTGGCATCGAGAGATAAGGGCAACTTTGTCAGTTGGATATGTGAATGGAACTGGTCGACCACCTGATGTACACCACGAGAAACTTGCCCACTAATCAGATGGATGGAAAATGTGTTTAAACTCCCGGATGCGACGACACAAACTTCCGGTGTTGCGTTGAGGTGGATCCTCACCTCCATCGATTCAGTATTTAATAGACGATATTTTGATCCAGAAAAGGTTTGGTAATAAAGTTGGTGCGCGGCCACCCGGTATATCGAAGACAAAGAGTAGTGGACTCCTTCTTCCGCAGAATGTGACGATTCGATATCTAAGGAGATGGAAGATATGGAGGAAATGAGCAAATTGTAACTATGATCCTGCCCGGTCTCAGGAAGAGGAAGAACAAATCGAAGCACAGGTTCATGAACTGATAATTTGATACTCGCTTTGGGTAAAAGACGGGAAATGAGGATGTGATTGTTTCGAACCTTCCGTTGGGAGCGCGGTTTCCTCTTTTGCAGAATATAGAGTATTTGGGACAAGTGTTTTGGTTCAAGATCAATGGAAGGAGATGTCACGACAAGATTGGCGAAGAGAACATTGGTGTTCCGTTCAGCAACACCCCTATTCTCGGAGTACGATACAGTCTTGGAGAGCGAAGTGGTCTTAATGGTAGTTGTAGCCATAGGGATATAAAGGATCTTATCTGTTTCTCCCATATTGTCGTCGAGTGAAACAGACAATGAAATAGCGGCAAGCAGAGCTTGGTGGGCTATGTCATCTCGCTGAAAGTACATGCGATGGGCCGGGCGGTTGGGATCCATCCGGTGAAAGTCAATCCCAATTTCGTGAGTGACGATGTTGAGATAGAGCGGCCTACTGCGATGTATGCTCTGGACAACCTGAGATAGGCGGAAAAAGCTCAATGCCACCTGGATTTCTTGTATTCCACGCAATAATGAACTGATGAATTCCCTCGAATCAGCAACGGTCTGCACGATCGATCCTTCACGGCTACCTGGTTTATCGAGCTCCTCAACGATATCCGCAAAGGATATCCCGTTATCTGTTGGCTCACCAGCAGCATTCTTTGCAACAGGGAAAGATTTCTTCACACTCGTCGCCAGTTTCATTAGGTCATCGTACGGAACATGTAATCTCCCCGCTTTAATGGCAATGGAAACATCCCTTAGACCTTCTAAATCCTTATGGAGAAGGCCGTGAATATTCAGGCCAATATTATCCACGATTTCCACAGGCTCGCATCCATTGGCAGCAAGTAAAATATTCCGGACATTAAAAATCCATTCCGCAGGTCGCTGGTCCCCGTGCGGGTCCTTCTTATGCCGAAATAGCTTCCCCCTTGCCATCATTTTCTTTCTTGTGTCAACAGCCATTGTGAGCCCTCCGACATGGATCTCTCCGGCATCCACGACCTTGAGAGTTGCATCTGAGGCCACAACATCCACTATAGCCAGCCATTGTATTCGGGCTATGTAGACGCTTGATCCATTCCTTTAACTCTGGTCAATCGTTTCCACGACTTGCTCCGCGTCTTGTGCCCAGGCCCAGATCTGGATTGAAAACCTTCATCGAATACATCATCCTTCTCCGAAGTATCTGAGTCCTCGCTCTGGGAGGTCTGTGTTCCATCATGGCTGCCACTACTAAGAGCTTGGGCATCGATAATCACAGCCAGTTCCTTCAACTTCAAACTGACCCATGTCGGCTGCGCAAACGACGGTCGATGGAAAGATAAACCCAGCACGCGGATGCTTATTTCAACCCCTTCCTTCGGCGAGTAGGCAATGCGGCGAAGAGAGAAGTAGCCAATGCGTTGTATGGAGATGCCGGTCGCTATCCGGATGATGGCGAAGAGGATGAAGGAAAGGAGGTAGAGAAGGAGCAGGGCTACGAAGACGGTGGTCGGACTCCAGATCGTCATGACGGATCACAAGTGGAACAGCACCTTGCGACAGGCTTGAGTCTGTTGGACAAAAGCTTTTTTGGCATGACATCGAGGGGGCGGGGTTTGGGGGGAACGGAAGGTTATCTAGATCAGAAACCTCGAGCCTAGCATGAAGTATGGGCGGAAAAAAAGAAAAAGGGCGTCAGTACCAAAGTAATGTACAGTAATCAAGCTCACATAGTTAGCCCAAACCCGGCCCACACGATAAACCCGGGCTACAAGGGGGGGAGGGGATAGTGCACGTCGCGAGGAGGCGACTCTGGTAACAAAGGAAAAGTGTTGGTTACCACTAGCTCGACGATGGTTGGCTAGATGTTTGGAGATGAGCAAGTTCATCGTCGGCGTCCTTGCGAAACAGGAGTCGAAAACGACGACAAGGAAGTCTCTCAACGAGGTAACACGGGCGAACTGAAACGTCAAAGGTTGAGATAGCAAAGCTAGTGATGGTTAGAAGCATTCCAGAAATCGACGGGTTGGCAGCTGCGTGGTTGGCCTCTGTCCGCTCCTGTAGCGAGCCGTCGTCGTGCGAGCCTCCTGCGGCTCTTGTTGGTTGGAGCTCCGCCGGCTACGGAGTTACTGAGCGCGGTGAACAGTTAGTCACAACAGATCCTTGGTGAGCGCACCAGGCCAGCCACTAACAAGGCACGGGATAGAGTTAGCTGCCCAGAACCATGGTTTGCTTGATACCAAATATTCCTTGGGAAGACATCTGCCGTTTTGGAATACTGGCCCGTCACCGAATAACTTGCTTTTTTGTCCGCCATAGTCTAGTGTTGGGCTTGGGAGAGCCCAGACGCTGACAGGCATACGCCTCCTCCACCAGGTGCAGCAATGGCTGAATTTTCTGAAGGAATCCTGGAAATTATACGGAGTACTCTGTGTGCATACATCATGATCGTGCCTGGTTTTTGGCCATCAAGTCTTCGATTTTATCTGCAGAGTCTACCCCCGCAAACACATCTATAGGACAACGTGTAGCTTACAATGTCGGTTTGAGCTAGTGTCATATCTTATCAGGTATTGTACATACTTTATAACATAGGACAAAAAGGTCCGACATTGTTTTATTGTAAATGAACTCGTCATAGAATACAACATAGGAATTCATCTCACGATGCATCCAGCCTCCTGAGTCCTCAAGGCGGCGATCTTGTCATCAATAACCGCAATCTCTGCATCAACAGCCAGCAGTTTCTCGTTCAGCATCTCTATATACTCCTCATCCGGTAACGGTCTCAAGAGCATCCATTTGGACTCCAACATACGCTGGACCAAGGGTTTCTGAGGTGCAGTTCGATCCCTTGATAATTGCCATCTATCAATGACATCATATGACTTCTGTCCGAGGAAGCCTGCTATTCCAAATATCACCGCTCCAGGCATAAATCGTCGGTCTATATATATATCACATCGTCAGAGGTAAAACGCAGGCCCATCAATTATTTTTTCTTTTCTTTTCTTTTCATTTTTTTTTTTTTTTTTCAATTTTTTTTTTTTTTTTTTTTTTGTTGACGACCCTAACTTACGGATAGAAAACGCAATTGCTCCTCCTGATAACCCGCTAGAAACTGAGCTTGCAAACGCGCGTTGCCCTGCTGTTGGTTTGTCGTTAAATTGAACTCTGAGGAGATTACTCCGAAGCCCTACACAAATTTCGATACCTTGAGTTATAGAACAATTTAAATGAAGGTGAAAATAAAGTCCCTTACACCATGACGAGGTTCCAAAGGCAAACCAATGGATACCAGCTGCGATTGAATGGATCGCCGGGTTCGGTGAGCGTAAGACGCCCGTAATCCCGCCAAATATGAGGCCAGAGACACCTGCATATGTAAGGTTGGAATTTAGAATAGCAAAGCGAACATGCGGACATGCGAAATTCGGCGAGAAGAGTAATAAAATCATAAATCAAATATCTATGGGGCAAAGCATGCAATAAAAATACCGCTTCCTTTTCGCGGTATTGAAAAACAACCCCAAAAAAAAGTATAGAAACAATGAATGACACAACAACATTGAAAAGGACAAAAGGGAAAATTGTTTCACCAACCACTGAATGCCCCAACTTTCAGAGCGGGCATGACTGTCCACACATTCTGTGCCTGATCACTCTGATCACAGCGGATGTTCCCACCCATCCCACTCATCCTCTCAACTTCGACTCCCCGAAGTCAGCCGTATCAGCCGTATGTGGCGTATGTTTGGCAGAGCATGAGATCAAATAATGATGCTGGCCCTTTTTGTTTTGGGACGTGTGAGAGAAGTCGTTCTCAGGCGAATGGAGTTTTTGATATGGGAAATAATCACGTGATCGAACACTTGATTGAATCTCGACCAATCACCTGGCTGGATAGCCTGAGGAAATTTTTTTCACTTTTTGTCTTTATTTTCCCCAAGGGGGATAAAAATTGTTGTGTTAAATAAAGGAACGCGTGAACCTGCATGTTTTTAATTATCATCTCTATTCATTATCAAATAGTATAATATTTTTAGGACGTAGTAAATCTATTTTGGGTATAATGAACGATACATCCGTGGGTAACTAGTATGCACAGATCACTGCCTTCAGAGAATTGAACTACCCAAAACCATATCACGAACCCGACCAAATAAATGTGTTACCCCGCAGACGACAAAGGTCCGGGCCATTTTCCCGAAGTAGGTTGTCTACATTGGTCCAAGGCATAAGTATCCGTTTTCATGGAAGAGAAAAAGGCGCTCTCTTGTGCACATACGCATCCAGGGCATTTGGTCTCTGGACAAACCCAAATTACCAGCGAAAATAGCATTGGACACCTTTCGATCCGTCTTGTCTCCGAAAAAGGGCCTATTGTGATGGTGCATTATGGCTTGCCCAGCCATACAATTTTATCTTCGCGGCGTTGGAAGATACAGGAAGATGGCGGAGCGAGAGTGTACAACAAGCCTCGGTCAATGCCAGGCCAATTTGCCAGTGGCTGTCTCCGGATATAATTTCCATTCGATTTCCCCACTTCCAGCAAGCAGCAGTTTAAATTTCCCATGCGCCGTTACATTGTATGAGGCCAAATGTAGGCGCCACCAGTCCAGTTGGACTTCTAGGCGGCATATTTCCGTTTCATATCAACTCCCATTTCTTCATATATATACGTTGGGAATAAACGATTCCATCAAATTTAGGGGGCGGAAGCTGTCTCCCTGCAGGTGGAATGGGAATGTGGCCCATATATTTAGCGAAATCACGCTGGGATAAAGAAGCATTTGTGTTCCAGATCGAGTGTTCGATAAAATCTGCGGGAAATGAAAAAGGTTGTTAGCTAGGGCATAGACAGACATTGCAACGCATGAGCATAGCACACGGAACACTGAAACCCGTATTATATATCGGCTTCTTGGGGATTTCCTGTCGGATGTTGACTTTTATAGGTTTATTCCGAGACTTTTTTTTTTTCAAGTTCACCAGTTTGAACGACCTAGGTTCGTTTTCCTTCAAAGCAGCAAATACTCAATTAAGCATCAAATAAATGATTACACCCAGCCAGCCATGATAAAAGTCATGGCACTGAGATGAATACGAAGCGCAAATTTTGTTGCATCCAACAGGAGTTGCTGGTGTTGGAATGAAGTTTGCATAGCTCGGCTCTCCCGCTTAACGCACTGAGGCTGACTTTTTTCCTTAGCGTCGTCACTAAAATTTATCCTTCCAAAAGATCCAGTCCAATTTTCCCCTCTGTGTCTTCACACGACGAGGCCGCATTTCGACCAGACAACACCACCCTATCCGGATCTAATCATTGCCTCAGTGATTCTCCATCGGATTCTCTTCCTCATCGCTGAAATATTCTCTGATCTTTCAGCTTTTTCCGCCCTCCAGAGAGACGCGCACATATCTTTGCGCGTTTCGTTAACCCAAATCGCCATCATGGGTTGGTATCCCTCAGACAACAGTTATCGCCATTATAATACCGATAGTGGATGGCATCAATAAGTCTTGCAATAATGGCTAATTCGTTCGCTGGCAGCTCCCGCAAAACCCAAAGCGCAGAAGATGTCCGTTGGGACCTTCTTGGCCGATGAGAGTATGTGGCCTCTACATCCTAGTAATTTCTGACTTACGGAATACTAACCGTAGAGCAGATTTTGGCTCTTGGGCTGATGAGATGGATCAATTCCCTCTACCTGGTAAGTCGCGATGTTTAGTTCAATTGTTTCGTTGACTGGTAGATGCTGATTTTATCTTCCCATTTAGCCGGTATGAAAAAAAAAAAAAAATGATATCCCCTACCTAGCCCTTTATTTTGGATGACAGCCTTTGGAAAAGGCCACATTAGTGAGAATGTGTAGCTAAGAGCCGGCAGTCCCGGAACCTCGTTCTAGTTATGGCGGCGAACGACGTACGGTAGGTGGATATGGCAACGATACAGGAGGTAATGGTAGGTAGATAAATTGGCTCAAGGTGTCCCATTTTTGAGATTCTGGCAACTAATACGTTTGTTCGTCAAAGAACGTGATCATCGTGGGTACTCCGTGAGGGAGGAGCTTCCCCTGCCCACTCAACCTCCATATACCGCCCACATTGGGAATCTGTCCTTTGAGGCAACACAAGCCGACATTTCGGACCTCTTTGCGGACTGCGAAGTAACGAACGTGCGAATTGTAGAGGATAAAATGACTAGAGCTCCGAAGGGCTTCGGTTATGTGGAATTCGCTACTCTTGAGGGCTTGAAGAAGGCCCTCTCGTTTCAAGGAACTCTCCTCCAGGGAAGGAATATCAGAGTTAGCGTCGCGGAACCTCGTATGTCTAGTACCACCTACCTCGCGATATAACCAGACTTTACTAACAATCAATCAGCCAAGGAGAGACAGGATACGAGAGACTACAGCGATTGGTCCCGTAAAGGACCCCTCCCAGATGCGCCTTCGCAACGCCGAGTTTCTGATCGTGCGGGTTTCGGACCGAGAGGCCAGGATTCCATGAGTGATGCCGGGGGAGACCGCCCCGGAAGACGTCCGTTTGAGCCTGCAGACGGTAAAGTTCGAGATTATGGAAATTGGGAACGCAAGGGACCCCTCTCTCCATCTCTCCCCACCGCATCCCTTGCTAGAGAAGGTGGCCGCCCGAGGAGTAAGGATGGACCACAGTTTCGCAGAGCATCCCCCGCTTGGGGAGAGGCTCGTTCGCAAGATGGCTCGAGACCACCCCGCCGTGATTTCCACGAACGACCGGTGGAAAGGGCACCAACCGCTCCTGAACTGGATAATCAATGGAGGGCAAGGATGCGACCAGATGCCCCCCCTCCCAAACAAACTCCCTCCGCTCCTGAAGTTGCTCCAACAGCAGCGCAACCCGCACCTGCACAGCGACCCAAGCTCAATCTACAAAAAAGAACAGTGGAAGCTGAACCCGCATCCCCAACTACCCCTGGTGACTCCAAGTCGAGTCCTTTCGGTGGAGCAAGACCCATTGATACTTCCGCCAGGGAGCGAGAGGTCGAGGAGAAACGTCAACTAGCATTGCGACAAAAAAGAGAAGCAGAGGAAAAGGCAAAGGCTGAGAAGGCTGAGAAGGCTGAGAAACAAAAAGCTGCCAAGGAACAAGACCAGCAGGCAAAAGAGCAGGAGGCTTCTAAGACTGAAAATCTCAATGCTACCATCGCAAATGGCTCTAAAGAGGATGATGCTGGCGCCCCACAGGCCGGAAAGAATATTGAGATTCTTCGTAGGTCTGGAAATACGGAAGAGACTCCGGCGGTTGAGGGATCCACAGAAGCAGGAACTTCGGGTGAGAAATCCGAGTCCCCCAAGGAGCAGCCAAGAGAGCAGGCTCGTCAGCAAGTACCTAGCAAAACGAATGGGAACTGGCGAAATGGTGCTCCCAGGTCTCGCGGCCCTTCGCACGGCCATGCACCACCTAGGGGACCTCAGGGTCAGGCAAAAGCCCAGCAACCGAAAGCTGCCGTTTCGGATCCTGCAGTTTCCCCTGTCCCTGCGGAGCCGGAGGAGGAGGGCTGGAGCACCGTGAGCAGCAAGCAGCGCAACAACCGACGCGGAAACCAGACCCGCGGCTAAAAAAATGTCCATTTTCTTTAACCTACTCTATGGCATTAGATACGAAAAGTCGTTTGAAACACACAAAATCACGAACCTCATACACCTTATACATGATGCAACGTAGCTTTCCCCCTTTTCAAGCCTCCAGCTAAACACCCTGGGTCCAGCCCAGCCCAGCTTATCTTAATCCGGCGCGCTATGTACCATTGCTCTACAGGTTCGGGTATTCCATTGTTCGCCTTCTTTCTTTCCTTGATCACCTCTTATCTTGTCCACATGCTTTTCACCAACGAATATGTATGAACCGGGATATGTGTCTACCTCCTTTGTCTCTGGCGCTTCTTTCTTTCTGATGAAACCAAAAGAAATCATCTATCAGCTTGGCCGAGTTTTTTCTCATGGGTTTTCTTTTTACTTTCTTTTTATTTTGGCTAGCTAGCTTGAAGGTGTTTCTTCCTCGTCTACCCACTACGTTTTTCAAAAACGCTGCTCGCCACTTGTCCCCCTATTCTCCAGATATGGTTCTTTTTCGTTTTCGTTTTCCTTTCCTTTCGATCATGAAGAAATCTATTTGCCGTTTCTCTTGTAATTGTCTATCTCGTTCCATTTCAAACTTCCTTTCCCTTTCCCTACCTACCATCTCTGTTTATTAGGCTTGGTAAAGAGTTATTTCTCACAAGTGCATTTCGTCTATTAACTATGTTTCCCAAAGTTGGGTCCTTTTCTTTTTCCTTCCCTTCCCCGCCTCCTCTTCCTTTTCTTACTTCACTCTCCTTGATTTATCTGTCCCGCCTCGTACGGCATGGGTATGCGGCGTGGGGATTTTCTTTTCTAGAAATAATATATCGAGGGGCATACAAGGGGGGGAAACCCAGAGATTTCTTCTTAATTTCACCCATTTTCCATTTTCTCCCCATCCATCATGTGTAACCCTAAAACATCACATACATACAAGACTCACAACAGCCGAATATGTCCGCTCCGTCCTGTCTCGAGATATCGAATCTGTGTCCAAGGGGGGCATAGAGTGGAAGGAAACCTGTAGGGACAACAATTCTAGCATGAGCGGAGTATGAGGGAAAACAAAAGGGTAAATGATAGTAGGGAGGAAATGGTATTTTGACAACTCGTCCTCACACGAGACTGTAGATACCTGTGTCCGAAACCAACCATTCCTAATCTAACTTACCTAGCAGAGCTGTTTATTTCGTAAGATATTCGTCGTTTCTGAGAAGATACGAGGTTTTCTAGTGGTTCTCTTGTCTCCTTTTTTCCTTCTTGGCTTGATGGCGCTGAGTCCCAAAGTTTATCCTTTCCCTTCATCACGGTTTAATGTAGATTTCATGCAAAAAATTGTTTATTTAATCACTTTGATTACTTCCCTTTTCTTCCCGGCAATTTTTTTTTTTTTTCCTTAAAAAAAAAAGTGGGTGGGGTGTCCCTTTACTCTTCCTATAATTTTGGCATTTCTACTTATGATAATAAATTTGAGCTATCCCAACCGGATTGATGGCAAAGACTCATAGCTCCTGGTAGCCGAGGAGATAACCCAGACCAGCTATGGCATGAAACCAGTCTCTCACGAGGTATGCGAATTGAAGCCTGATGCTCTGAGCCTGGCGATGAGGCCACCAGCAGCTGGATTGAAAAAATACCAGTCACATGCTCTCCTCTCATGCACGGAAATTTATATTCTGGGCTGCACAACAAAAATATCAAGGAAGTATTTCTATCCGCCACGGATGGTGTGTTTACATGGAATTTTTACGGAGAAAGGGAAACAAAAAAAAACTTCTTCGCGCAGTTGAGATTAAACACATTTCTGATATGCAAATATATACATGTATGTACAGTACATTTGGCGGCTCTAGAGTGAATGATGGCAGTGCCATGCGCACTCGTACCTAGTTCCCAGCAGAGTCCACACGGGGCAACGACGCAGCGTCTCACGCCCCCTTGGGCTGCCAACCCTCTGCCGGTATCTCGAAGCCCTTCGGGTCAAATCCTGGAGCGACTGGCGGTTTTGTCAGACAGAACACTTGCCATCAAGAACGAGAGGGTGTTTCCTTACCAGTTGTCCCCACAAGTGTCCAGTCTCCCAAGCTCTGTGCGCTCTGCCACTCCCACTTGCCCACCACCACTTGCGGCTTCTCGCAGTTGAAAATGTTCGGCCCGAGCGCCACTTCCTTCACCGGCTTGCCATCGTTGTGCGACAGAGACATCTTTAAGGATGCGCCTGCATAATAATGCCAGACCTCCGGAACGTCGATACGGTGCCAGTGGGATGGACCGGCAGATCCCTCGAGGAGGTAGTATATGGCAGTGCTGGCAGAACGGTTGTTGACGGAGGCCGGATCCCGGAAGCTTTCGACATAGTAACCCTTTTCGACGTTGGGGATGAGGCCGAGCTGCTTGACGACCTGCTGCGCAGTGTAATGCGTGATGGGAACTTGGGGTTTACAGCCGCCACAGCCCGAAGAATCGATTGATGGCTTTGGGGCTGCTGCTATGACGGGAGACATCAGGAGAGCCAGGATTGCCAGCAAGCTGAGCAACAGGGGGCCAGCGCTGAAGTGCTTGGCGGGCTGGTGCATTGTGCCTTTCAACATATACGAAGAATTGTTGTTTTGTGGTGTGCTGGCCAAATGAGAGGTGTAACAAGCCGTGGATTTTATCCGGATTTTTGAGAAATAAAAGAAAAGAAAGCTGCAGCGAATGTAGGTGAACTTTTCCTTTTTTATTTGCTGGTAATTAATTGTAGATGGACATTCCCTCAGCTCCGGAGACTTTTCTTGCAGTACCTCCATCATCCGACACATTTCTCCAAATTACGAAATTTAGCATCTTCGCTGGCCGTCCAGTTCGTCGCTCATTAGCAGCACAGCATGCGGATGTTGAATGCCTTAATTTATTTGGTGAAACAAGGATTGAATTAGTTATTACAAACAGTTCCTGCATAATTACACACAGCCAAGGGTCACTAAATTTTAACTACAGGAATAGTGGATACACATCATTCCATACAGAAGAACGATATCTCCCCCGTCTCATGCACCTTGGGCCTCTGATGTATAGATCTTCAAGGGGGCCGAACTGTGCCTTGGCTTCAGGCTCCTGAAAGCTTGTCAGCTGCTCTAGTGTGTGATCTTTTATTTTAGCTGATGGGTTAGGAGTTCATTTTTGGTAACTATTCATTGTAATAGAAGCCTGCAATGTATACGGAGATGCATCTTTGTTGGTACACTCAGAGTGATTTGGGGCGTTGTTATAATGATCACAGATATTTTCAGATACTAGAATCCTCAAAGAGTCTAACATTAGCTAGAGTACTCTATACAGATCTGTAGAGAATTTCATAATACCTTTCAGCTCACCCCTCAGTATGTTCAGCGTCCAGCATCCGCGATATCGTATTATTGTAAGTGAGTGCTATGTGTATTGACTGAGCAACTCCTCAATCCCTAATTAATCTTTTCTTCCTCTTCGAGAAACGAACGGGTAACTTTAGCTCCATGCTTCGGTAATTTATGCAAGTTGATTGGGCAAAAGTCCAAAGAAGGACGGGGGTAAGCTTGAGTTCCAGCATCCGGGACACGGCGGCATCGGACGGACTGACCGATCCTTGTATGGTGGAGAAATTTGGACTCGATGAAGCACGGTTTTTTTTTTTAAGTTTTCAATCTAAATCCTCTGACGTGACAGAGGATTGATAAACGAGTCTGTATTACCTACGAGTAGATATCGTCAATGATTCTCTTGCTCACCGGCCATTTGCGCTCGCCAATCAGCCTGATATCAACAACCTCCAGCAAGATACTAGCCATGATGAGGTCTGTTAATGCTTCTCGCCTTCAGCTCAGCGAACGGATCTCAGCGGCTACGCGTGAGATTATAAGAGACAGCTCAGACATCGACATAGAATTTTCAGCTGGTTAGTAATTCCATTCCTCGACGCTTGGGTGGTTCGCTTCCTGAGATCAACTCCGATCCCTGAGGCCGCTCCATGGAAACCGGTACACCGACAATGGGCCTCATTTCAAGTTGAGGAGCGAAATATCTCCATCCCAGCAGGACCACTGTCGGTGATGAACACATTTCCGGTGCAAACAAATACGGAATTCTATCAGTCAACTTGGCTTGCATCACTGAAGGTTTTTTCCCGGCCGAAAAGAGGATAAAAGTAATCCATATATAGAATTCCCAACAAATTCTTCACAAAGCATCCGGGAAAAAACATCATTGCTGTTAGTATTTTTAGATTTAAACCCTAATAATCCTGTATCATCAGAAGTGATAGATATATTATATCTTCTGTCTCTTGATATATCTGAATTTTTATATTCATATCTCTAGCTTATGTATTCAAGCACAGTTCTTTTGAACCTTCCAATTCAGGTGGATAAGATCAAATTTATATGGCAATTCCCATTACTCAAAGTTGTCAATCCAAAAATGAAGTTTTATGGAACACTGGAATAAATCACAAGTCAGGGTATATTTTTGACTGTAGGTGGGCAATATCTGATAACATTGATCTCGGTGAAATTTGGAAACCTGGACCAGTGTTAAATAAACCAAGAGGAGAACTAGCTAGTTTTCACCGAAAACCTGTCCTCTTGTCTCAGCCGAACTTCCTGCTTCAACAACGGATGTGCTTATGCTCTGTATTGCGACATGGTTCTCAAATTCGTCTCATAGGAAAACTGCCATCTCGTCCTGATATAGAGTCGGTTTTCTCCTTTAAGTGTTCACAAAGGACTTCAAACATGGGTTGGGTGATACTTCGCGGGCGTCTGACACCATTGCGAGTTGCACTAACATCTCCGAATGCCTCCAGGTTGCGACGGATGCGAGTTATGGTTCGTTTGCTGCAGCCAGCGACAGATCTATTGAGTGATTTGCTCTGAATCGTATGATGTCTGAATCGTATGATGAATCAGTTCGAGTTGTGGGAATTTTAAATACTCCGACATAGATGAGCACTCTGAACCTCCAGCGCGCACCTGTCCCTATCCAAGCAACAATGTGGTCGCACAGGCATCAGTCATCTCTTGAGAGCATTTTGGATTTTTCAGAATCCTTCTCACTGAGTCTACAGCAATCTGATTCCGCAAGGTGTCTCCTTGATATATTCATCAAGGACTATGGCCTTGAATGAGCAACAGAATGGGGTTATAGCCTGCGAACTTGATATACGCCACGCTTGACTAGATCTTTCAAAAGTGTCATTCTTAACTCTTTTTTTTTTCACAATCCTACATGAGAATTTGGCTGGTGTTATGTCTAATATTATGTTGGCTTTGTCATACTTTGAGGATTTCAGTTCCTGAGAGCCAGCTATGTGAAGTGGTGTGGGTGTGAGGGGTGCTTTAGAAGAGTTTGTGGACTAACTATATGGTTACGCAGTTCTTTCTTCCATGTGTGTTTGTGGTGTCCTCTACTTACAATCATCTTCTAACTCAGACAATTCAGTTAGAGCCTCATCTGTCAAGACACCATACTCAACATCCATTTCATTATCCACAATACAAGCATCGATTGCCACAGGCATGAAACAGTGCATATCTGTCTTGAGACACAATTGCCTTGTCTGTGATCACCACTGATGTGTTGTGACCTGGAAATTTGACATAACAGAAGTTAGAATGCGTCTTGCAAGGGACAAAAATTGCATGGATGGTGATAGAAAGCTCCTGGAAACAGAGCAATGTGATAACTTCCAGTATCTGGAAGTCGCCCATATATTGTCTCATTGCCTCACAAAAGTTGCTTCTGGGGATGAAGATCTGGTATGAATGAACCCTGCTGTGTCTAGATTTTAAAGAATGTACTCCGGGTTCTGGACATGTTTGATCCTGGCGTCGCTCACCTCATCGATGGCCCAAAGATCAACAGCCCATTGAACACTGTCACATTAACACTTGATAATCATCGGTTCTTTGGTGAATTCCAGATATATTTTGAGCTGACGGGCAGAGCCTATGAATATAGGATTCATTCTGCCGAGGGCCGTTTTCTACGTGATCCTTTCTTCCCTGTCACTCGCACCCTGATGCTCAGTTCCAACCGTACAATTAACCCGCCGTCTCCTAGGCTTCTCAGCATTCATCGTGCAATCTCACTTATCCTCAAACTCAGTGGCGCTGCTGAATATATAGATCAGACTCTTCGAGACTTAGAACAGGCGACAGTGGAAGTGGATGGGTCAACCATTTGGGAGATATAACGATGTGACGACTTGATGGCTGGATAAACCAGTTAGCTGTATTTTAGTTAGATTTAAGTCATCATTTCATTTCATTTCATTTCATTTTTTGACTAGCTTATTCAACCCGTGAATGACAAACTGAGACTAAAGTTTTCACGGTGTTTTGCTGGCTACCTGCGCTGAAGAGCAAGAAAGTGCGAGTCCACTGATCGCTTTTACAAGCCCATCCCAGTTCTTATCATAGCGAACATGTTGTTTCAATAACTAAGGCACTTCAGTTTGAACTCGATCCTATAACTTCTAAGTGTCATAGTGCATTGGCAGAACTTGCACTGGAGGCCTTCTGCAAAGCAATCAGAGAACTTACACTGATCTTAAATTGATAATCTCAAACAAACTCTGCACAGAGCATCTGTGAAAAAAAAAGTTTTCACTTACTGTAAACACAGAAATGATTTGCTCAAGATATAATCTTTGAGATAGAACTTCTTCATTATATCATATATATAGACTATTTCTATTCCATCTTAAGAGATCAATTTTTCAATTTTCTGTTGATTGATATAATTTTTATCTGAAAATATATATAGTCCAACCTGAGAGAGGTTGGTTGCCATGATCCATCCATGGATCTAGTGGCTAGTAAGGATTGGTTCGTCCAGTGGCCTAACACTAACTAATCCTAACCATCCCGGCTACTTAACTACCTAACTTTTCAAATTATCGAGCTGTCAACTCTGCCCTACGCACTTTTGCAATATTTCACGCTCACCGAATCCCAGCAAAGGTACGTCCAGTACATCTTTTTACTTCTACCAAGCTGGGATCTCTTCGATCCCTTCACTCCTTTCCTCCCACAAAATCCCACTGAATAACAACAACGCAGGGGGAAGAAATAGTACCTTAGCCATTCCGCACGGCCGACACGCTCAATCAAACTACAACCATGCTGATCACACGAGGCTTTTCCCTAACCAACTTCATCATCGGGTCCTCCGCCCTCTGTTTCCAAGTCTTCATCCTTTACCCCTGGCACAACAAACTCGAAAAGGACTTCGAGGAGATGAGAGATGCCCACATCTCCTTAATGAAACAGAGTGAGAAAAACCGCACCGAGGAACTAAGGGCCATCCACGAGCGACTGCAGAACATTAAACAGCCCCGCGGGTGGCTCTGGTAATTTTTCGCGATCTCGTCGTAACGACTTTTGTCCTACGTATGCTAGCCGGCTTTGGCTCGAAACCCCGCCCTCATCCTCAATTAAAAGCGCGTTTGGGAAGGCGATTGTCCCAATATCAATCAACCCATCCATCGGCGCATCAGCGCATCAGCGCATACGCATGCGCGAGCTGCTCTTAACCCATCAGTGCCTTTTTGCCGATCCCACCTCAGCCTTGCGCGCTATGTTCTTGAGCGTTTACCTTAAATAGATCCCAGAGGAGCCGATCGAGGACGTGCACTGCTGAATATTTTTGAGCGTGTTTTTCTTTTCTATCATCATTTTTCTCCATTCCCTCCCCCTCCCCCCCCGGGCCTTTGCAAGCAAATCTCGTCCAAACTCTCTTTTTCTTTTCTTCTTCTTCCTCATTATTACTCATTTTATCTGGCGCACCAGAATCCAGCAGCAATGCCTTGTCCTTTTTTTTTTTCATGTTTTGTACTAGAAACGACATAGATGTTGTGAAAACGTAGAACAACCCCTTTCCTTCCCGGTCTTCTCCCCCCCCTTCCCCTGTGGTTAGCAACGTTGACGATAGATATGTGCGGTTGAAAAATACGAGTTAAAGACACAGTTTTTCTCAAATATATCTCGATATCAAATCCTATGTATGCCCCACAAAATATCACAGTCTTGATTGCGTTGTGTCATCATCCTATAGGGACGCAGGAGCATTTTTGCTATTTTTGACTGCTGTACATAGAAAGGAATTGAACTGTAGAAATTTGATCTCTACACAGTTACTACTTCACCCAGCAGATCCCCAAATATCCGAGTTGTTCCGCTTGCAGGGATACCGGTTTTGGCCGAGTTATCTGCGGCTTTTTTTCTGGGGCAAAGTTCTCGGCTGAGTGGCACAGCCACTTTGCCCAAAACAGGTGCGCTAGTCCGCGTTTATGACGGGTAACGTCCAGATTACGGAGTTACATCGATGACTATTATATTATATTTCTCAATCTACCCATCAATCAATCAATCCCTTGCTTCCATTTCCCGCAGCTGATCATATATCATTTCGTTTCTCCCTTTTTCATATCGCTTGACTGACTCTTCGAAAGAAGTTCAGAGTCAGAAGAAGAAGAATCTGCAGTGCAGGTTATACTAGTGATTCATGACCAACACTGACGTACCATAAGTGGCAGTTGTGGGCAAGTGGTGGCAACAGCAAATCGAAACCAGTAATATGGCTTTCCGAGCGATCAATTCCTAACCGAGGGGGGAAAAGAGTGGGGAAATCCAGGAGCAGAGCACCAGGCTATCCCCTCGTCTGGCCGCTAGGACACAATTAGTGTATTTTTTAGTGTGTACATTAGTGTATTAAATACATGGAAACTACTGGATAATATGAGGCATCAACTGTATTGATGTGTTTTAGTGTAATTTATGTAATCTATTAATAAATATTATTAGAATGGAACTTCTTTCAACATTCTCTTTTCAAATAGAAAGTAACATTGTTATATACTGTACAATCATATCTTGATCTTGAAGTTCTTTTTTTATTTCTTTTTTCTCTATTTCTTTTATACTGACATTAGACACAAGTTTGAGAAGATGGCAGAGAAATTCATTGATGATTTAAATTCAAATTTAATTGTGGCGTTCCGCCCCTAGTCTCCCTTCCGCCCTGCTCCTTCCGCCCCTGCATTATTATTCCTCCTATTCTTCCCGTATGCTGCGATCGCTCCTTCCTCTGGATTGGATCGCTGACGGGATGACTACGTATATATATAGGGGCGTTCGCCCACCCTTCTAAATTAAAAAAACTCAGACATGAATTATCCTACCAATTGAACGGTGTACACCATATAGCTTTTTATTTCTTGAGCTCTTATTTATGTTTTAAAGTAAAAGCTCTTCTTTTCCCTGTTCTTGCTTGTTCACATACGACACAGTATTCACATATGTGAGGGGTTTATTTAAAGTGATTGCATTCAGACATTGATTTGTGAAGTGCTCTAACTTATCACAATGTATGCAGACTTCTCTGATAATTCAGTCAGTGATGTCTTTCTCTGAAGTATTAAGAACTCTCAGATAATTTGCATTCACATATCAGATTCAATTCATTAATTCTAATTCAGAGATAAAAGGTGTTGCAGAGTGATTCAGAGTGTATATATTTGTTTAATAAAATTCTTTACAATATTAAAATGTGTGGAACTGAGACAGATTATTGTTTAATAAATAAAGATCAGTATAAAATTCACTGTATATTGAAAACTTTAGATGCTCTACACTTCAGTTATGCAATTGAAAGTTCAAATTCTTAAACAATATATTGATTTTGATGACATTATTTCAGTTCTGCTCATCTGCTTCTAGAAGCTTGCAATTGAATTCAGAAAGATAAGTTGTCAATATAATGTTTCTTTAATAAATCTCATTAAATCAATTCAGCATCTTGATTTGAAATGTAGAATCAAAAAAAAAAGAGAATTGAATTGTCAGAAAACTAACTCTGACATACATTAATTGTCTCAATAATGGCTCATTCAGGGTTGAAATTTCATTAACACATCGCCATTCAATCTGCTATGAATATACCATACTTGATTGGATAGCGAGTCTATTGCTCATTCATTGATGTTCAATTTGATATTCATTTTTAACTTCCACACAAGATAGAGTGCTAGATCTCTCTCATATTTGTTGAGAATTGAGAGTTTCTCTCTCAAAGACTTTTCATGAAATGTAAATGTAAAAGAAATGGTGAATATAAAAGTGCTCATTTCAATAAATCATTGTTGCAATTCATTCATCTATAATGCTTGCTGCTGGAGGATGCTTTATAGATCTAGATTATTATTCACCACATTTGAATGCAGTGAATGTTCATAGAATTGTTCATAGTTCATTTCAGTATTTAAAAATATATAATTCTAAAAAAAAGAAATACTCATAGACATTCAGACCTCTTGCAGACATTATTCACAGTGTCACAATGCTAAGCTTATCAAGCTTCTTTGTGAATGCTATTCACAGCATTATAGCTTATAAACACTTAGATCTCTTTGTAGAACACAATTGATTATATTTTGAACACTTAGACACAATAATCTATATAACTAATAATAAGAGCATTTGAGCTTATGAGAAATCTTTTATAAGGACTAAACACTCAGATCTGTAAATGATGCACTCAAATGTAAGGATTAATAATAAAACACTCAAATTTTAAACACAGAAGAATCAATTCATAATATAATAAACATACTTCAATTAACAATCTAACACTATTCTAAATACAGATTACAAATTGATTAAGAAAAGAAAGAAAAAGGAGATCAGAAAGAAAGGTTGTATGAAGAGGGTTTTTATAAAAAAGAGATTGAAATAGAAAAATATCAGAACCCATCTCACAGTGAAGCACAGAGCAGAAAAATGTTAAGAGTTACACAGAAGAATTGTTAGAAACTATATGAGCACAGAGTGTGAAATGGAAGAACATTAAGAGCTATATGAAAGAATCATTAAAGACTACATGAGCACAGAGCATAGAGTAGAAGAATATTGAGAGTTACACAAAGTCATAATGACAGAAACAAATGAATGCAGAAGAGGAGTTGATTTCATAAGTTAATTATTAATAAATGCTAATTTATCACAATCATTAAACAGATTGACAACTGAAAAATGATGAGAAGATTTTATAAATTTGAATTTAATATTCTTTAAAAATGAAATACCTACAAGAAATTTATTCACAGATTATTTTTACTTTACATCTGTTTTTATACTAATTAATAAAAAAAAATCAATCAGTTAATTAAAAAAAGCATTGAAGAATTGAAAATTATTTATAAAAATCATATTTTTATTTCAGAATGAATAGTGATTACATTTGCAGTGAATATGAGAAAGTTTCAAGATTGCAGAATGTGTAGAGCAGAAAACACAAGATAATAAAGAGATATCAACAAATTAAATTACATAGAATTTAGTATGAGAAATTATTGATTGGTACTTCAGAGCTAACAGCTTAGTTGTTACATTAATAGTATTGCACTAATTGTATCCTAGTGGCCAGACGAGGGGATAAGGAAATTTTACTTTCGGCTGTACATGGAGTGTGTTGCATTGGGGCAAAAACAAACCAGAGAGGATAGGAAAAGAGGCTCACGATAGGTGAAGGTGTGTGTCTATAAATATAAGACGAGGATGGCTGCGCATCAAGCGACATAGATTCCAAGAGGAAATTAGCTCGGGATAGGCGGCAAGCCGACAATCGGCGAGATATATAAAAAAAATAAAGGAAATGGGTTACAAAACGAAAGAGGGGGGGGGATAGAGCAAAATCTAGATAGGTAGTTGAATGTACAAATAGTAATTGGAAATAGAAATGAATCTACAGCGTCAACACTATACCGATAGGAGCGCTGCAAGAGACAAAGGGAGATTTTAAGAATATTGAAGAAAAATAAGAAAAAAAAAAATAGAAATAACAATAATAAGATCCCTTTTGCGTGAGAATGGGTATTAAAATGCAGATATACATCTTTCACAAAACAATGCTTGGGCATGGGCATTTAATCCTCCAAGTAGAATTCCGGATGCCATTCCTGCCCGGGATATGCCGTGCTGGACATGACAATTTCTTCACTCGAGTCATCTCCGGGAACTGGCACCGGCAGTTCAACCGGCTCAATGTGTTTGCCGGAACCTGCCATATATTGGGATGGTGTGTGGTTATTATAGTTCCGATTTTGTGGAATCTTGTTTGGGAATGATGGACCTTCTGGAGGTGGGGAGCCAGCAGCAAACTTGGTTGCGACGTCGGCGAGGGGATGCTGAGCCGGATCGGGAGACTGGGTTCGTGCAGCACGTTGTGCGGGGACATGTCCGTTCTGGAACTGAATAAAGGACATTGGGTTGTGAGACGGCAGTTGAGCGTTGTTTGAATAGGACTGAGGATTCCCAGGTGGTGTCGCATGGGCAAGGACAGTGGTAAGAGGTGGTAAATTGGTATGCTGGCTGTTACGACTAGGCTGCACGTTGTCCTGGGCATAGTGTTGCGAAGTCATTGATCGGCGCCCTCCAGGTTGGGTTACTGGTTGCGATTGGGGCTGTTTAGTTTGCTGCTGTTGATAGTCATGTGGCATTGAATTCGAGTATCTATTCGGGTATGTACTTGAATACGGTTGCTTTTGCTGTGCAAGAGCTGTGACTTGCGTTTCATATAGATGTGGAGAATACTCAGGAGTGTGGGGCGTCTGGGTGGCGGACTCTGCTTGCCTGGAATGGCGGTTGAACAAACCCTGAAAGTATCATTTTGTTACAAAAAATGTCACTCAAGACAAAATTAGTTTCGGATTCAGGTAACTTACAGCAACTTTTGGCATGTTCTTCTTTTTCATGTTACCAGCGTTCTGAGCAAGACGGTTGGCACCCCTGATAAATTTGCCGTGAATTTTCAATTTCGAAGCCGGAGATTGGTTGCTCGGCGACGTAATGGATGGGTCGTTGGGATTCGTCATAGACAGGGATGCGGCGCGTTGGGCCTCTTCCGATTCGATTGTGCTCGCGGTTCTGGTTTTTGAAAGGCCTGAGTCAACTCTGAAGGAATGGAATCGATTGCTCCAGCTCTTCTCATTGGGTTGCCCAGAAGCGCTTGAACGTCGATCAGTTGCCTGACGGGAAAAGGTCACTTTAGACATCAGGTTGGCCATAGCGGAGCCTGGGCGGGTTTCCTCCTGCACGGTTGGGGGCCTCGATGAAGAGTTCCCTGAGGGTGAGAAGTAGTCGCGTATCAGCTGAGTTGACGAGCGCCCCTCTTTAACAGGAGCAGCAAACTGAGCTGAGGGGATCCTTGGAGGACTGGAAGGTTGAATACTAGGAGCTTGCCTTGGAGCGAATGGTTTAATAGATGGCTGATCCGCTGGCTTTCTATCTGGGATGCCAGAACTTGATTGACGTTCTGCCCTTTCACGCTGTGCAGTGGTGTCCGGCACAGGAGGAGGGAGGCGGGGTTTTTCTGTTGCAATATTATTCACGTAAGTGGATTCGACGGTAACTGGTTTTGACTGGGATTGGATCTGCTCTGCATGCTGGTTCCCAACTTCCTGTCTCGTCTTGTCTATGGGGTTATAGTCATCCGGCCGGTCGGTCATTGGTTTGTCCTCGGGAGGCAAAGATGGTAATGACTTGGTTTTAATGGCTGGTGTTGACGGCGGACTCTTTGGCTCTGCTGAAACCCGTTGCGCAGCTTTATCAACACCGACATATCGGGGCTCTGTTGACTCTCGTCTGGAGGATGAGGCCGCATCACTACGATGGATATAACCTTCCACTTGTTGGGCGGAAACGGTTTGCTGTGGTTGTGATGGCTGCGAATAGCGACTGGTGTTTATATCGTTCAGTAGCCCGATCGAGAGAGTAGCTTCAGGCGTGGACTTTGTCGACATCCTAGCCAGCGAAGCGTTGGAGGGCACCTGGCCACGTTCGTTTTCATTACCCGATGGTGGCTGGGGCGGTTGGGAGCTCCCTTCAACGCCCAGAACTGATTCAGATGCTGGGGTTGGCGACATCTTCCCTTTTTTGCCAATAGTGATTTCGCGCGATATAAAGGTGCGTAATTCGGAAGTAATTATGCTTGCTTTCCGACCGATGACTTTGACAGCTCGTGCTTCCTCAACTGGCGGGCTAGTATAGGTTGCATAATCAGATGGCATAATCGAAGCCCTGTTATCAACCATTGATAGGGCGGCGGATGAAGTTGGCCGTTCCTCCACGGAGTCGGTCGGACTTTGTATCTCATCTTGCAATTCCGGTTGCACTACTGGTTGTACTTTCGGTCGAGCTTGCGGTTGCAACTTATCAGGAGCTCCCTGTTGGGATTTTTGTTCAGGTGCCTCCTGTTGTGGCTCCTCCTGCGGCTCCTCGGGCTCTTGCAATTCGCGTTGCGGTTTTTGCGGCTCTTGTGGCGGTTCTTGTCGCAACGCCTCATTTATGGTTTCGTGTACCTCCCTAGTCTTATCCTCAACGCTCTCGTCAACCAGCTCTTCCACCCTAACCCTGGCCTTATCCTTAGTTTTCTCTTTAGCCTCCTCTTTAGCCTCAGCTTTATTCTCGTCTTTAACCTCCTCGTTCGCCGCTCCCCGCACCGTCACCTCTTCTTGCACTTGCACCGGACGCTCAAAACCCACATCCCCAGCCGACACAGTGACTTCCGTTTTCAGATCCACATAACTGACCCGCTCCGGCTGCGGCTGCGGCTGAGGCTGCGGGTCCTGCATTTGCAGCTGCACCTGTTCTCGCACATTCCTATCCCCAAACCCTTTCAACATAACAGGCGGAGCATCAACAGGGGACCCAGTCGGCGACTCCAGCGTGCCAGGGCAACTATTCCTGTCCGTCTTCCGTGAAGGTTCTAGAACCATCGATGAAGTACCGTCTCCGACAGTGTTGGTAGTGCCGCCACCGCCCAACGTTACCATCGTTTGCGGCTCAGAAGACACCGAAGCAGATGTCGTTGTCATCGATTCACGCTCTTCCCAAGTCACTGTCATATCATTGGAAAATGACTCACGATCTAGCTTTAGCGATAACAGACGTGGTAACGGTTTGCCAGCAGCATCAGCCGCGGCTGCAGCGGTTTGCTGACCGTTGTATAAACCAGATTGCTGCTGTGCGTCGAGGCTTAGGGTAGAGCTCGACCTGTGCCGCGACGAGAAGGCTGGGCGGGAGTGGTTAACCTACAAGATGGCGTGAGCGCAGTTGAGTTAGATTTCGGCGAATTTTTCTTATCTCAAGAAGAGGGCGGAAAGGTGAAGAGATGTTTAGAGAGAGAGAGGAGGGAGAGATTAAGAGAAATACAAGTAAGGCGGAAAGATATGCAAGATGGAGTGGTTGGAAATAACAAATGTGTCATATAATCTCCGCGCACATGTTTAGTCGCGGGGCCAGAGCTATGGGATCCTCAATACAGATTGATTTGCAAAAGGCAAATTTGAAGCAGAGAAAAGAAAAAAGAAATCGATAATAAAAGATATATATATGAAAATAGGAAAGTAGGAAAGTAGGAAAGTAGGAAAAGCGATACATGCTCAAATTGAGCTCGCAAAACGCGAAAACAAAGGGTAGACAAAAGGCCTTGCCACGCCCGAAATTCGAAGAATAAGTCAAAATAAAAGCCCTTGTTTGACCTCCCGACGGATTGAAATGAATGAGAAAAGTAATAGAACGAAACTCCGACGAACAATGAAAATGGTTTTCAAGTATCTACCTTATCAGTACTGCTGCTGTTGCGGAATTTGCTCCTCCCTTTGGCAAAGAGCCCTTTTGCTGCCCCCCCAGCCTTTCCACCTAGTACACCAGCGGTGTGCAGCAAATCCTTACCCTTGGCCTGAACCTGCTGCGTGTTGATTTTCGTGGCGAATTGGTTGGCGTTGGATGCATGTCGTGTATTTCCGGCGAATGTCGGCGTGGTCGTCGGAGATCCCTCGTGGTGGGACGTTGGGAGAGAAAGGGGACCTAAAGAAGTGAGCTTCGGGAACTTATTCCGCGACGTGCTAGGTCGATGGGTAAACGTAGTTCCCGGTGGGAGGCGGCCATTTCGCTGAGCCAAGTCCTCGTGATCGGGGTTTGAGCTGGCTGTTGCTTTTATCCAGGATGATAACCCTGTGTCCATATCTGCGAATTGCTTCCTCGTACTCTCGAATGTTTTAATTTTGTCGCCGGGCTTTTCTATGGCCATTATTTGACGGAAACCGAGCAATTTGGGATCTTGGGTCGCTGGGGGGTGAGAAGCAGGTTGAGGATGAACAAGAGTACTAAGGGAACTAGCAGCAGGCGCTGGCTGGAGAAGCAGACTGTCAGGTGGTTGAACTGACTTTGTTTCATGTTCTGCTACATTTTGGCTAGGGATTACTTCAGTCCTAGTGGGGCTTAGAGTGAGAGCCGCCTGGCTATAAGTCGTAGATGCGCTTCTCTCAGGGTCTTGTTCATCGTGGCCTCGACTTACGGGTACCGGACCAGTTAGTGTCTTTTCTTCCAATGATGGCTGTATCATATCTGAAGCGGTAGCTTGATCAATGGTCAATTGCTGATGTTCCTGCGGGTCCTGGGTATTGTCCTCAACGGACGATTCTTCCCAGGAGAACCTTTTCTTTAACGTTTTGGCAGGCTCTTTCTGGCCAGAAATATCGGAGTTGTGCTCAGAACCAATACCCGGGAAGCTTGGGGCGACAGGAGTTGATTGCATCTCAGGGATTTGTGGAGGTAGATTAGAAGGTGAGGCGGCGGTACCTAGACCTTCCGATGAAGGGTTGTCAGGTCCAGCTTCTAAGCTAGGGTTGGAACCACCACCTGCATGCGCTTGTTCCTGAGAGTCAATCGAAACTCGCGGAGTCAGCGACCGCATGATTTCATCTCTCAGGCGATCATTAACACCTAATGACACATTCTCAGGGCTAGACGGCGAGACATTTCCTGGTGCAGGCCGATCGTATTGCGCTAGCGAAAGTCGCTTTTCTCCACTGCCTACATTAAGCGCCAAAGGCATTTGGGGACTCTCAACCTTATCGAGCGTGACCGTAGGCGACTCCGTAGGCTGCTGAAGGACATCTGGGCTAGCTGGTGGTGATGTACGCTGGTCGTCATTTTTAGGTACTGTAGGCGCACTTGCTGAGAACAATGATTGTGCCGCAGCTGCTTCATGGATATTGAATTCCGATGCCGTATGTGAAGGTAGAACATGGGTTTCTCCATCTTGGGTATCGGACGCTTTGGCTTCATGTGTGCTAACTGGAGATACTCCATGAGCAACAGGCTTTCGAGCTGGGCTACTTCTAGAGCTGGGCGGAGACAAACTCCGCCTGTGATCATGTTTAAAATCCGCAGGTTCTTTATCAACGGTTGGAGCTTGATCGGTGGATGATGGTCCTTGGGCATGTTCATCTCCAAAGTTGGAGACAGGTTGGGGCTGAATTATTGGGCTGATCATGGAGGTACTGGCGCTATCTGATCTGAGGATGCTGCCTGATGTTGTGATTGGGGATTCAAGGCGTGCATCGAACGCCTGACGAACGACAGAGCGGAAAACAAGAGACGAGTTATGATGTAATCTAGTGTTATCGGCTCGTGGTTGTTGTTCTTGTCTCTCTTCGTTTGGTCCGCTACTATCCTGGCCTTTTGAAGTAGATAAATCTCCCGTCGGCCCATCCGCAGGTTCGCAAGTAGGAGGCCCCTGGACAGGGAGTGTTGGAGAAACTGGCGTCCCCCCACCGGGTAACTGGGACCGGATCTCCATCGAATGTGACTGCAACCCGTCACTCTGATCAAGGGGTTGCTGCAGCTGGGGATTTCCTACTGATACAGGTACTTGTGAAGCAATGTCTGCTGGCGTTGCAGCCTGTGATGTTTCAACTGGTACTCTAGGAGTAGAGTCTTGATCTACTTCCTGGTTCTCCTTTCGTCTCTCTTCCTCCATACGTTTGTATATGTCAGCCGGGCGAATGAACTGTAGAGGTGTCGGTGCCATGCCGTGGGCTGTACTTTGCTGCGCAGGGATTTCGTCCTGATTATTTTGCTCATTTTTTTGGTTCTCGAGTGGGGATGGCTGCTTAGCTTCATCTGGGATAGTAACTAGTGGAGCTGCAGGTTCTTCATTTTCATATCCATCGTCATCACCCCAATCATCGCCATCGTACGAATAGGACTTTGCATTTACCCATCGTTTCGTTTTCTGGCGGTTGACATTTGTTTTGAAGGAAGGAGGTTGCCCTGTCGATAATCCATCACCACTGCGCCGCCATTCCACCATAATAACCATTAGTCCAACAATTCTCTTGCAGCTTTTGGAAGAAGTAAAAGGATTTTGAAAAAGATGGTTCGTAGTTTACCTCCCACCAGATAAGTTTGTCGGCGAGTACCCTGACATGACGGACGGAATGTAGGCGAAAGCGAGGATGTATCAAAAAATACAGGAGTAAAAGGACCCTTAAAAGGGCCCTCGCTTCCGTGGAGACGCAGTTCAGATATGCGGATCAGCCAGTTTTGGCGATAAAAGAAGGTTCTGCTTGTCAATTAAAGGGGTTGATAGTGAAGTGAAAAGAATAACGACTGTGCAGTAAGCAGGCGACGCAGGGTGATGCCAGAGGGAATCGTGGGAAGATTGTGCAAGATAATCCGGATAAACGACGCATTCGATGGCGTAAACAGTGGCAAGTTTGCGCTGCAAAACGGAGTCGTTAATAATGAAAAGACAACAGAAGCAAGAAGAAGCAAAGAAGAAACAGAACAAGGAGGAGAGAAGCGAAGTGAAGCCCAGGCTGATGCTGGCCACAACCAGCGAAAAGGTCCACTGTCCAGGATGCAACAAGTCTCCGCAGACAGGAGATTATTGTCGTTGCTGCCACGGCGGATTGGGCGGGCGCGGGTGTCACGTTATTTCCTGGTTGGGCATGGTCAGGGTTCATGACTAAGCCCAACAGGGCTACCTAACGGCAGATCATGGCTGAGGATTGGCTGAGGTTTGGCTGAGCCGGAGGGAGCAGCCAACACTCGGCTATTTATAGTGCACCCGACTGCAATGCGCACCCTGGGCCTGTGGGCTATCCCTGGTGATCCTTCTGCTGACCAGTGATATGTAACAATTCCGGCTGACTTGGAGGCCAAAACGCGGGTTGGAGGGCGTCAAGTGGTGAAACAGAACTGCTAGGGGTCCTTGACCAACGTTGGCTGGCGTATCGCAGTAGTAACGGTCTTGAAACAGGCGTATTACCAGCGCCGGTAAAACTATTTCTCCGATATATCCCGTGACCCTGGCTTCTTGCCAGATTTGAAGAAGCCAACATCGAAGGAGGCGTTGATATCTGAAATGCTTGATCCCGCCGCCGATTCTCCGCACTACCCAGATCGATACCTTGGAGATCCAGGCTGCTCGCGAGAAAACTAACCCCATGTTCCCTTCTATCTCGCGAGTCGTATCATATTGCTGCGAAAATTAGGAACATCAACTCGACAACACGACGAGTCACCTTGATTGTTAACTCCGCAGGTGACCCCCTATTCAACACCTCTAGACCATCCCTGGTAACTCCATTTTCCGTCCTTCACAGCTGCAATACTCCTGACATGAAGGTCGCGCACCTGCCAATTCCCACCCCTCAAAATTAAACGAGTCTTTCTCATCTACAATATCGCTCGAGCAATGATGGCGGCTGCGATGTCCGTCCAGGACCGAACTCCTGAATTCCAGTCAATCCTTGCACAGGCTCGGAAACGCTTAGCCTCCTCAAAGACCAGTTCCCAGCGTCAATTTTTATTATCAGATACCCAACGGAGTGATTCAAATGCATCCCCTCCTAATGGAACCCCAGCGGGGGGCAAACGAGCGGCCCGGTCAGAATTTGCGAGGCGGGCTGCTGAGATCGGCAGGGGGATCTCGGGGACGATGGTTAAATTGCAGAGGCTAGCTATGTGTGAGTATATTATCTTGCGGGGAATCATGTTAGAACTTTGCTGTCCATGGTGCATATGGGATAAGTTCGGCTGACTTGGTCTCGGGAAATAAGTGGCCAAGCGCAAAACCCTCTTCGATGATCGACCTGTTGAAATTTCAGAACTCACCTATGTCATCAAGCAAGATCTTGCTTCTCTTAACTCCCAAATCGCGTCTCTGCAAGCCCTCACTCTCGCCCAACACCCCAAATCATCACGGAGTAAAACTGACCAAGAAGGTGAACATAACGATAATGTAAGTTTATTCTAGTTTTCTAGATTATAGTGCCGCTTGCTAATTACCCATTTTAAAGGTCGTGGTAATGCTCCAAGGCAAACTCGCCGACGTCGGCGCAAACTTCAAAGAAGTCCTCGAAGTCCGTACCCAAAACATCCGCGCCTCCCGATCTCGAACTGAAAACTTCGTCTCTTCCGTCTCTTCCAAGTCACAATCCGCGCTCGACCCTCAGCGCTCCGATTCCCCCCTTTATAACGCGCCACGAAGCCGAAGCCCAGCACCCCCAGGTTTCCAGGCTCCTAATTCCTCCGACCTCCTCAGCATCAGACCATCTTCTTCCTCCGGAAGTCCGTTCGCCCTCGGCCGCAGCGGCGGGACCCAATCTGACCAGCAGCTGCTGATGATGGAAGAGGCGCAATCCTCCAACTCCTACATCCAAGCGCGCGGCGAAGCCATTGAAGCCATCGAGCGCACGATCAACGAGCTCGGTGGCATCTTCGGTCAGTTGGCCACGATGGTCAGCGAGCAGTCTGAAATGATCCAGCGCATCGATGCGAATACGGAAGATGTGGTGGATAACGTCCAGGGGGCGCATAGGGAGTTATTGAAGTATTGGTCTCGGGTTTCGGGGAATCGGTGGTTGGTTGCGAAGATGTTTGGGGTTTTAATGGTAATATTTTGTCCTCACCCTATCACCAAATCGCTTTTATGCACTCCCTACCCTTTTGGATTCTTGAAAGTTCTCAATCACGCTTGAGAGGAATGGCCTAATTTTCCACTGACATGTACTAACATTGGCTATAGATATTCTTTCTCCTATGGGTTCTAATCTCAGGCTAGCAAGCAAGGGCCTACGGCATCCTGTAAATTATTAGATCTTTTTGCATGTCGTGCGGCGCAGCACGGTGCGGTGCGTTCCTTTCCATACATAACTTTTACTTTTTGTCGAGCATACCCGTGCGCGTCAAGGTTTCCACTTTCCATTTTTGCTTCAAACGAGACCGGCTAGCCTTATTCTTGTGGCATATTATTTGGTTAGACATATATGGCTTCGGTGGCCATTCATTCTTCCCATACATCTTCTTTTGTTTTTGCACTTAACAACCCGTGGCATATCTCCTTACTCTTCGCCATGTTTTTTTTTTTTTTTTTTTTTTTTTTTTTTTTTTTTTTTTTCGAGAAGATTGCCGGTGAACCTGAAGGATGAGAACCCTTCTCTGCTGTCCACTTTGGTTTCTCTTCAATCAACCTATCTGCATATATATTATTTATAAATCGAATTTTATTTACGCTTCTTCTCTCATATACAACAACTCCTGATTTAAAATTCTCTAGACTAGATTCCAGCCTGTTTGGGTTCTCATTTGGCTACACTAAAGTTTGTTCTGTTTGCCTATATTCAAATACATATGCGTCTACATTTCAAGCTCACACAAGCTTTTTATTGATCAATGGAAAAGCGCCTTAAAATTAGTGAATTTATCCCACTCAATCCTCCTCGCTTCAGAGCCAAAAGGAAATTAATTACTTCGCGATGCCGCCAAAGGCTTCTCGTTCTACGGCATGTTTTCACACAACCGAAACAAATAACCAGCGACATCCATACCCCGTTGCCAATGCAAAGACAGGTTTATTCAGGAGGAGGCTTCGGAAAAAGGGGCGCTGACCAAATTCGTCCAAGGTGATGGGGGCAGTCGCAGCCAACACACCAGTGGATGTGGAAGTCACAGTTGTTCCCACTCTATGTCCTGCGCCCACCGATATTGATAACCGCGTCTTTTTATTCTTTTTCCTCGCTTCTCTCACCCGTAGCGAGTTGCCACGTTCCATCATATCTTCAGACAGACAGACTGATAAACCCCAGAATTTGGCATTGATCAATGCAGCAGCGAGTGGTTAAACAGTTGTGCAAATCTATCAACACGAGGGCCCATCAAATTGGAGATGAAAAAAGCGGAAAATAATCAGAAAATGATTTCAGATTAGTGATGTTGAGTAGATAATTCTACACACACACACACACACACACACACACACACACACACACACACACATATATATATATATATCAACAGTCTGTACCTGAATGACACATTAATTGATTCTCAGACAAAGGATTAGTATTACTTAGTAATGTAAGCTATATCCTTCTACTCAATCTCATACTGCTCGGCAGGGCTATGACTTCTCTTCACAACTTGATCATATGGCACACAGATCTCCGCTCCCTAGGTATGGTGAGATACATACAACACACAGAATGCTAGCATGCAGAGAGAGATAAATCATACAGAAGCCAGTCATATCTTTGACTCTGATGAGAGTAGTGGCAACCATCATCCTTTCGTATGCACTGCATTCATATCGGCAAACTTTTGGAAAAAGAGTACGCTGTCGTGGGTGATCTTTTTGGGAATTAAACTAGATTGAACCAGCATCAGTTGAATCCTCAAAATCAGGTGTGCCAACAGCTGCAGCTCTCCCCCCCCCCTCTCTCTCCTTGTGGTGAAGTTGAAGTAACGTTCACAAAAATGTTGGCTTCCAAACTCGTTCGCACCGCAATTTCTGGCTGGTTGGAAAGTTTCTGCTAGGACTCGTATGAGAAGACGATTCAATACTGGCCTGGATGATCTGGCTAATATACAGTGGCGTAAAGAACGAGGCATATATACAAGGTGGGAGGCTCTGCTTTGGGTCTTTCAAAACTAATCAGATGGTCGACAGCACAAGCAGCGGGAATGTCATCGCTCTCTAGCATCGCTCGCATACAGTTGAAGAAGCATGCTGATAGGCTTCTACAACAGCCTGCTTCGTTCTCCCGGAGGGGGGTAGAATGCCCCGAGTTAGTTTGAGTTGCAATAGCTGCCGAGGGCTGAGGCGAACTAAGGCAGTGAGTCCCGTAAATGGTAGATCGATCCCTAAGTATAACATGGGGTGCTTGAAGCTAACTTCAAACCTTGGAACAAGGTCGTTTTCCTTGGAAAGGCTCAATTTAATTCGGTTTCTTTTGGCGCCAATACCTGCGTTGAATGAGAAGAGAGAACAGTATTTCAGTGTGAAGGACAGGCAGAAGTATTTTGCTCTTACCCTGCTAGATCCGGGCCGCGTTTACCTCGTGTACGCAATCCCTCACTCAGCGCTGACACCATTCCGGATTTCCAAGAAACTCCCGGGAAGATGTGTTACGGGAATGACATAGCCTCGCGACGTGCATCATTGAGAACACAGGCTCCCAAGTAGTCACCTTGGCGAGCTGCCCGTTCGCTCAGGAGCTGGTTTGCTAACGAGGCCTAAACGAAATTCTACCGAATGCGGTTAGTGCACTCAGACATTCCGTTGACCAAATGATGTTCTCGATACGCTCCGAAGGCTTCAATTGCGCTTTGGGATGGGAATATATAATCTTTCGAAAGGCAGCCATGGCTCAGGCTTTTGAGGATGGGTTCTTTGTATCCAGAACATTTGTTCCTTCATTTCGTGTGGACGATCCAGATATTGTCTGTCCTAGTGCTTGTTTACTTCGGGTGGCCGCATTTTATAGATGATTCGATTGCTCAATATACTAGTATTTATTTCGTTTGATCATTGGTAACATAATTTTCCTATATCCGTTGCAATGGGTGGACCTGGTACAGGTACGTCTCGATTCATCCCGCAAGATACTAGGGAAGAATACTATGGTCCTCAAGCCGAATTCTAACTTCACTATCACAGAGGGTTTCAGCTTCTTCCAGTATAAACCCGTAAAGGGGCTATCCGCAGTCTTTGCTGTTCTCTGGCTTGTTTCTGGTCTTCTGCATCTATGGCAGAACAATATGTATGAGAAAAAAAATAAAACCTCTTTTCGGCCTTGACGTCCGTTCTCAGAACCGACTTTCTGACGCTCTTCGAACAGGCGACACAAAACGTGGAGGATGGGCCTGTTGCTCCCATGGGTCTCGCTGGTCTTCGTCGTCGGCTATATCCTCCGTGAGATAGCAGCTCATGGCCTCTACGGGAAACTTGACCTTTTCATCGCAACATCATGCTTTTTGTTTTGCGCCCCGTGAGTCAGCACCTGGTACCTGCAATGCCAGGGGTATTAGTAGTTTTTGATGCGACTCCGAGCGCTTTTCTGACTCGTTATTTGCAGCCCTATATTCCTCGCAATAAACTCCATCGTTTTCGGTCGTGTATTGTACTATGTTCCCTGGCTATCGCCGATGCACCCAGGTCGCGTGATATCCACTTTCCTTGGATGCGATGCTATCATCGAAGGCCTTGCCGCCTCTGGCGCATCCATAGCCTCAAACCTCAATCACACGCCAGCGACACTGAAAGTGGGTGACATCCTAATCAAGACTTCGATCCTCGCCCAAATCCCGATCTTCGCCCTGTTCGGGGTCCTCGTCGCCTACTTCCACCGCCGCTTGCACAAAGCTGGCATCCACGAACCGAAACTCCGGAAAGTTCTGATAACCCTCTATTTGTCGTGCGCGTTACTTACGGTTCGGAATGTATATCGCGCTGTGGAGACCTTCGAAGGATGGGGGTCGGTTGTGGGACGCACCGAGGCATATTTCTGGTGCTTGGATGCAGTACCCATCTTCATCAACGCTGTTCTGATGAACGTATTCCCGCCTGCCAGCTGTCTCCCCCGGTCCAACGTGGTTTATCTAGCCCGGGATGGAAAAACAGAGCGCATCGGCCCAGGCTGGGTCGATGATAGGAACTTTTTCCTGACCGTTTTTGACCCCTTTGATATTGGCGGAATGGCAAAAGGAAAAGACAAGAAGACTGCGTTCTGGGAAGATGACGGGATCCCGTTGCCTGATCAGACTGAAGCATATCGTCGTGTCGAAGCTTGAAAATTTGGAGTTCCGAAACGCGAATAGAGATAGCATCACCACATTAGATCACTTGGAATTTCCCTTGGTCTTGAGTTTTTACTTCTCCTTCCGGCCTTTTATATTGTATTTATTTTTGAATCCTCAATTGCTTATTTCCTCTTTCCCCGAGATGAGCTGGCAATGAAACATGATCAGCTTCAGTCAACACCCCTCCGAGAAGTTGTCAAATTACCAAGTTCGGAAGCCTGTTGACATTGAAAAAGCGGGGCGGAAGAGTAGTTGTCCTTTGAGGAGCTTATTACCGAATATTGTACTGTACAGATGTACAGTACAAGAGGAAGAATATTACCCAGGATGGCGGTATTGAGTAAGTACTGTCAGCAGTTTGCTGCTCTGAACCCCTTAATATAAATAAACAGTACGGAGTAATAACACTTCAAAGAGTGCCCCCCATGCAAAGTCCCCGCACTTGCAACTAATGTCCACGAGTCCCTGAATGGATTCGACTTGCACGAACCTTGGCGAAATCACGCATCTGCAGTAATGGAGGGGAGTACGACTTTACTCGCAAAGCTAAATTGTTATTGCGTCAATTGAGCAAGACGTAGATAGCTATGGATACGGGGGTGTTTGGAGGGAGAAGAATAAAAGGGGCATCTCATGATGATTCTGTACCCTAGCTCGACGGTAACTAATACATGTACCCTCGCAGCATTGATTGCAAACCCTGGGATCAACCATTACAGCGTAAATAACGATGCTGTGGTGGTTTTAGACATTTATTGGTATTAGCCCAACCACCTTATCGTGTTGCACGGAGGACAATCAATACAAGAAACAACTTAGTTAGAATAGCATGTCAAGAAGGACTTGTAGGGAAGGATTCGACATCACATTTCGTCTTTCGTCTCTCGCCTCTCCTGAAGCTTATCTCTCCGTTGGCCATTAGGGGTCTATTAATCCCATCCATGATAATATGTCACAGCATGTATTGTTTCTAACAGGAGGCAGATGCTGGGAACTGTATGTAAATACACATACCATACGGTTCTGTACCACAAAATGACCCGCTGCATTGTGCCGTTGCCAAGCCGCTCCTAGCCGTATGCGTCCTGTCATAACGCGACCCAACTCCTCACAGAACCGAGGTTTCGTCTCCTCCGCAGACATTTCTGTATATACTTCCTCCTTCGTACATCCGACAGCCTCCAAACCTCCTCCTCTCTCCCACCGCACCTTCGACCGTCGACTGCCACCTCGATCATCCCTCCAACCCTCCGGCCCTCCGCTCTCCGCCCCGCCTATCCCCGTCTCCATTCGCTCTGCTTCTTGTCCCGTCTGTCGCCCACTGGTGTGTGTTTTCGTTTCTTCGTTCGCGGAGGGAGCGTTGCCCTTCTGTTTTGTGTTTGTTTATATCGGCTCCCGTAACACCACTCCCGCTCAATGTTCCGCCTATCTTATCGCGACTGCGGCACTGAAGCCTCCGTTTCTGGCTAATCGTGTTACATTCTTCTCTGCATCGATCAATTCGTTTTCGCGTCCATGCGTTATCGTCCTTTCATCCATTCTCGATGGTCCATATATTTGTGTCGTATCCCCTTCGTATTCTAGATCGTTTGTCTCTGCACGCCTCGCGCAATTGGCCTCGACAGAGATAGGTCCCGCCCTTTTTCCCTTCTCGCCCCAACCGTTGGTGAAGCGTGGCCGGATTTGGTAACATCATGCTCTTACGACCAGCAACGCCGCTCACGGTTCTCCTCCTCACGGCGTTTGTTCTTTTACTGCTTTCTGTTTTGTCAACACCAGTGGTCAAATCGATCCCTATCGCGACTGTTGATGATATTAAGTTTGGTATTTTTGGGTATTGTGTGGGCAGCAATTGCTCGCCTATCCGTGTCGGGTACACTTCGAGTGAGTACTTCCAGAATATTGTTTTATTTTTATTTTGTTTAATTTTTCTTTATATAATTTATCTATATCTATATATTTTCTGCTTCAAGATTTTTATTTGAGGCAACCCCCACGAATATAAATATATGCTGATCTGGTTTTGCAGATGGGCTGTTCAACGATGCGTCTCGGGATGAGGATTTTAGCCTCCCGTCAAGCGTTCGCCATTCGCTGTCCTCCCTTCTAATCGTCCATCCAGTTGCTGCATTCCTCACTCTTACCTGCTTTGGTTTGGCAGCGGCGGCCCATTTCCATTCTCCATCTCATTCACCTAGATATCTGCTTGGGCTTCTCATTCTACTCCTGCCGACCCTCCTCGTATCGCTCCTTGCATTCCTTGTCGATATCCTTCTTTTCGTGCCTCATCTAGAATGGGGTGGGTGGGTTGTACTTGCAGCAACTATTCTGATTACCGCGAGCGGGGTTCTCACTTGTGCTATGCGACGAACTCTTGTAAGCCGAAAAGCTAGGAAAAAGCGAATTGCAGAAAATGCAGAAATGAGTGGAGAGAATTTCTATAGCCGCCAAAATGCCATAAAGTTGGATCCTCCGCCAATCATAACGGAGCAAACCGAAGCTTCTCTGCCCAACATGACATCACCGGACTCTCTGCCAGCGTTTGCACGCTTCGAAAGCCATTCAAGATCCATTGATGATGACAAACTGCTTCTCAATGATGGTACTCCAAGTAGCACTAGCCCCGATGGCGGAAACACCATCCGTCTCCCTGGTGACAGACGCAGCCCCGGGCCATATGAAAGCAGACCGTATAATTCTCCAGTAGATGAGTACGGCAATCCTCTTCCACCGGGAACTACCGGCTTTGGACCACCTCAGATGCGAGGAACGCATTCAGATCCCAGATTACGGAATCAATATTCGAATAGCAGTATGGGATCCCAGCGCGGCCGTGGATATGGCTATGGCCCACCTCGTGGGAGGGGTGGTTATCTAATGAGAGGTCGAGGCGGTCCATACTATGGCCCAAGAGGGCCACCGCCGCATGGCTACGGGATGCGCGGCAGAGGAGGTCCGATGGGCCCGGGAATGATGGGTAGAGGACGAGGACCGCCTCCAGGCTACCCGCCGGAAGTATTGGATGAATACCGCGCGTACGGGGCGGCTTCTCCTCTTCCAGGTGGATATGGAGACACAGGCAGTCGCTCTGACTATGGTTATGATGGCGCGCGAGGCCCACTGGAGGTGGGCCCAGGATATATTTCTGCTGAGATGCAACCTGGGTTGGGCGCAGGTCCGGTAGCTAATCACGGACAAGATCCCCACAATCCAATGGATAATTCTGTCGTTAGGGATTACACTGGTCTTCACCCGGAACAAATCAATCTACCTGATCCAAGCCCTCCAAGTGTACACAACGAGGAAGCGTATGTCAATCAAGATTTCACTCATCAAAATACGGACACTAACTTGGTAATTACAGAGAATATATTCCACCTCGGGCGGCATGGGAACAAGCTTTACGAGAACCTTCCCTTCCAGTGATCGAACGCCAATCTCCGAGCCCACACGGCCAAGCACCAATCCCGCATTCCACCTCTCGCGGCGATTATTATGAAGATGTTGAACCCCGTTTCGCCGAACCCAATGATTTGCCCCCTGCACTCACGCCTGGCGCTCTTGGTGAGCTACAACCAAGTTCATCCCTTGAAGATATCCCCGAGGGCGCGCACTCACCAGCAGCCAGTGAAACCAGCCACTTCACCTCCATATCCCAACGCGGCGTAAACCCGAAGTGGCGGTCTCCGGAAGCTGAAGTGAGACACGACAAGCAAAGGCGACAAGATTTGCTGCTGGGCAGCAATCCCGATTTCGAACTCCCCGTTGGGAGAGGCCGGGGTGGGGGTTCTGGTAGGAAGAGAAAGCCAACGGCGCCTGTTATGCCGTCCATTCCAGCTACCCAGCCACTGCTAAACAGTGGCCGGAATGATGGCGGTGGCAGATATCCTGCCCCTACACCGCCTCCGTGATACTCAATTCCTTTTAGCACTTCTACGATTTGGTCCTGGACTGGGGCTTTCATTTTGGCCTAGGTTTTGACACCGGAGTTTTTCCTCCACCCGATCGTCTGGGTCTTCCCATATTATCACATAATAAGTTCCGATTGGATACTCTGTCATGGAGAAATTATACTTTCCTAGGCTGTTTAGATCGTGCTGCCACGCCTTACATGCCTTTTGGTGTTACCACCTTGTAAAATCACACACGGGACGCTCAAAATACTCCCAAATGCAACCCCCGTACTACAACACGATTTATGTGTCATATCGTCTTGCGCTCGATTTAAAAATATCACACCCTACCAAATCTCCCTTTCCTTCCATAAAAGCCGTGCTACGTTTTCCCCAACCCTTCACTTCGTGGACATTGTTTCGCCTTTATTTTATTTTATTGCACTTGTACCATTTGATCATCTCGCAACCCCCAATGCCGGTTCATTGTGTGTATCTTTCAATCAAGTTAACAGTGAACACTGCATTCTTCTGCATTCTGTTGTATTCTGTATCTTTTGATTTATTTATTTTATTTTTTTTTTCTTCACCACTTCAGTCAACCTTTCTTATCTAGGTCACTACCATGTGGCATTCCAGCGGATATCGAGGTAAGTGAGAGACCAGGATACCTTCATATTTCTTCCTTCTTGTTCCATATATGTATTTCTGTGCCTTTCCTCTCAATTCCTCTATCTTGTTTGATATCCGTTGCACTTTCGTCGGGAAATTGAACTGGCGTACTGGCGATAGCTATGTGGATCGATGGTTTTCGATCCTTTGTTTTGGGCTTGGTTTTTTTTTTTTTTTTTTTTTTTTTTGTTCCTCTATTTCTCCTGAACAAATTGAGACAAATTGAGGGTAGGATGGGTTGGAACAAGTGCAAGTCCCACCTGTTTTCCTTTATTTTCCTTTAATCCATTGATGGTTGGGATTTGATTTGTCTCTCTTCTTTTCATTCCTACCCCACCTTCTTCTCTAGACTTACTTCCCTTTGTGTTTTCGTCCCCTTTGTCCTTTCTGCGGGAAATAGTTCCCCACATTGCAATGTGCATGTGGTTTCATTCACATTTAGCTTGTCATTTCAGAGATTTCTCTATACTGCTAATTACGCTTTATTGACAAATCTCCAGACTCGATAAATGACAAGAAGATGGGCAAAATGGGTGATGCTGTCTACAATGCAATTCTATTCAAAGGAAAAGTAATGATTTCTCACTTTCTCCCTTGTTTTTCTGAATCCTAGAATCCATTTTATGTATAGTGCATGTAGCTCACCATTCCACTTTGTTTTGCTGAATATGATATGTGTTTTATTAGCATCAAATAGCACAACACCATCTGAAGCTTGATTTTTTTTTTTTTTTTTTTTTTTTTCTGAATGAGGATGGTTCTAATGCATGGCCATTCATTCCATCGCCTCTCCCGCATGTAAAACTTCCACTCTCAGTATGTTCTAGGCTGTTCCACTGTTTGAGGCATCCAACAGACGCCACCATATCTATCCATCTACTTAAGCAATATAAAAGTAAAGCCAGGGAAGGCGATTCCGCAGCGATGGTGTTCAAAAATACAGCAGTCACTCTCTCGCCTCCCCTCGCCTTCCCATTGAAGCAAAAAAGATCCCGACAATTTCACAGCGCGCGAGAAAAGAATAAAAGAATAACCCTCCAACGGCCGCGAAGATGGTCGCCAGTACAGACTTGACGAAACACCTAGCTCTGATAGAATGCGATGGTGAATTCGGAGCCACAAACGGCGAAGAAAACGTCGCGCGCCTAGAAGCGCTCCGCACTACACCACTCTTTTCTTCTGGCATTCATACGGCCATGAACGTCCAGTACCAGGAAGATATACTGCCCCAGTATGCCTTAATGGGGATGCGGACGACTTCATACGATAGAGCCGAAGGAGAAGATAGCCCCGAAACGCATGCCAGACGATCGACAAATCTGGTGTATGCCAATATCAACGCGCCATGGTCGACGTTTATCTGCGGCAGCCAGGGAAGCGGCAAGAGCCATACGCTCTCATGCATGCTTGAGAATGCACTCCTTCATCCGTCCGAGACGGGGAAGTTATCATCCCCACTCACCGGGCTGGTCTTGCACTACGACAAGTTCACGGCAGTAAACACGGGTCAGCTGTGCGAGGCGGCGTATCTCTCGTCGAAGCTGCCGGTCCGTGTGCTCGTTGCGCCGAGCAATTTTGGGCATATGGAGAAGCTTTATGCGAACATACCGGGGCTGCCGGATGGGACGCCAATGCCAAAGGTTTCGCGGCTATATTTCCGCGAGGACCAGCTGACGTTGGGGATGATGAAAGATTTGATGGCGGTTAATGACGAAGCGACGACGCCGCTTTATATGGAGGTAAAAAAAAATTTTTTTTTCTTATCTGCCCGAATGTTAATATTGTTTCTAGCAGACGAGACCATCCTGTTCTAACAATGGATACTAATTTTCTTTGTTTAATAGATCGTCACAAAGGTCCTCAGGAACATGGCCGAAGAGTCGCCTGGTCGACGGGGGACAAATTTCAAGGAGTTTAAACAGCGCCTCGAGCAACAGGGCTTGAACAAAGGCCAACTAGGCCCGCTGAACATGCGGCTTGATTTGCTCGAGTCGTTTCTTGAGCAAATTTATAGAAAGCCAGCTCGAGGACTTGCAGTAGGAAATGGAAAGAAAGGCGAAAATATCTGGAACTTCCAACCGGGCTCCTTGACGATCGTTGACTTGAGTTGCCCATTCGTGGACGAAAATGATGCGTGCTCACTTTTTAATATCTGTTTGAGCATTTTCATGGAGCGGCGGAACGAGGGCGGACGTGTCGTCGCTTTGGACGAAGCCCATAAGGTTAGACACAATTTTTCAATTTCCACCAACTGTTCTGCTGTTATTTGCTTTGTCCTATACTTTTCCTCCTTGATTCTCAACAGTTCAACATGACTTTAGTTTTTGACGACCAACAGCCGCGAAGGGGGTAATTTAACCGGTACCCTCCTGTCACTGATCCGCCAGCAAAGACATCTAGCCACGCGGGTCATTATTGCAACGCAGGAACCGACGCTCTCGCCGGATTTACTAGACCTGTGCGACGTAACCATCGTTCACCGGTTTACTTCCCCTGCATGGTTCACAACACTGCGTGCCCATCTGGCGGGCGCAGCCAACGATGATAGCAAACGTAAATACGGATCCGATAATTTATTTTCCAGAATCGTGGCCCTAAAAACCGGGGAGGCTCTGGTATTCTGCCCTAGCGCGATATTGGACATCGTGTCGGATGAAGGGTTGGAAGAAGGAACGTCACAACTAGGCGAGTCCGAGCTGCATGGGGTATCTGCGTTGAAGGCATTAATGGTTAGAGAGCTGGGACCGCGATATGTCCGCGTGAGGATCCGTAAACGGGTCACTACTGATGGAGGACGAAGCATTCTTGCTGAAAACTCATTGTGATAATTTGATCGCTGTGGTCTCAGGTGAAGGAGTTCTGTATCTAATTGGTAGGGTGTCTAGTTGACGTTAGCATCGAATTTCGTCACATAACTACTTAACTCTGGACTTGGAATAGTTAGTCTTCTTGACCATTGGCCGGTGTCAATCCCATTGTTCGACATCAGAGACCACGACCTGTTGAATAGGCTGTAGGATAGATGTATGCATTCTTTTTGGCGTCTTCGGAGCCGGCTGAGATAGTCTTGAAAAGCATGTCCTGGTGGTAATTATCGTCACCTGCTCTGTGTCTTCTTCCTGTTGCGTCCTTTGAGGTTCATACCCGTGATTCAATCGTTAGGCGTTCGAAGCTTGCTTGTATGTAGTTACCAATATCCTCTATTTAGTTACCGGGATCCTGTTGATGCACCCCAGGCGCTTCCAACATCTGTTCTCTCGCAGAGCTATGGCGACTCGTACTCCCCACGGAGGATTATTGGAGTACGCTGAACCTGCAATGGGCCCCAATAAATCATTGTACCGAAGGTTGCAGTGTCTGTCTTCTGTTTATTCCAGATTCTTTTGCTAAGTGTATGCGATCATCTGCTTGCCAGAACCTTTCCCATCTGTCAATATTTCACAAATACTCTTGGAAATTCTCCTCATCTCCTGAAACGACTGAAAATATCGTCCTTCCTAGATCTTGACGGCAATGTGATTCCAGATCATCAAATTCTTGGCTATGACAGGTCCGGGCTGGTAAGTCCTTCGTGATGGAGAATGGTAGTCAAAACGCAACTGGGAGATAGGAGTACCACCAACGACGATGTGGACATTTTAATATTGAAGTCATACGGCGTGAACAAGATGTTTATCGATGGATACGTGGTTTCGATGGCGTTGTCCCCTGAATCAGTATCTCCGATGCGACTATTGAACTTGCACCGATGGAAAAGGGCCACCGACGCACCTACTTAGACCACAATCGACCTCTTCAACGTTCATGGTTCCGTGAAATACGTCGTGGCCTATACATCACCGTTCAGTTATTGTGGCGGGACATTGCTAGTCGCAATTTCCTCCGTGCTTCGGATCTATCTATCTGGTTTTGCGATTTTACGATGTCGTCCGTTTTACCGCTTGATACCAACATAAAGGCTGCTGGCGACAATGGATACTCAGCCCAGACGGATATTGGCCTTCTATGGGCTGTAATCTATGAGGTTGTAACTGGAGAGCGCTGTAAGTTTGACCACTTCAAAAGACCTGCCACCAGAAGCTTGTAGAGCTACTTGGCCCCTAAGGACGACTCTCCTAGCACACAAATTATCTGGCTTGGCCAGATCATTGAGAAATGTTGGACAAAAGGTGCATTTCAGAATGCAGATCGCCTGTCAGAGGTATTCGATTCCATCAGCCAGGACAATCGGGTCTACCTAAGGAAATGAGGTATTCAAATGCTGCAAGCCACGGATTACTCCTCACGGCATCAATACAACCGATCCCCCAGCTTGGGGTCATCGTAGGTACTGTATTATTGCAATTCTCACTACCTGGGTTGGATGCTGGTCTTAAGTCCATTTGGTGTTCTTCATTCAGGTTTGATACAATCATACTCTCTCTACTCACCAGAAAACTAGCTACCAGATGCCGCAGCACGATTTTGAAGGCATACCGAATTTTCAGCCAACCGAGCAGAGTGTTAGTTGTCTTACTGATAACTTCGCCATTGCATTTCGTGAACTTCAACTGATCCGATGAAGGGCTTGTAGTCCCGGAACGGAAATAATGAACCCTACGTCTTCATTTCGAAAACAAATTAGAAAAAAAAAGGAAAGAAAAAAACGGACAAAACCTCTGTCTATTTTCTCGCAATAGCCTTTAACGGTATAACCACCTATCAAAATCGACGATACTTATACACCTTCTCCTCCCGACCGGAGTATCATCAACACTTCCATGACCACCGTCCAGCACCTTCGGATAATTGGGAAACTCATCCGGGGTTGGCCAGTGTTTGTAGTCAAAATAGCCATGTCTATAAACTTTGACCATACCGCGATAGAAGCCAAGGTCAGGGATCTCAATTTCAGGATATTCCATGTATCAATATATCCACAACAGCTCTCCGGGAATGGGCACAAGCGAAGACTTTTGCTGGATATCGAAGCTACTCAGCCCGGATTTGATCTGTCGGCTGGGACAGCTAATGTATCTATGGGAACGCTAAGCTTGTGGGAGCTAATATGAAGGACTTGTGCAGTGAGTACGAGCTTAACTAAAGACCCTATTTTGTTCAACGCTGTTTTGTCTCTTTCTGCTTTTGTCCTTGCATTTCTTCCCTTGATTTTTGAAACTGGAATTATTACACGTTTTCTAACCCTTTCTTTGACGAGAAATCTCAATGATATATAAATTTACAGTTTATCTGTGATTCATTCATTGTTCTCCTATCATTGAACTTAAACTTAATATAGTCATCGTTGAACATACTCTATTTCACAACAAAGGAGTCATATTTTGCAGTTTTGCTTGATTAAACTGTGAATCAATATTTCATATAACTGTTTGCTGGGATATTTTATTTCAGTGATATATATTACCACAGACACTTGATATGTTATTCATAGCTTTAACAAATCTTCATATCGACTTCTTCATTATTCATCAACTTAATCGAGATGTACACTTGTGCAGCTCTTTTGCCTTCCTTTCCTTCTATCCCTTTTCTTAAAGGTATATTTCTATTTTACTCTTCTTACTAGGTATTCATCAACATATCATGCCCCCCTGCAATTTTTTGATTACATTCGTTACTTCAGGGTGTATCGCAAAGAGTGGGACATTGTCACATCATATAGACAATCATATATCTAGGTACACCACGGACACAGATATGAGCTCCCTTCATTCATCGACAATCGCAACCTGCCAGCAGCCTTCGCCTGTTAAAAATCTGTCGGCAAGGGCCGAATCCATCAGTTTTGTTTCTGTTACCACTACTCTCACGGTTACCGCAGGAACTTCCCCTCGTGTACCCATATCAAGCAATCTGCCGTCAAGTTCAACACATGCAAGTTTTACGTCAACGTCTCCACTATCAGCTCCGTCATCATCACCATTGACAGGAACAGCAAAAACAACCACAGCTGCTGCAACAGCAATAACATCCAGGCCCCCGGATGCTACAGTCTCTGCGGTAGAGGTCAGCAAATGTCCTTCATTGAAAGGTGTACAAACACCAATTCTTGTCCTGCTCATCATTTTAACAATCGCTGCTGTCATGCTATCTCTAGTAGTTTGTCGGGTAAAGAAGCGTCAAAATTTCTGTAGGCAGTGCAAAGAAGTTGTCCGGAGCCAAACGCTTACAAAAAAAACTCCTACATCCCACGACTATGGGGCACAATTTTCTCCAGGACCAGAAACTCAAACGGGGACGACGGAAAGGAAACGGGGCATGGCTACATCCGCGATGGGTTTGAATAGTCACGCTTGCGATGCACCGCATGGAATTCCTCAGCGGACGTCGGTTGGACAAAAGAATTTGCGGCAGCTTAACCCTCTAATTACTCCGATGTCCCTGAGAGCCCCTCGGCTCAACTGTGAACGCCCTGAGCCTGATACAACGAGCCTTTATGCCAGTTGCTTAGTGAGTGATGTTGAACTACAACGGCGACATGCATCGATCTCTATAGCATCTATAATCGATAAGTACGCTCAAATCCCCGATGACAATAGGTATCACAATTTTTTCCAAGTAGCGGAGAACAATCACATTCTAGAAAATTCACAAAATAGGGCGTGCGATGGAAGCTCTTTGGGGGGGCTTCGAAGCGGAAGTTTGTGGTGCCGTATGCGGGACAATGACCCGGCAGCAACTAAGGGTCCCATAGTACCAGGCCCCTCGTGGAAATACCCTCAACGTAATGGGCCCGGAGATGTAACGGACTGCTCGTCCAGGCCTTTAATCGATCCGTACGTTGAAGCCATGGAGAAGCAAGAATTACATCTTGGAGTTGAAATGATTAGGAGTTCCGGGTCTGCTTCTTCATCTAGACCGTCTCCTAATGTTAAGTATCAGGAGCCATGGACGCAGAAATCTGAACATGCAAGGGAGGGCCAGCAAACAGAATCTAGTTACAGCCCTACAGACTCGTCACACACCAGTCAACCCAGCTTGATGACATCGTCAACATCCCCATGGCCGGCGAAAACTAGAAATGTCGGCGATCTCAGCCCAGATACTGTTGCTAGGCCGGTCATAGATAACAATATGCCTTCCGATACAACACAAGGTTCAAACGACAATCTTAGTAGAATGTTGAAACGTTGGGCACTTCTTGATCAACAGAACATTGGTCTCGTTGATCGGGTTCCATTTCGATCTTACTCTGCGCGTGATAAGCTTCACGACCATTTAAATGCTAAGTTTAAGCCCTATACGTTGAACGTCCGACGGCCAATATCAATACCGCTTCCGGGAACTTTGTCGAGATTATCCCCTTCGGGCGCTAGTGGAGCTGAAACCACTGACAATGCACTGTTACTGACGACAAACCACTCTCAAAACAACCTGGCACAAGAAGATCAAACGAGTAGTTCAGCTCACACAGAGGATTGTACTACAAACGGTGGATATGTAGAGAGCCCCGATGCTGAGGTAGATAGTCTCCATTCTCGCGATGTGTTTGGTAGACCTTGCCTCCAGCAGCGAACATACAGCGAAAGTATTTATTCGCGACCCACCACGTTACAACGGGTCCCAGTGGATTGGAGGTCGGGAAATGAAAAGCACACCGGCCAAGGGTACTCCAGCAGCCTGCGGCGTTATCATCAGCGATCCTACGGAAGCTCAAAAGCTGGACCTAGTCAGCCCACGCCACAAATGCCATTCATCAATGCAGCCGTCAATGAAAATTGCGAAGATAACACCTACAACAAGTTAGATAGTCGACTGCAAATAGTCGAGAGGAAGAAGAGTCAGTCTTGCCAATTTTACCTTGATGAGCCAGGTACAAATCGTGATAATGCTCTCGGTCGCAATTCGCGTAAAATGAACGCTCTTGATGATATTGACAGTAATTATGATGATGGCACTCCTACAGATTCAGGACGAACTTCATTCCTTCGTGGATTTGTGGATATATACGGGGGAATCAGGAGAAGGAGGAGGAGGAAGAAGAAGGGAAAAATGCCGATCGTTGGAGAATGTATGGAGAGTAAGACGAGTTTTCGGGACGTGAAGAAATTTTTTCAGAACTAAGGCTGGCAACGATTGTTGCGGGTTTTATGTCCAATGTGCTACAAACTGGACAATCTGAACACAATTCATCATTTATATCACCTCTAAATATTTTTTAACTAGAATCTGGGCAATCCTGCATTCTTTTAAATGTTGCACAAATCAACTGATAGGTGTGATATAAGGTCGTTGTCTCTCGCTGGGTAATTTCTGGACGGGGTGGCTGGCTGGGGTGACTTTGGGAATGCGCCCCTCATTCCCTCGGCGGTCTCCTCTTTGACAGGAATGGTTCTATCAGTTATTTAACCTGCTATGACGCATATAATCTGCATGGACAGTACTAGTATGATATCGTGAGTGAGAGAGATGGTCCGAGCTTTGGGCGAAATAAGGTTTGGGTTTTGTCCCGGACCGCGGTTCACTGATGTCAAATAGGACTAGTTCACAGATTAGGTCTTCCCGTGACCGCGGCGGTGGTCTGTGCGGAGTTTACCCCAAACGACAATGTTTATTGTTCTCACGAAGGATGCGCAGCTTGGAAGGACTGGCAATCCATTGCAATCACTAGTGCTCCGTACAGGTCACATAAACCCAAAATTAAAGCGGCACAAAGCAGTCACAAAATCGTGTTGTGGAACACACAAATAAGCGTCTGCCACGGTGCGGGCGTGGGTGGCTGGAAGGTTGCGCCAGCGCCCAACGAACGCCCAGCGTCCCCAGCCCCGCCAGGTCACCAACCACATCATAATGTCGGACGGACCACTTAGAGCTTCCATTAATACCAGCATTCCTCACCGACTGAGGTAACTTTCTTCATCATGAGCCTCTATCATGGATTTTTGTTCAATGGCATTTTGATTTCTTGATTTCTGCGTACTTGCAATTCCAGTTTGCTTCATTTACTCCGCTGTAACGACCCGTCATGCCCCCTCAACCTCCTGCCAACTTGAAAGTTGTAAAGTGTAAGATAGCACATGGCCATTCCACCACAATCCTTGCTAGGTGAATTTTCATGCTGACAGTATTTTGCATAGCTAACCAGCCTCAATTAATTCACTCCTCATCCCAGCAATCCATAGCCGCCTCCGACGATTATTATTCCTTCTCAGATATTTCCCAAGCTTCTAATCACAGCAGAGTCACAGTTGTGAGATATGCAACTCCTCCAACTCGAAGACCTTCTCCCTCTCCGAAAATGCCTTCTCGAAATGTCCCAGACGACGCAACAGGGGCTGATAATAGCAGCGCGGTGACACACGACCCGGAACAGACCTCCAAACGAAATACTGCCGCGCCAAATGAGAGTTCCAGGATGACAGAAAATGGAACTCCGTCTCCTGGCGTGGATGATATGCCATACATTAGATTTGCCATTGATCAACTGACTCGTGATGAAGAATTACTTGGGGAAGGCCGACATGGCTCGGTTGTCAGTACCGAGTATCCTGTTGAACGCATCATCCCAGATGAAGGCCTAGGATACTACACCTCTGTCACTTCGCAGTCTGTGGATCAGCCAAATAAAGAACCTCAGATACTAGACCGCCCCGACTCGCCAGGTAACGGTAGACAGTATCCCCCCTCGCGTCAAGCGCTAGCCATACTGACTGAACCGCATAGTTTCAAATATCCTGAACCCAGTAACGCCTCCTTCAGAAGCTTACCAATACCCACAGCTTGACTTTGTTCCTTTGTCTCTCAGATTTGTACCACTTCTCTCGTTAACGATTGTCTGCCTCTCCATGATGGCAGCGCTCATATTCTGTATAGTCTGGTCACAGCGGCATGCAGGCCTGTGGGCTTACGATGGGCTGGGTGGCTCGCGATACTTCGTGTTCCAATTTCTACCACAGCTACTCGCCATTTTAATCACACTTTGGCTGTTTGTCGTGCAGTCCGCCGTGTATCGAATTCTTCCCCTGACAATGTTAGCGTCAGGACGTGGATCTGAGGGTGTGCTGCAAAAAATTCGAATCCTGCCTCACAACTTCTTGTTGCCGGATATATCACTCTTCCAGCACGGCGAATGGCTGACTGGCATCTTTCTCGTCACAGTGTGGGCGGTTAATATTTTCACCGTTCCTCTGCAAAGTTCGCTGTTTGTGGCTCGTTATTACGACCAAATGGAAAGATTTCAATGGGTGGCTACTCGGGGTGTGGCCGGAGCCTTGATTACTCTTTATGGACTGATTGTCGTGGCATTGCTAGGGCTTATGTTCCGTTTTAGTTGGCGAGAGAGTGGGCTTCTGTGGGATCCCGTGTGTCTTGCCGATATCATCCCCCTGATCCAAAAATCTAATGTATTGGATCAATTCTATCGGACCGAAATCTCGCAAACTGTTGAGCAGGATCTCCTGCCTCGCAAAATGCGTTTGGGATATTGGTCCTCGGATGCCAATTCCCAGGACTTTCTCTACGGCATTGGCGAGGAATACCCAGCGGCGGACAAAGCGTTTTCCAATCCGAAACGGCAATCTGAAACCTCTTTTCCTAATCATGCTGATAGCGAGCGACAACATCTCAACAGCAAGGACTCTTTTGAAAGGAATATACATTCTCCGTTCGTTCGATATCGCTGGACAGCCTGGTTTCTAAAGGATTCATGTGTGGTTGGTTGGATCGTCATCGCAAATGTCCTGATGGTTGCTTTCGTCGTTGTCACGTTCGTAAAGCAGCCCATCAAACAAGGATTCGATCCTCTCTTGCCTACATTACCATCGTCAGCCGGTTTCTCTTCCTCCAACTTCCTGTACAGCTTCATTCCATCTCTGATTGCAACAATACTCTTCCTCCTCTGGCAACCAATCGACCAATACTTCCGGGCTGTCCAGCCGTTTTGCGACCTCTCATCGCCCAACGGTGCCCTTGCCGAAAAAAGCCTCTTGCTAAACTACCCATCCTGTTTGCCATTAGAAATCACCTTCCTCGCCCACAGCGCCGGCCATTACAAAGTCGCATACGTTTCCTTCATGAGCCTTGCGTCACTCGCCATTCCCGTCCTCGCAGGCGGCGTGTTTATGGCCCGCTTCTACCCCGAACAGGATCAAATCCGTATCTCCACCCTACTGCCAGCATACTACACCCTAATGGCTTTCGTGATCATCTATGCCTTTTCGTTCCTTGTTCTTTGGCCGCGGCGCAAACGCTACCTTCCCCATGCCATTTATTCGTATGCGGATATTATAAGTTTCTTGTACCAAAGTCCTCTTCTCTCCGATAGGGTATTCCGCCAACCAAGGACAAAGGCGGATTTGGTGACTAGAGTAGTTATAGCGCCACCGGGGGAGGGCGAAAAGGCGTTATACGCGTTTGGCCTATACCAGGGTCGCGACGGACAGGAACATCTTGGGATCGATCGGCTGCGGAGGGTTGGACAAGTCGAAATGTTTGTTACGCTAGATGACAGTGGAGGAGTCGTGTGATATTTCACTACGAACTTTTATGGACACGCCCACTGATTTCTTTAGCGTTGAAAATCGTGTGATTTTTTTGAAATCGCATTTTTCCTTACTGTGTTTTTTTATTTTGGGTTTGGTTTCTTTCTTTCGGGATTGGAAGTTGCGCGTAACCGCCCCCTCCACACACACATAACGATACGACTGATGATGATGAACGATATACAATGAATGATATGAAGAGACAATTTTGTTGATGATTTTATTTTCCATACTTCTCTTATGATAGACGAGCGACGGCGCCATACTGCATATTCTCGAAAAAATTTGCCTCCCTTTTTTTTTTTTTTCTTCCATCTATTCTTTTACTATTTTTATTATTACATGCGAGTAAGTTTTGGTGGATTGAGAAAAACATGATTTCTCTCCATCAATATGAACATAAACATAGTTTTCCAATCAAAGACAAACTCAATAAACAAAAAATCATCCCGTTTATTCATATCTCATCTATCTTAATGAAATATTAGTAAAATCGTTTCTAAGGAGTAATAACGCCTGGGAATTGAACCAATAACTCGCTCCTCTTTTTCACGGGACAGGGGGTACGATGACAGCAGGCCAGAGGCGGCCTTGGTCTTCTGTTTCTGGACGCTGGTTATCAATAAGCGGCTGGCGGTCAACTGCGACATACGAGGTTTCAGTTTGTTGGGGTGGAACCATTGAGAACCGGTCAGTGTTGTCCTTTTGATAGTCTGTTCGCATTTGAGGGAAGTGGGTGCCTGGGTGGAAGGTGGTAAGAAGGATGGCAGCGATTATGCACATCCTATTTATCGTGGTGGCTGTGGTTAGACTGTTGATTCCCTCTAAAGATTACGTAGTAGCAGGGGAAAGGGGCATCTGGATGGCAAGGAAATATGTAACATACACTCCCTCTAGAATAACGAATGAGATTTCATCTTGCATAATGTGATTGGACCAGCCTCCGGCCATTTCGGCGATTCTGCAACATTTTTGTTAGTAATAATTGAAAAAGAAACGGGAGAAATGGAGAGCAGGTGGTCTGAAATATTGTAAGAGGCAGGCATACCGGTAAGTGCATCGAACAAAAATTACGAAGAATGAGATATCCAAGCTAATAAGGAATCTCCTGAATTTTGTGTTCGCCCACACCTTCTGAGACTCGATGGACATCCGGCGGCCACCATCACCAAGCAGGCGCCAGAAGAAATGTCCAGCCATACCACCGAAAATTATCAATGTGACAATTTGCCACACAATACCAGAAAGCATGATTTGAGCTCCCCTGTTCTTGTCTGGCTCTGTGTCCCCAGTTGCTGCGAGTGCGCCACCAGCACCCTGGAGTGAGAGAGATAGGACGTCAAAGCTGATGAATATCCAGGTGTATAGCGACGGCTTTATTATTGAGAGATGCGGTCCCAGGGCGAAACACAGATGTTTGAGGGTGAGATATATGGCGGCTGTGAAGAATGACGGTGCGATGATGAGAGTGCAGATTTGGATTTGGAAACCATTTGAATCCCAGGGGTTTCTGTTGAGAACGAGGCGACCGCCGTATCCTGTTCGACAGTAATTCAAGAGACAGGAGTCAGCCATCTCCTGGTCCAATAGAAGATATAATTGAGCATACCTATGGCTTCAGCCACGCAGCCCAGAGACATTGCAACTCCGAATGAGTATGTCTTATGCTTGTAAGTTTGCCAAACCGCAACAAAGAACAGTACGCCAAAGACAACCACGCATATCAAGTTGACTGCTGGATTAGGTTTGTAGCCATAAATAGTCGCCTCGACAGGGCATTCCGGAGTTACCTCTGTGCAGTGGCTATATTTCCCCATATTTGCTGCCAGAACGGTATGAATGGAGGAATTGAAATGACAAAAAGAAAATAAGCAAATAGGGATGTTTTCGATTTGATATTCAGAAACTGAGGAACTCTGGAATGAGGAAGCATTCCCTTAAATAGAGGAGGCTTAGATACTCTGTTAAGATCATTGCTGAGGAAGGAATACAAAAATAGCTCAAATAATGGGTGAAGAATTGCTACCGCGAAGGATGTCAAGCTTGACAGCCCCAGTCATAGCATGGCCAATAATTTTACGCCCGTATGCGTCTCGAGGCCGAAACTATCACTCTGTAGGCCTTTTGGATCCTGAGCTGGTCTTATCTCCGGGATGAATAAGCCAACTATTAAAGATATTAGACCACTAGGGCAAAAGAGCCCAATCACCACCAGCGCCATGGTGGTATAGAGGGTACGAATCACCCAATCCAATTCCCCAACAAAAGACAAGCGCGCTTACAAAGGAAGCTCTAGAAAAGCTCCATAGAGCTATTCCAATCAGCGACTCTTCGTGGGAGACCCGCATCCCAGCATTCCCAGTACATTAAGGCTCCATGTCAATTGGCACATGTAACTAATAGATCAACGATGATCTTTTGGTTCGTCTTCGAGACCTGACACAACATGGAACCTAAGTACTGGTAAGTGCTTGTAGCGTGAAGTGTATGATAAAGAGTGGAGTGCCGAGACGCACCTTTAATGTGAACTGTTCTAAAAAAAAAAGAGCATGATGAAAAAGAGTTTCCCCAAATCTTCAAACCACATCGATGCTTTGAACAATTGACAACCTATAGCTCATAAATGCGATAAATAATATGTGAAAGCATCGACGTTGTTCGCCTTTTCGAATTACAAGGTTAAAAATCTGACATCCAGTCCCGTCAATGTAAATGCGTAACTTAGATCCGGAGAAACTTATTCACCGGCGCAGCTGAGGATTGTATCATTTCAACGGTGTTCACAGGGTTGCATTGACGACTGAAGTCATGCCAAGGAAATCTCGCGTCGATTTGGCGACAACCCCTCTTCGCGGGGGAACCTCTTCGATACTTTATATCACTTGTCCCCTCCAAAATCTCGAGTTCTTCGCAGCCAATGGATCATAGGTAGGCGAACAACCGCTGATCCCGAAACTGCCACTCGAGGAGGAAAATTTGTATTCAAATAAGTTCCGAATCGCGTTGAAGGCTTGGGTTGCTGTTTCGCCCAAAATAGAGTACGACCCAGGAAGGATGGCAACTGCTGAAACTCAATATGAGGCCCAGAGTTCCAAAATCCTACTTGAAGCGAGAACAGAGAGGTTGTTCATCCGACGATTGATTCCCGAACTCGACTTAAATGACCTATTTGCTATCCGTTCAAGGATGGATGTCATGAAATGGAGGTAAAGTGGCCGTACTTTTACCTGAACCAATTTGACCTCCTCCCGCCTCTCCCATGAAATTTTGTTGCTATCCAATTTCCATAACTTTTGCCGATTCGTTTTTAAATGCACGCCTCTGTAGTTAGCAGGAGGCAGGTTATTTGCCTGCCCTTTCTTTCACTCAGTTCGCGCTGCTATTATGTGTCCTCGCCAGATGGCTTTCGCGGAGAGGCGAGGAATGATCTTAGTATCATTAGCGAACACAACACTCACATGCCAACAGTTTAACTAGAACACCTGACGCCGATATCGCCGTTACGAAAGAGCATCTTCGTAAGGTCGGCGTACCTGAAAACCTCATTTTGGCTGTGTTCGAATATTCCAACACAGAACGGGCGATAGCGTGCATTGGCTTCTACACGAATAACGGGAATACCAGTCTTGGGTACATCGTACATCCTGACTGTTGGGGTAAAGGATATGCAACTGAAGCCGCTCGGGCTGCTATCGACATATGGTGGAAGTTTCTCACCAACCTTCCACCAGAAATGAACAGTGACGGAGACAAATCACCTAAGAATGATTTCGTCCTGGAGGCAATTACTGACGTTTCAAATGTGGCCAGCAATCGGGTCTTAACAAAATGTGGATTCAAAAAGGTTGAGAAGACTGCAGACGAGCTTGGTCCTTGCATTATATGGGAGTTGCATAAAGAAACGAAGTTGACTGATTGACCCATTGCGTGGACGAGTGTAGCCATGGAAAAGTGCCAGGGAAATATGGTTCCATTATATATTCTTTCTGTCGACCCACGTATTCTGGAATTGCTGAACGTTATGTGAGGTTGATTTTTTGTCGGATCGCTGTTCGCTACAGAACATTGCAAGAAGTAATAACCCCTAAGAATCAGATACCTGCCAAAATATTTGGATCGAGATAATAGTAGCTAATCGCTAAGGAAGAAAAGAAAGAGAAAAGAAGAATGTATATATACACATATGGAAATAGTGGTAGCGAGAACATAGTAAAAGGCAATAATAAACGAAGATATAAGGAAATGATAAGCGAGTACATAAGCAAGTGCATTACAATTGCCCCCCCTTTTCATAAGAGCTGCCCTCAGCGACTTGTATTTGCTTGTTGTATAATGCCAGTAGTAATTGGCATCGCGCGGCATGGAATGGCATCGCGTAGCAGCAATATGTCAACCACGTTCAGCCGCGTCGATAGTATGTGTGTTGTTATTAACTTCTTAATGTAGTAGAATTGGCGAGCTTTTGGTTGCTAGGGGTTGCAAGTGAAGAATCAAAAAGAATTTCTTTTTCCTCTGCTGTTTTCTCTTCTCTTTAAACCTGACCATCATCAAGATTCCTGCTGCCCCTGCCGCGATTTTTTTTTTTTTTTTTTAAATTAAAATTTTAAATTTTAAACGTTTCGTCGTCTCCTCCCCCCCCCTTTTCAATATGGCTTCCCTTGGCTATCCCGGTTTTAAGTAAGTGGTTCCGTGGCGCTTATCGCGTATTGCTGTTGGTGTTCCTGCAAGTGGCGCTTTTAGTGTATCACGTGGGTCACTAGCTCGTTCCAGTATAGCGTCGTTCGCCATTCACTTAACATGTTTCCCTTGCCCTAACCCTGATCATGTGATGCACAATAGTCGGTTCCCTTGCGAACGTTCTGTTTCCAAACTGGGAGATGTTGATTTCTGGTGTGCATTGGGCCCTAGTGCCCGGAAGCGTTGTGAGGCTTGTGCCTCCGCAGGGAAATCTTGCAAACCCGTGAGTATTCCTCTTTAATTCTTATTCCCTTTGCTATTTTCTTCCTTTTTGCAGTTGTTGTTTCATATAGATATATCGCGCTTTTAGCAATGTTGATATGCTGATAATGATGCTAGGCGCGTGATACGCCTCTGCTGAGGCGCGTCATGCGCGGGCGCGCATTTATCTTTACGGGGGTGGCGGCCGGGGAGGATATGGCCCGCCACAAAGAAAGCCTTCGTCGCTTGGTAAAGCGATTGGATGCTCCTCGCCTGGCAGTGTTGTCTGCTCGGGGCAGGGCGGGGGCAAATCGCCGAGCGGCGGCTACGCCTGCGAGGATGCAGGTTTTGGAGGCAGTGGTGGTGCCTGGTCCTTCCAGGGCAGAAGCGGAAGAGGAAGAGGAGGTTGTCGAGGAGGATATGGGGGTGTTGAGCTCCGGGGGCTTGGGGGCGGAGGGGTTGATTGAGGAGGATTTGGTGGAGGAGGAGTTGGCTGGAGAGCCTGATTTCACGAGATGGAAGTAGTAGAATAAGCGATCCGTCATTGAATACTAGTAGCTGGGAGGAGTCCACGCCACGTCCAGTGGCAGAAGTGCAATTCCGGTATGGACCAAAAGTCAAAGGTGAGAAACTGTGGCCAGACACAATAGCAGTAGCAAGACGGTGACTCCTATGATAATCCGACGAGAGCACTCATGTTATACGTCCACGATGGTGTTGGAAGCGCGGTTCAACGTTTGGAGTTGAAAGTTGCCTGTTTGAGAAACCTCGGCAACAAAGGTTCCACGCCCAGCGCCGCGCTAGTCTTAATCGGGTAGGTTGATATGATTCTTGAAATTCCCGCTCAAAGTTTAAACTCTCAATTGACTCGGGACATTTGCTCACATAAATCCCACAACCTCAATCTCCAGAAGAACACGGCGATGATGATGAGGAAACCGACGTGAACGAAAGTATATGTCATCCGTCTGCTTCGCATCATATATCCCGGGTCCGTCATCATCGTCACCACCACTGCCTCCGCCACTGGTATCAACAATGGCTGGCACCACCGGCCAAGATCCACCAACATCACAAGCAGAGGCACTCCAACATTCCAAAAAGCTCCTCATCCCAAACTCCACAAAACTCCTTCTCGGCGGCACCGTTTTCCTCGCCTTGTCATCACTCATAACCCGCCGCGCCTTTCTGCGCAAGCGCACCAGCACACTCCCGCCCACCTACACCAGCGCCCCCTTCCACCGGCCGTCCGCTAACGGAGGCCTCGAGGCTCTCGAAGCACTCAACATCGCAACGATAAATGTTGCTAGCGTTGCAATGATTGGCGTCGGCGTGGGCATGTATGCGTTCGATATTGATACCTTGGAGGATTTGAAGCGGAAGGTGAGGAGCGGGATGGAGCTTGATGGCTCCAGAGAGTCGGAGCAGCAGGTCGAGGAGGAGTTGGAGAAGTGGGTTGCTAATGTCATGAGTTGGAAGGCGGGGAAGGAAAAGAAAGAGGGTGAGGTGGAGCGGAAATAATGTCAATGAGAGGGATAAGGAGAGGTAGAGTAGGAATTGAGCTGGGATATTTACGTCAGTCGGGATGAACGGAGAGCCGGCGTCGGATGTGTTGGGCAAAGTTGGAGGTTATATATGTCTCGCACGCTCTATGTTGTGGTACGGGTTTTCTTGCGAGATGGAAGACGACTCGATACATTTCGTTTCTCCCGAAGACTCGAATGAACTTCCTATTCCCTACCTCGATTTAGATCGTACGGCACTCGAGCTTGGAATCATGTCAATATAAAATGGCATTCCGGTTTTGTTCCTACCTTGGTACCACGCTGCCAAAATGCCTATTGCCGACATTTGCGGCTCCAGAAGAGGGATGGAATACATTTCCCTCTAGTCAGAAACACCTATACGAAATTCCACTGTATCATAGAACTTTGGTTATTGTTTATAAAATAAGACGAAAAGACACTATAAATAGATGTCAATATTTGCGGGAAACTCGACCCGTAGGAGCTACATTATACATGGCATAATGAAATTTACATCCCAATGAGGCAAAAACACAGAACAAGAAAAATATAACAGGTTTCTATGTAGTAATAATACAAGGAAGAAATGTACACACGATTCCACCGCCTAACCCTCCTTCGACATCCGCTCGTACCGCTCACGTGCAGTCTCCTTCGTTTTCTCGAGGAAATCATCATACCTACCCCTTGTATTCATTCCGGCTTCCCGAACTGCATCGCCAAGCTTGCCTCCCTGAGCACCCAGCCCAACGCCTTGGACATACAGATCAGTAGCGATGGGCGCTGTCATCCCAGACCCTTCCGCACCAAGTCCCGAACCAGCAGACCAGCCCATTTTGCCGAGAAGGGCTGCGCCCTTAGACATGAGAGGGACTGGTGCTGTTTCCTCAATTTCCTTTTCCACTTTCTTCTCCTTTGATTTTACCGATGCACCGAATGCTTGACGTCGTTCCTTCGCCCGGTCTCGATACTCTGAAGAGAGCTGTTGTTCGGCCTGGTCCCGTTTCTTCGCTAGTTTCGCCAAAGCTCTGGTCTTGAGCTCTTCATTTTGCATGTTCTCACGATGAAGCTGACTGAGTCTTTCGTGTTTGTTCACTTCCGCTTCTGTTTTAAACTGGCGCATGCACAGATAACAACATTTACGGTTGAAATCCGCGTAAGACTGTGTTGGTGCAGGAGAAACAGAAGATGAACCACCTTCACTGACACCCTGTTTATGTTCGCTGCCCGAGCTTCCTTCCTTTGCTTCCTCACGCTGAATACCATGTAGTTCGGCGTGGCGGTCACTCCAAAACTGTAAATGACTCGGAACGGCAAGCTTCTTTGTGCCAGGGATTCCTCCAGCATCCGCTTTTCTCTTCTTCGTCTTCTCAGCCTCCTTTGACGGGTTTAGGATTCTTGTCAGTCGGTGTGGATTTTGTCGCTCGAGATTTAGAACGGTTCCTATCTGGATCTTCCGTCGACACTACTAACTCCGTTGCATAAGCATTCTCGTCCCAGTATGCTAATTTCATGGAAGGGTTGCCAAGTGGGCTGAAGGTAAACCGATCGGTGCTGGCTGTAGGGTTTATGACGGGAACGAAGACGCCAGCGTGGATGTAACTAGCTAAAACAGGTTTCGAGGAAATTGTGAATGTTTCGAAAGAGTTATATCTAGTAAGAGCGGCTTGGGCATCCTACTGACGCGTTAAGATATGAAATCAAAATATTAAATTTATTTGAACTAGAAGCAGCAGAGCTACTTACTTCTACTGTTGCAAACTCCGCAAAACCATACTTCCAACTTTCGTTACTTCGGCGATCTCGTATGAGCAACACACGCCGTATTGAGCCTTTGCGTGCCCCTATATTGGCATCTCCCGTTGTAGAGGCGACCTTTGCTCCTTTTTTTGCAGCAGGAGGTGCATTGCAACCATCTGACCCAGGCGATGGTTTGTAGAGTTTTGTTACGCCTTTAGCAAGAAGTTCCTCGGTAACGGACGCCTCTAGGCCTCGAAGAAGAATAAACTGGGAAGGGGATCCGTCGGGAGCTACATCGTTATCACCATGATTCGCAACGCGTGGAGGGTTGGCTACCTCAGGAGGAAGTTGAACAAAGTCTTCATCTGTCAGCCGTAGACCTTGTAAAACTCGACACTTCAATAGACATACCTGCTCGAACTGCTTGGCATCTGAAACAGCGCTGTCTGGTCGCGTAATTGACTATGGAACACTAAAATTACGCGCCAGTTAGTTAAGAGCCATCTGGTAGAGACGGAATCTAATAACTTACCATCTTGCATGTCCACTCTCCTTCAGCTTTGATTCGATTGCGGTCTTCTCTTTCTCGACTATAGGCTATTCTAACCCTCGTGCCACGTTCATTAGTATGCGATTGATTATCCCCATAGAGGTATATGGTAGGAAAATTGCGTTCCAGGAATTCACGAGAGTCATCTATTGTGGGGAACCGAAGAAAACCCAACTGGCGGGATATCTCTGGAGAGAAAAAATCAGTATAGTGTACAAAATAAAATAGGACCATCAATCACACACGTACTCGTTTGGCGATCGCGGATGACGCGAACATCCTCCAGAGTCCCGACATGGTAGTATTGGGTGAGTTCATTCAAGATCTATTACAAGAAAGTATCGACCGGAATGATGACCGGCGACAAGCACATCTCAGCATCCTGTCTTCCAAGAAAAGATGAGGAAATCATAGCGAAGCCAACTCATATCAAATGCACTCATATCCAAACAGGGGATTCAGATTGCTGTGCATTGCAGTGGGGAAAGGGAGGAGTAGTCGAACGTCGTCTTCATTCATTTCTACTGGCAAGCCTTCCATCATGATCTCACGGCTTTCTTGACCGTAGTAAGGACGTCGAGGCCCACGTTGGCTGCGGCTTCTGGATCGACTCCGACTTTTGCTGCGGCTTCTGCTGCGACTGTCATACCCAGGAGAGCGGTATCCCTCACGGTCACGATCTCTATATGACGGCCTTCCACGGTGCCGTGGAGGGGACCAAGAGGGTCGTCGGTACTTGTCTCGCTCTCTAGGTCGGTGATCCCTAGCCATTGGAATTTCGTCATCCCGGCCGGGATGCCTCCTATCTGCCGCTGGACCACGAGGCGGAGTCCGAGAAATGTCTTCAAGCAGTAAACAGAAATGAAGAAATCAGCACAAGCTCAAACGAGAGATGAATCCATTTATTCGCCCCAGTGCGCGAAGTTGATTTTACCATGCGGAGGAGAGCGTGTACCGCCTGGTGAGCCGTGTCTACGGTCCCTGGATCGTGGGACAACATGTGGTGGGGAGCAGGAGCGGGAGCGGGAGCGGGAGCGAGACATTCTGTCATCATACATGCGGCCATTCCACCCGTTGCGGCGACTTGACTGATTGTAAGGCTGGGCACCACGGTGCCCTTTATCCCCAGGGGTATAGGAAGACATATTGTGATATCATGGACAAAACACGACGGTTTGGAAAGGGAAGAAGGAGATGTGGGCGTTGTTGTCTTTTCCAAGCTCAAAGGAGCCTCAAATGGTCGGTTGTGGGCTAGTCAGCATGATAATCAGGTGATTTACCAAGCTCTCTATGCTGGATTGGTTCGCCTCCCCTACTACCAGCATTGCTCTGGTGTGAGACAGCCCGTTCGTTTGAGCCAAGCGACCATGTTAGCCGTCGCGCCATTGCTCTTCCAACTAGCCTCAACGAAGCTTGGAGCGTTGGTTATCGTACCACCTCCCGAAACAGTATCGTGTCGATATCGCGGCCAGACGGCTAACCTGGTCGCTTGGCCCAAACGTTCCGGTTGCAATTTATAAGAAATTAAATCTCAATCCAGTTTCCATCTTTGTCGCAGGGCTGGAAGAACAGTGTACATCAATGCCTCCTTAGGTTGGCGAGAAAACATGTCATTGATATGCAGTATCCCAATATAGAAAGCTTCCATCAGATCAACATAACTACCTTGTTCGCTGTCTGTGAGGTCAAGGGAGCCAGGAGTCTGCCTAGCGGCTTGGAAATGCATATTCACGGTGTGGTTGAAACCCTGGACAAGGAGCTCAAACATGTTCACCGGATTTACCTACCTGTTGACGGCAGAATACAGAAAGATTCCTTCCATATCTGGGCTCATAGTGGATTATCTTACACGTTGCTCATACGCTCCGATGGTGTGTCAATTCACCGACTTGTCCTACTCTCCCAGGAAGTGGAGCCCTTCCATAGAACAAGCCCCCGGAACATTGGAGGGATCACCATCATAATTTCCTGGTGATTGCTCCCAAGATTATGACATGGGAAAGCAAGCATGCCATGATGGTAGATTTTGAGCTCTCCGGATTAAATAATGAAAATAGAGGCTATTTAGCTCGCAAGAGAATGCACGGTGGGACAGTGTGAAATTAAATTCTTCTTAGAGAGGGATTTGTTCGAATCGTAGCTATGGTCAGGGCCGTGACAAAAGTACACTCCTAATGACACAATTATGAATACGGCACCCCCGTCAGAAAGTGAGAGGGGCCAGCACATAACCTCACCCATCAGCGCATATCGCTATTAGCGAACCAATACAACAAATTGGCTAGGTTACCACTTTTAATATGTTTTGGCATTGCTGTTGCAAAGATGGAATGGATAGTAAGGTTAACAGCATGCGTATAAAATAGCAAAATTGGACCATTTCTTATAGCCTCCCACTATAAATTTGGCAACCGCTCACCATTTGATAACAACTTAACCCACTCTAGCGGGATCCAGTTGAGGTTTGTTACCCAACAGCTCGTCGACTTCGGCCAATATTTCAGGGGTGAGCTTGGGAAGCACCTTCAGGCTCTCGACGTTCTCGACCACCTGCTCCGGTCTCGACGCGCCCGTGATGACAGAACACACGTTGTCATTCTTCAAGCACCAGGCCAGGGCAAATGCTGATACTTTGCACCCAAGTCGGTCGGCGATTGTCTGGTTTTAGATAGCGTCAGATATCACAACTACTATGAAGTTCCCATTGCCCGCAGAGGCGAGGAAATTTTTTGAAACAGGGAGTAGTAAGTCCTGAGTTAAAATCAAGAACATACCTTGAGCTTGGCCACTTTTTGGATGTTCGCATTCCAAGCCTCGTTCCCGTAGTCTTTCCTAATAGATGAGGTATATTTATCAGTGCTGACCGCAATTCGGGTGCCCTTGGGAGGCTCTGCCGCCGCCTCGTTGTATTTCCCGGTCAAGATACCGCCTTTCAGGGGCGAAAAAACGGTCAATCCAATTCGACACCGGGCTAACACTCTCTGATATTCTCCTTCGACCTTCTGCCTGTCGATCACGTTGTACAGTGGCTGTTCAACTATGGGTCCGATTAAACCGAGAGCCTTGGCAACTCCAGTCGCTTCGGCAATCTCGTCTGCTGACCACATTGAAGTTCCCCAGTAGAATGCCATCTCCTTTTCAATAAGGTAGTTGAAAGCCCGAACGACCTCTTCCATAGGCGTAAGTCTATCAGGACGGTGAGCGAATATAATGTCGACATAATCTAGCTCCAGACGTTTGAGGGAAGCCATTGTTCCTTCGATAATATGTTTTCGAGACAAGCCATAATTGTTAATCTCTACATCTCCATGGGCGGTACCAAAATTGACCTTGAGATCAGCAGTTAGCGGATGGCTACACATACATATGACGGTATTTGGTGGGACAGAAAATACCTTGGTGCTGATGACCAGATCGTTGCGTTTCCATTTAAGTTTTTTAATGACCTTACCCATAGCAATCTCAGATTCGCCGGCGGCATAGCTGGGGGAAATGGGAATTAACGAACCATCCCTGTATATCGGAAACATATTGTGAGTAGGGGGAATAATTACCTCTCTGCCGTGTCGAAAAAGTTGATGCCTAGATCATAGGCCTGTTTCATGCACTTCATTGTTCCCTCTGGAAAAAAAGAATGAATTAGCATCCTGAAGTCAATTCTAATATAACTGTGCTATATCTCTCCATAAAATCAGGTAATGAAGTCATTAGCCCCCCTTTACCTTCATCTACATGTCCACCATAGCTATCGGTTCCATTAGTGTAAATTCTTATTCTCAGTTGTGTTTTAGCTGGACATACGTCAACCATCCTCCTAATGATATCACGGAGACATGAAGTCCTGAATTGCCCACTCTGCGGTAGAGCATTTTACTGGCGTTTGGCTCGGCCATGATATCTCTGGGTAACGCTCAGAAGGTTTGCAGAAGGGTCGTAGTAATAGACCTCTATTAGCCAAATGGCAAAGCTTGTTTCTCAGTGTTAGAGCAGTTGAAGGGAGAGTCATCCAAGTGGGAATTGCTTGTTGTTGCCAACGTATTGCGGGGTGCATTGCCATTTTATTAACCTCGACCCACCGCACAGAAACCCATGGACATATCGTATAGTCCGATGAACGTCGTGACTAATCAGAGAGCCTTTACCCGGAGGGCCAAACTTGGGCTTAGGGAACTGAATAATTGGGTAAATAGCTTGGAACTTAAATTCCTGCTGTGGAGTATGAGGAGAAGTATATGGGAAACCCTTAAGAAAGGGGAAGGAAAAAAGGACTTGATTACAAGACCGCAAGAGCTCTTATTTTATTCACTGATTGGTCCTGAATGTTCGCTATTTCAAATAACTACATAGCCATTGCTTTCTAAGCTTTTTAATATCCTAATTGCTCGATTGTAAGCCGCGTGTTTGTGCTTCGACAGTTTCTACACATGTTTGGGTAGTGACATCAATTCAACGAGGAAATAAGAAAAGGGGAAATAATATGAATATAATACAGGAAGGGAATAAGTGGTATGTATGCCCAAACTCCGGATACCAACTCCAAAGCAACGTAATGTATATTAGAAGTTGGCATAATGTGCATATTTAGCTATGTGGTCCTCCGTTGTTAGGAGGGTTATGCTCCATAGATCCAAGAGGCCGCGTCAAAGTACGTGTGATGTGAGGGAGGAAACTTCAATGAAAGTTGTTTCCTTTTCCCCATATTACTATTCCTCCTCGGTGTTGAGAGGCTTGCCTTCCCTCTTCCAGTCCTTGATATGATCGACAATAGTAGATGCGGCGGTTTCAGCAGTATCTTGGCGGCCGATACATTCAACGAAATCTCCATCCGGGTCTACAGAGAGGTCAGAGTCAATTATTTTCAATCTCAGGGAGGTTAAGGTACAGGGTTCGCCGGTAAAGGCTAGGAATATGACATACCCATCAGGTAGAAATAAATGCTGTGGTCAACTAGATAGTCCTCTCCCGGCTTCACATTTTGTGGTGTGCTGAAATACACACGATACTGTTTGCACACGTGCTTCACCTGCTCGTACGTGCCTGTGAGTCCTATAATACCCTTATGAAATTCCGCCAGATACTTGCGCAACACTTCGGGACTGTCGCGGGCTGGATCGCAAGTAATGAACACGGGACGGAGGACAGATTTGTTGTTTGATTTGGCTTTGACGAGATCGATTATCTCGGCCATTTTGTCGAGTTCGTCTGGGCAGATATCCGGACAATGGGTGAAGCCGAAATAAACCTGGAACAATGTTGGAGAGTGAGAAATACACGCTCATGAAAGGCCCATCTGGAGAAAACGAATGGGAGCGAAAAATAAATGGGAGCACCCACGAAACTATATTTTCCTTTCAATTTTTCTTCGGTAAATTCATTTCCATCCAAATCTTTTAGGACGAAAGGTCCACCAACTTTCGGCTTGCCGACACCCTTACTCATCTCGACAACTCTCTTTCGCTCAAGCCGCGCCTTCTCATAGCGAAAATAAAATATCATAGCCACGCCTGTTGCAACAAACAATGCGGCTGCTTTCCATGAGAATGGTCCGGTTGAAGCGCGAGCCTTTAATTGCTGTATGGTTTTGGCTTTTGGGCGGGGGGAGGACGTGGAGAACGAAGGAACTTGAGTCTTCGACCATGTCGATAATAGAAACGAAGGTGATCTAATCCGAGAACAGGGAGAATGTAATGGCCTCAAATTCGAAGAATATGATCTGCTTGGCATGTGCTGAAAGCTTGGGAGGGTTGGGGATGATGCTCGCCATGGAGCAGGAGATTGGAAGCTGGCATGCCTCATCCAGCGAAGGACCAATTTAGTGTGTCCGAAAGCCATATTCGTGTTCATTGTTTTTTTAATCTCCAATTGACTGTTTTAAATAAAGAAATCAACAAATCTTTGTTCAGCAATTGGCGAGTTACTCCAGACGATAAAATCCAATTTCAAGATATATCACATGATTCAATGCTGACTAATTGGCATTTCGTTCCGACTTCAATAGAAGCCAAAATCTTTAACTATTGTGGGATTGCTGGCTCGTTTTTCTCTTTGGAATTGTAGGTCATTAATTCTGCCTCCCATGTAACTTTAAATAGAATAGTATATTAGATAGTATACTCGCACAGCTTATGTCTAATTAAAAACAAAATTTTTCAAACCATTTTCCTCTGAATAAGCAATAACGATAAATTGCATTCTCCATCCCTCACGAGAGATGAGGAGAAAAGGGGAATACAGAAAAGACTGTCGTTATTTACCTTTCCATGATGGGGCTTCCTCAGGGCGATCGTATCCTATGCATTAGACGGGGCGGGATCGGAATCGTTAGGGAAATTGATTAAATTGGACATCAATATATCAGAGCATGCAGGCCGCGTAAAAAGAACCGTACTCTTACAGAGTACAGAGAAAAGCAAAAGCGTTAGTCACAAGGACGTACGATTGGGGGGGGGAAAAAGTGCAATACAAGGAAATAGTCATGAGTGGGGGGAAACAAAGGTAAAACAGCTTCAATCAAACAGACGCTCACACAAAACTTGATACAGATCTATAACGATACGGATATATTAGTCAAACATGAAAAATGGAGTAACGACGGAGTAAGAAGTAAAGTAACTGATATCTTTACACGAGATGTGGTAGAGTGCGAGAAATGCAAGCTCCGGTAGGATATGCGAAGATTCTAAACTGATGTCGAGAAGATGAAGGCGATGGAGGGGAATCGGAATTGGTGGCGTGGAAACCGTTGAACACGACAAATGCGCTTTCTTCCGACCACTGACCACCGCCTAATAAATCCATTTTTAAGCAAGTTTTATTATGCCCCCCCAAAAAAAAAACCAAAAGTAAAAAGGATGTGAGAAAAGAGAGTGTGTGTGCGCCCAAAATTACATCCAAAAACGTGCTCGGGGATGTGCTCGTTCACGGCTATCGGTTTCATTTATTATTTTAATGCATACCACGACTCGCCTGGCTCGCACGACTAGGGCTCGTTCGACTTCTCTCATCCTCTTCTAAAACATCGCTGAGCCGTGTGGGGTGTCGATGACGTGGTGTCACAGAATCCCAAGTCGACCCAGAACCTCCTCCCCAACCAGATCCACTGTAATCGACGCTAGGGTCGTACCCAGCGCCATGTATTTCTTCAGGTGAACTACCAGGTGGTCCGCTACCGTATTCAATGCCAGTCATTCTATCAAATCGCTGGCCAAATTCGCCTTCAGGCATATGTTCCATGTTCTCGTAGTCGTCACTGTCATCGGAGATAGTGCGGGGATACACAATTCGACGATCCCGGTCCTGTTGGTTCCGTCTGTAAGCCGCATCAGGGAGGTCATACTCTTCTGATCCAAGGTCGCTTCCGCCTGGCTCGCTAGTTGGTACATAAGAACCCTCATCGGCGGTGTTGGTCTTATGATCGCTTCTTTGGAGAGCAGAGGATTCGTGCTCATAGAATCGCCCGTGTGTGTCCTCAGCGAGATGAGATTGGCTATATGGGCTGGAGGACGCAGCGACTAGTGTTTGAGTAGTAGCTATGCGTGCGGCGGACATAGCCGCTGCAGATGTTGGTGGCTGTCTTGGAGGAGAGGATCCAATGGCATGATGTGACGGGATGCCATGTTCACGTGTGGTTTCGACGAAGGGGTCTGTGGCTGTTGGAGATGAGACCTGGTTGTCATACACATAAGGTTCGGAGGGCTCGGGAACGTCTTGTCTCGCTTGTCCACCCATTGATGTGGGTCCAGGACCGCCGGGGTAATAGCCTTCTCTTGTTGGCGGACGATTTGTACTAGTCTGTCTACTAAGCGCAGATTGCATCATTGGGACCACCTGCACACCGCCAACTATAGTCGGCTCACCATTTCTTAAAGATACTGTCCGGTCGCGTTCTTCCTGTTCTCTTCTCCCAAGTTCTTCCCAAGCACGCCTCGCTTCCTCTTTCGATATCTGCAATTCACGGCGCATTTCCCGAATTAGTTCCTCAGCCCTTAACTTGTCAGTCTCAACTTTTGCAATCGAATTTGTTGCCTCCGCGCGAGCCTGACGTTCATTTCTTAATAGTCTCTCCAGATCCGCCTGAACCTCCTGGGCACGTTCCTGTTCGGCACGCGTGTCAAAAAACCAGCGTTGGAATTTTCGTTCCGAGGATGCTCTCAAGCGTTGCAACTCAACTACAGCATGAAACAAGTTTGCGCCGGCTGCAGAAAGGTCAGTTATTTGCCTTGACATCTGTTGGCTGAGGGGGTCGCGGCTGAGTTCATCATTATTTTGCTCCAACCGTCGTATCCAGTATCCAGTCAACCCTTCCCAATGGGATGAAAGCGTCTCCCAACGTTCAAAAGCGTGCGGAAATGCAGCCCTTTGTCTACTTTGCTGTTGTTGAGACTGTGTCCTAGTCTGCTGACTTGATTGAAGGGGAGGCTCGGTCTGCTGGTTCTGAGAAATTCTAGGCTCTCCGGGCTGTTGAGGCGTTTGCGTAGGCATTGTTTGCGGTCTGGCCTGTGATGAGGAAGTAGTGGGCTTCACAAATGCTCCGGTTGTAGCCCGGGCAGAGAGCTGAGAAGATGCAGGAGCAGGTCGCTGGTGTTGCTGGGAAATTGACGGCCCTCGTTGACGGGAAGTCTGAGGTTGCTGAGCTCCATCTCCTGTCAGACGCGACTCGGGCGCAGTGGCTTGTTGCCGCGTACCCGAGGGCACGACTGGCTGCACACCGGATGAAGTGCCAACTGAAGCGGAAGTTGTTGGTATTCGGGAAGTGCTCAAGCCGCCAGTTCGATCGTGCCTTGAGCTTTGATCTTGCGTGGTGACTCCTCCCCCTTGTCTTAGTTGACCTGACGTGGGTTCAACGGCAGCGCCAGCAGCCGGTATATGTCGCCCCGGTTGGGGGAACTGTTGAATCTGCTGCTGTTGCAGCTCCTGCTCCTGCTGCAATCGCCATTCTGTTTCTTGCTTGTCTCTCTCCCTTGCTTCCTGCTCCGCTTTCTTGCGCGCTTCACGGTCACGGCGTTGTCTCATAATATCAGTTGGGGTTCTAACTGAACTGGGTGGATTCGATTGGCCAGCAATGGGTCCTGTCGCAGGTCGGGAAGTTCCATTTTGAGGCCGGCCATTGCCCGTAGATCCAGAAGGCACGCTTCCGCCCACTAGCTCTGACATTGAGGCGTTAATCTCGCTGAGGTCTGGGGTAAATATGAAAGGATGCCGAATTGCCTCTTCCAATGCCCAGAGAATAGCAGACGCAGTGCGCGATGAGATGCGGTTGGTTCGCCGGGGCCAGAATGATTCACCACTGTGTTGCAGTGAGCTCTGGTACGTTGTGTGATATCCTGCAGACCGTGCTTCTAGGGGTGGGCTTTGGGGTACGGCAGCGCGACCAACTTCAGGTTCCGGCTCGACTGTTGCTAGCTGCGTAGCGAACCTAGCAATTGAGCTTCGACGAGGGCCTAGGGCAGGAGAAGCGGTGCGAATATCTTCAAAACCGGAGCTCCTACGTAGCCGGGGAGTACGAGTTGAAGAGGTGGATGAAGCAGACTGAAGAGGCGATCGCTTAGGTGATTCAGAATGACGAGGAACAGGATGTAGCTGCTGGCGCTGCCGTGTGGGCGGGGACGTCAACGTAGACTGGTCGTAAACTTCGTCGGTCTCGTCAAAAGATCGTGGAGCTGCCGGAGACAGGGTTGAAAGTGGCAAGTTTGAAGGAGGATAGGTTGACAACGCGATTGTTTGGAGGCACAACTGAGTATATTATCCTTCCCCAAAAAAGGTATGGAACTTCTCAGTACCCTGTAAAACAGTAAATTAAATGGCCCGCGAGACGTTTGGAAAGAATAGCACGTCCAGGATAAGCAGACACGCTGCCAGTATTGAGCGGAGGAGGTTGGTAACTTTTTTCCGGGTTGAGTGAGAGTAAGCAAAACAAAAAAAAAAAAAAGGGGGGGGGGGTATGAATAAAGTCACCAGAGGACCAGATAGAACAGCAGAAAATGGAATGAAGACGGTTGTTAGAGCGACGATGCCAGTGTTGTTGTGTTGGAGTCGAATGCGGTGGCTGGTCGAGCGAGCTTGCAGCTCGGATTTAATTCAGATGGCTGGTGAGCAGAGCTCGTTGGACGGCCGAGACAGCATGGCTCAGGGCCATACACAGCTCAATTGGATCAACGCCGCAACATGGAGACTAGATCACGCACTCGCGGGACAGGGCAGCGCGTGGGAGATGTTGTGTGTTCAGAGACTTGTTTTGTGTGCGAGGACGAACGACGTTCGATGGAGGATGAGGCTGGTTGCTGCTGGCCGGATTGGGAAATGCGAGAGATTGCTTTTTCTTGACACCAGACACACAACCACACAACCACACAAGCAACTTTTTTGACAACTTCCGCTCTCGACGAGAAGGTCAATTGTTCGCCAGAGCAACAAAGATCCTAATACCCTGAGTTACTGCGAACCATCAATGAGAGATATTCCTAAATATCTCCGTGACTTTGGCGGGGGTTGTGGATCAATGTCAACAGCCAGCTGAACTTCAAATAATTTCACTCTCGTTAGACCATTTCCTTGAACTCGCTCTGCTGGCTTCCATGTAATACCTTTTCGATATTAAGCAGGAACGGGGAGAGTGAACATGATACTTACCCGCACACCGCAGTAATCCACCACACTGTCGGCAGCAGCCAGCAAATTTGGGCGCAAGGATCTGCCACAGGACAGACCCGTACACAACAAAACCAGACCGGGCGTGGTATGCTCATGCGATCCACCAGGTTAACCGCAGAAAATTGAAAACCCCGCCGGCCAGGACGTTGGGAGTCGGGTTCAATTTCAACTTCCTGTCTTTTCGCACAGCCAGAGTCGGAGTCCCCACACGCACCAATCCACCGCCAGCATCAAAACCATCCATATTTAGGTCATTTTGAATGCTTGCCCAGGAGCCATGCGTACCTAAGCTAATGCGTGCCCCAGGCCGCCAACAGTAGTTCATGTTGGCGGTGGAACAAGTCAACTTGGTTTTTGATGAGCTGGCAAGTTCCATCCGGCACAAAATCAGAGACATCCCTGTCTGAGCGTCCCTTGCCTGTTAAATTTCCATATCCATCTTGCGCCATGATTGTCACCACTCCAGCTGCTCTTAATGCCCGCTTCGTGGGGCGCCTCTTAGCAGCCAACCTCGCGCCCGTTGCAATTTTTATCAAGTTATCAACGGAACGCGAATTATTTATGGAAGTCGAATGGCTCCATGTTTTAACTTCTTCCAAGGTTCTCTCAATCCATGGTTCGGCTCAGTTGTCAGCCTCATCTTCACTGTCATTTATTAGTATGCAAAATCTACTGATGCTCCTCTCCTCATGGTGGGGCAATTCAATATTGAAAATACTATATTATGCATTGATTGATTCTGAGTTTACCTCTTGCATCAAATATAAACCACATTCAAAGCCAACTATGCAGCCTTGTTCCTTACCATTTGTCTGCGCCTTCGGCACGCCTACTAGTATACATTTTACGGGCAACCCAGCTCCCTTATCTTCAACTTCATCACCCGTTGCAACTTTCTGGATTTAGACTTCCTCTCGAGAACTGAGCGCATCCGATCGCGAATACACGTCTTTTCACAACTACATATCTAATTCTCAGGTTTTATTCGGCCACCACCACTTACGCATGTTCCTTGCCCTTCATTTTACATTCCGAGGAAGGATATATCTGCCTGGTTATCCCTTGTACCCCTCTCTATTCCAAACAAGCCCTGGATATCCAACCTCATCAACCGAGTTTCACGGGTCTCAGCTATATGAAGAAACCCATCTACTCAGGAGCCCAACACTCCCGATCAAAAACGTTATTTTTGCTCTTGGTGACAGACCTCTATACAAAGAAGATTTACGACATTTCGAGCAATCATCGAACATAAATATTATCATCTGGGCCGTTGAAGCCAAACTGGGGGATTCTACATAAAATATAATCTCAATAACTGGCCAAACGTCATACCAAGGTTCTAGGGCAAATGTCGCTCCACGTGTCCAGGTCGACAATGATACAAAGCAGACACCCGCCTAATGCTTATCTTCGTCACTAGCAGTGTTCCGCCACGCTTTTCCTAGGACACCATCCGGTTTTCTGATGATCCTAGATCCAATCCCACCATTTCTGATAAATGATCAGCCGTCTTCAAAACTATTCCTACTGCTGGACAAAATAACCCGCTGTTGTTGTCCGTGTTGCTAGAAATTGCCATTCTTTTGCAAGTTCTTGAAGGTCGTCCATTCTAATCCAGCCATTTCGAACAAATCCTTTAAACTCTTACCCGTTCAACATATGAATCATAAATAATTGCGGGCTTGTTATATCCCTCGAAACCATAAGCTACCAAGAGTCGCCCTTTAATTTTGAAACCCAACTAAACTATGCCAGACCTCGCTGCAGAGCCCTCCTCAACGAGATTCAGGAACATTCTTGCTTTCTCATTCAGGTGTTGGATGATAATTAATATTTAGATTGGTCAATGTCGGCTATATGGTTTTACACCTGCCACCAGCACATATATTTACACTTGACACTAGGAACTGTCCAAGATGAACCGAAGAGAACGGGTTCGCTAATAGTAATCATACCTGGATGTTCATGTCCAACCGTTCACTTTGGTTTCGTTATCTCTGTCTATATCGACAAGATAATTTAGCTCACGGAGTTTAAATAAAAGTCATGTTCTAAAAGGCCGTCTTGCATTTTAACCCAAATATAATGGTTTACACTCCGTCACTACCTACAGGTTAGCATGAAACTTGTTCACCAAACAGGGAGAACAGAGATGATGGGATGATGGCTTGGGGAAATGAAGCCGAACAAGGGAAAATGTCACGCAAAATGAAGGAAGAAAAATTAAAAAAACTGTTTGGTACCTTACATACCGGTTCTGGACCAATTTGTGATTCATATTGCCTCACCCGCAGCAACAAATTAGTCTTCTAAACCTCCTCAGCCTTGGATACCTACTTAGTGAGAGATGTGGTGGTGAGGTCGTAGAAAAGAAAGTACAAAGGGCACTGCGCTGATCCCGAGAACGATTGAAAGACCGTTTCTCCCGCTGGAGTTGCACAATGCACCCATTCGTGTGCCTTGCGCAGGTCGAAGATATTGACGCCAGGCTGTGTATCCCTCCAGCCCTCCCCCACAATGGCGCCAACATCTCTCCCCAAAGAAATCCAATGCCATAAAACGCCCTTCCGGCTTGAGTTGAGGGATACAGAGACCAAATCGCTCACGCACATGAACAATATGTGTCCCAATACCACAAAAGAGTAGGGCTCCTTCAACTGGTCCCAGCCAACAATTCCCTGACCATCCCTTCCCACCTCGCTATAGCCTCATCCCCAGCCTTCGCCAGCCTCACACAGGGATCTACCCATTCTCGCTCACCCTCATTACCCGTCTGCCCTGCTTCCCCACCAACGTCCGGCACAGCAGCACTAAAAACATTTTGCACAGTCAACTCCTTCTTCGCCTTCTCAAATAAAGCTGCTATATCGCCCCATGGCCCCCGAAGACTACCATTCCCTTGAATGTCTTCGTCGTCACCACGATTGCCGCCGCGGCCAGCACGGCGAGTAGCGGATGTCGCCGTCGCCGTCGCCTTCACCAAGCCCTCCAAAACCCCCAGCACGGCCCCAATGCGCAAGCCCAATTCCGCACCGACAGGGAACCCTGCATCAAAACCTCGCTGGACATGCTCACCCTTCGCGACGGAGATGCCATCGCGGTAACCTGCTGTGACGTGCTGGCGGCGTAGGAAAGGTAGGTCGGAGGGCTCGCCATCCAGTCGGTAGGGTTGGACAACGCTGTTGTCTGGGGAGTTTTGGAGTAGAGGTGAGGCGCTGAAGATGTCATCCCAAACGGAGGGAGATGGTTGTTGGGGCGGCAGGTGGGGGGGAGAGGAGGGGGCGCTCGTTGTGGTTGAGGATTGGGGTGGCGGGGTAGAGGAGTCCGGGTCGAGAGGGGACGGTGGACGTGATTGTTCCGAGGGGGAATGGGATTCGGCGGAGGTTCCCATAGCTTTCTATCTTTCTGGTCTATCTTAGGAAGGAGGGGGGGGAAAATGAGGAATTTGTCTTCCCTTCTGGTTGCGAGATAGTTAGTCCCAGCGAATTATCATAAAATCGATGGAGTGGAAAGTCTTATCACCACGTGACGTGGACCTCGGATAAGCGCTTTTGCGAATTGTAGAATAGTGCGTGCACTGGATCAGAAGTCAATGAGAGGCTTTGATCATTGTTATTTTCCTTCTGAGTTTAACAGTCTTTTATCTACGAATTACTAGTATTCCTGTATATATGGAACATGAAATTGAATACACATTAGCAATAATCTGGTTATTTACAGTGACTGATATGGCTGAGTGACTGAGTCTCCGTATCCCATATCCGTTGCCATCTTTCAGGTAGATCATCACTTGCCATCTCTCGCATTTGGCCAACAAGAATTGCGGGTGTTGTAAAGAAGGTGTCAAAAGGTGGCTGGCCTGTGAAAAGTTCAAAGAGCTGTTGTACCTATCAGTTTAATATTGTATAGCATTTAGCCTTGGACGATTTCACTCACCATGCACCCCATGCTCCACAAGTCAACACGGTAATCAATGTGATCTTGAAATATCACTTCAGGTGCCCGAACAGATAGAGGTGTGTGTAGTGTTTGAGGAACTGCAGAAGATAAAAACGATTCCCCAAAGTCAATTATTTTGATTGACTGAGCTGGATTCCAAGAATGCGTCCGATATGAGGTGGGCCTAACAATGTATTCAGGTATGCCAGGCTCCAGATCTTGCCCATCACTTCTTTGAACATAGCCAATTTCTGGTTCTCCTAACTTCTCAGTAAAACCCTCTTCAGTTACATTGTCCATGCAAGGCATAGTGAAGGCCAAATTGCGGGTATGCAGATCTATACTAGGTGAGAATTGTTCAAAATATCCTCAAGAGAGTGACCTACCTCCATGTCCAATATTCTGTTGGTGCAAGCTATCAAACCCAATAAGACTCTGCTTCGCAATGACCTTGGCGAGCTTCCCAGGAAGTCTCCCATCAGAAAAGTGTGCATCAATTGTGTCCGGAATATTAGGCCCCAGAAGCTCATAAACTAGGCATTTATGACATCCATTTGGGCCCTCTAGATCAAAGTCATCAAGCATGAGCATTGTATGTTTCAGACAAAAGTGATGAGCTGCCAACTTCTTCATGATTCGGAGCTCTTGCATCTCCCCACCATATTCCCTTTCTGCAACAGAAATTTTGACAGCAACATAAATCTCTTCTCTGCAAACAGGCAATTTCTTGGTTAGCTAGAACTACCAAGAGTCACCCAATTTTATACAACCTTTGATCTCTCGCCGCCCAAACTGTCGAGTAACCTCCCCATCCTAGTTTATGTAACACTTTATACCTTCCAGCTTTCAGGTATTCTCCCAAGGCAACTGGGTGGTAACCGCCTTGTCGGTAGCGATGAAGTGGCTCCGCGTCAACGGGGGAACTATAGAGGGGCTGCTCCACCTGACTCTTGTCTGGATAAGTAGACCAAAACCGTGAGATGCTCCTCAAGGGGACAGTACGTCTCGATAGTATCCAGGCGGTTGCCATTAGATTGTGTAAACTGGATTTGTCTGTGCCTATTCTGTCAAATATTATCATAAGTTCTAGACTTGTGAATGTCCGATGTGCCTATATACAAGAAGAACTATAAATCAGTCCCCTACTGCTCTCTGAAGATGTATCTAGGACTAGAAAAATATTATATACAACCTATGATATCTAACCATGAATTGAACGAGATAATGATTACACGAACACTCCTAACCACCTAGGAAGTACGTCGTCATTGGCTGAGAAAAGTCCATAGAAGCTGAAGTAAATAGCATGCTTAAGGCGAACAACGCTAAATTTCAGCACTGCAAATATTTAGCTTTTCTTCCAACCATATAGACCTTACAAATTATGGAACGAATGATTCTATTAGTTGAACCCTATTCTAAACAACCGCCAGCTTCTCTGGTACTTCTTCCAGCCTTCGGGCCTCCTCCTGTTTCGCATCATTGGCAGAGAAGTATACAATGCCAGCAGTCCATATGGCCATTGCAATCGAGCAAGCAATCATAGCCCACATGCCTTTCTATAAAGGGGTGTCAGCAAAGTCCTGGTGTCGGATATAGATCAACCTTTTTACAAAAAAAAAAAAAAAAAAAAAAAAGATACACATTTATGGTGACATTGACATACCGTGAACCAAGGCGCTTGATCAGCTGAATAGAACAGCAAAGCCCACCACGCATTAACCACATTGCTCCCCATGTTCATACTAGCAATGACAATGCTACGCATCGCATCGTCCTTATAGCGCATGACGTCATTCGCCCATGCGAAGAACGTTGCCTGACACGCATACACGGAGCCAGCCCAGTAATATGCGCCAAAGATCGTCGCCGTGGACGACCCGGGGGCAAGAATCATTGCCGACGTAGCCACGCCAGTAATGCCAATCCAGAAGCCGACAAGGTATCTCTTGCCGCCAAGGAAATCAGTCAGGGTCGCCCAGAAGAGTGTAGAGATGATGCCAACCGCTGGCACGCCGGTGGGGTAGTTGTTTAATTGCGGAACAGTGTATTTGTTGGTCGGGTGAGATTTCATATACAGGGCCAGTAGGGCGTTGGTGGAAAAAGACTCAGTCTCTCCTGCAATGACCCAAAGCATGACGAAGCCGTACAGGTGCCAGGAGGAGAAGATCCGCTTGACGAAAGAAAGGCTGATTGGGGTGCGCTCGCGGAGTGGTTCAGGAACGCGGGAGATGGCAAGCGCACGTTCCTGGTCGTTCAGATACGGGGCGTTGGTGGTAGCGGGGGTGTCGGGGAAGAGGAATAGGCCATATAGGGCAATAGGGACTGTGATGAGGCCATCAACCTGGATTTAGAGATGTTAGCATATGTGTTTCTACGGACACGGATTCCCCAGTGCTTCGGGGCGTGCAAAAGGAAAAAGAGAACTTTGTCAACACACAATAAACAACCATCTCCAACCAGCCATGCCCCTAGCACCGTGGAGCGACTTATGAATACCGGTCTGAATAAAGCCACCAAACATAGTCCCGGCAAGGCCTGAGGCAGTGAAAATACCGCTTCTCTTTCCCAGCTCTCGCTCTGTGTACCATGAGCCGAGAATATAGTGGGTGCCAACGAAAGTGCTGGACTCAGCCAGGCCTAAGAAGAAACGGATGGCCATGATCGACTGTGGGTTTTTGACAGAGGCAGTAATCATGGTCAAACCACCCCAGAACAACATCATGGACGGAAAAAAGATTCTCGGCTTGAAATGGATGAGGGCTAGGTTGGAGGGAACCTGGCCGAGAATGTACCTGTACAAAATTGAAGCGTCAGAGTTGCGATTCAAAAAAGAAAGAACGAAAGAAAGAAATGAAAAGAAATGAAAAGGGTAGAGAATTAGCGAACTATACCCGACGGTAAAGATTGTGTTAATCAAATTGAGCTGGTTCCCCTTAAAATTCAAATCCTCCTTCATTCCAGAGACATATGCATTGTTCAAGTTTGTTCGATCCAGCTATAGATAGTTATAATTCTTAGCTCTATTCTTGTCCATCAATTATTACATTTAAACCAATATCGCGACTCCACAACAATAATTATAAGTTTATCTGCAAAGAGGAACAACATCGGTATAGAGAAAGATCGAAACTCACGTAATTGGCAAAGTACATAAGACAGCAGAAAGTGAGGATGAAGAAGTCGATCTTGCGAAGAAGCGCAGCCTCACCAGGCTTGCTTTCTTTGCCGCGCAGATACTGAATGAACTTCCCAGCCATGATGGCGACGGTAAGCCTGGGTGAGGCCTAAGATAGTAGAGAACTATATCAGGATTTCTTTGGCGATGGTAGTTTTATAACCACCGGGGTGGACCTTTCTCACAGCCTCGAAGTCAGAGCGACAACGAGCAGAGAGGCGAAGCTCGGAAGTTGGGAGCCTAAAGGATTAAGGGGGGGCAAAAAAGAAAACTAGATAGTGCTATCAACTGAATAACGACACAAAATCCTGGGGAAAGAAAGGGCGCGTTATATATTATCCCATCAGAATCCATCCAGCCCAATTACCCTCGGCTGTGTCCGCACCCTTCCCCATATCCCACCTGTTGGGGTGTTGGAGCGTCTGGAGCTAAGGAGAGAGCTATCTCAGAGCTGTTTATCATTTGGGAAAGACTTTATTAGAATGCCCAGCTCTAGCTCTCCAAAATGTCGAATACCAAGGTAGGGGCGGTTTTCTTTATTTCTCTTGCACAGCGGAAAAGGCTGAAAATGGCTTCGTCAGTTATCGACCTGCTGCGACGGACATTCGCAATATGCATGGCAAGATGTATGCTGTTGCTGGATCCAGTGAAATCAAATTCCACGAGGGTGCAAAGAATCCCCTCGACTTCCCATCTACCGCACTATTCTCCCTGTTTCTTCATGCGACACCCTTGTGTAACTCGGCAAGAGATCGGAGCGCCAAATTCATGTACGCTGGCAGTGGAGGAGAAAACACGGACCGCTTGCGAACGCCTGGCCATCCGAACGCGGACTCTCGTGCTCCAGGTTCCCCACAGGCACACAAAGATGGGGGGATTCGGATTGTCAATTCGATTATTCTCTCGGGTGTCAGTTGGGTCGCTCGACGGGACGACAAAAAACAAACTTCCGCGTGTCATGTGCGTTTCTCGGATCGTGCCAACCCACGTTTCAACCTCGTTGGGATCCACTTTGCTGAGTTGCAACCACTCGGCGACGGTAGCTGAATCATATTCAAAAGAATTGCTGTCGAAAGATCCATCTCGGCGATACGCACACAGCGCTTCTGTGCGGTGGGGCAGATTGGGGAATGGGGAATGGGGAATGGGGAATGCTGAGGCTTGTCCCAGCCATCGATTCTCGCTCCCAGCCAAGTCCCTTCACCGAATCAACGCCACGAATAAAAGTAAAAGTAAAAGTGCTGAAGAGGGTGGAGAGAAAGACATGATTTTTCCCTGCGGCTTCCACCACGAGATTGAGTAAATAATATGCTCTGGCTGCATATGTGGTCTTTGGCAGCGGTGGCGTGGGGTTTGAAAGGGTGGCTTCTGATCCCATCAAAATCTCCACATTTATTTAAATGATTATTATAACCCCAGTCAAGGCCAGAACTTCCAGGAATACGGTGTGGAGCGGAGGCGGAGCGGAGTGTTACTTGTGTCGGTATGATATATCTACCTGGATATATCTCTGTTCTATAAAGTGGACTACTGCTGCTGAAGAATCATTCATAAATCAATCTCCAGTATATATATAGCCTACACTGTACTTGGTTGCGAGTTGCTCATAAGACCAGTAAATCCGTATTCTTAGAAAGGTTGGTAAATGTGTCAATTAGTAGTAGCAAAGGCTTATCATCTAAATATTAAATAGCGTACGAGCATCCAACTCCAATAGACAATTTCATTTCCACGTTCTTTTATAACAGGCCGATGTATTTCGACACCAATAAAAAGCGTATATCAACGACCCCCGTGTAATGATTAACCAGCGAGAGGTGACGAGTGGCAAACGAGCCGGAAACCAGTCCATTCACAGATCAAAAGCCCAATAGCCGAGGAATTGCACTTCATTCAAGCAAGTCGCTATGATGAAGGGTTCACGGATTTAACTACTGCCGATATCTATCTTGGTTAAAGTTTCTTCCAACGCTCAGGACAGTTCGCCCAACTGCCGCCGATAACGGCAGTCTAAATTAGTTTTCTTTCTCCTGCAGGGCAAAAAAGGCAAAACGAGATAAATCACTATTAGTACCCCTCATCCGCCACACAAAATTTGGCAATGTGGGGTTCTCTCGTCGGCACAAAATGGGCGCCATGGTGTCCAAGCCAACACCCAGGGAAACAGTCCATCCACACTGCTGGACCAATTGATGGGATCTTCTCCATCCACTCAGACGAGTGAGCGTCCTTGCTGCCGTCGACCTCTGCCGGCGCCCCTTGCGCGAGAAGCCATGCGGGTGGAGAGGCTGACTTTCCAGTTGCTTTGGCGTAGCCAAGTTCATGGCAGTTAGGAGCAATGGATGACAGCAAAATATTGAGATTGCCGATATTAGCTCCTAGCCCCACGGTTAGGGTTTTCTTTGCTTTTTCCTTCATATCTTGGGATATGGGTGTGGCTGTTATTTATCTGGACGTAACTCTCTGTTCTCGTCCTCTTGTTTTAATGCTCTTTTAGGAGACAGAAGGAGCTTGTTTTATGCTCTTGTATGCTTTTGCCTGTCCAATCTATCCGATACTTTCCGTGTATAATACCATTGAAAGTGGAAGGAAATTTTATATCTCCAAAAAGGCAAAAACAGAAAAGAAATGTTGACTGAACTAACCTGGGAAGCTGTCGGTGCCACGAAGCGGGAAGAGCTTCTCTCCTCCATCCCGCCAGAATGGATCATCCCAGCGGATATTTTCCCTCCACACTCCCAGACCGACGTCACCAGCTTTCCTCAAACGTCGGGCTGGTTTACTCCCTCTGAATTGGAGATCACAGGCTCAACAGCCTCTGAAATTCTCGCGAAGACCACGACGGGCGTTTGGAGCGCTGAAGCCGTGACTCGCGCATTCTGCAAACGTGCTGCTGCCGCCCATCAACTGGTATGCCACTCTCAGGAGAAACACCAAAAATTGGAACCTGCGTTCCCATACCTCATTATAATGTCGGAAGTCCAAAAACAGCAGCTAACACTCCCAACCAGACAAACTGCCTTTCTGAAACCCTCTTCCCAGAGGCCTTAAGAGATGCAAAGGCGCTCGACGCTCACCTGGCCGCTACCGGTAAACCGTTGGGCCCCCTTCATGGCCTCCCGATCTCTCTCAAGGATAACTTCAACATTATCGGCAAGGACTCGACACTGGGTTTCACAGGCTGGGTCAATGACCCTGCTACTTACAATAGCGTAATGACTGATCTCCTGCACGATGCGGGCGCGGTGCTGTATGTCAAGACGAACGTGCCGACGGCGATGATGATTGCCGAGACGGTGAATAATGTGTATGGGCGCACGTTGAATCCACGCAATCGACTCCTGACGTCGGGCGGATCATCGGGCGGCGAGTCAGCTTTGATTGCGTTTGGCGGTAGTCCTCTCGGCGTTGGGACGGATATTGGTATATGCATTCCCCCCTCCCCCACTGGCCCCTTGTTTGAATATAGCACAATAGAGCACATGCATGAAACTTAAACGAATAATATAATAACTGCGAGGGTAACGCCAAACTAAATGACAGGTGGCTCCCTCCGAATCCCCGCCGCCTGCACTGGAATCTTCACCTTGCGCCCCTCCTTCGGCCGTTTCCCCAACTTCTTGACAAAATCCGGCCTGGCCGGTCAAGAATCCGTCCTGAGCGTCAACGGCCCAATGGCCCCGACTCTCGACTCTATTAAGCTCTTCGCCTCCGCAGTGACAAACAGCCAGCCTTGGATCCGGGATCCTAAGTGTATACCGATTCCATGGCGGACCGTTGAGCGCAAGCAGCGCCTGAAGCTGGCCGTGTTGTGGGATGATGGTATGGTCCGACCGACGCCGCCAGTTCGCCGCGCACTGAGAGAGACGGTGCATAAATTGCGAAGGGCTGGACATGAGGTTGTCAATTGGGAGGCAACGGGACACAATGAAGGCAACGACATTTTGGTATACCCCACAACCAAACCCCTAATACCCTCCCCATCCCCTTCTCCTCACTTTGCTTTCTCACGATTGGCGCCATTGCGAATGGAAACAGTCGAATAGGTAATATTTTGTTAACCTTTTCTCCATGCTAAAAGGATCGCTTCTTCCTTTCCGACGGCGGCAAGACCGTGCAGCAAATCCTCGCGACAGCCAAAGAACCCATCCGTCCCGAAATGGACCGGTACGACCGTGCTAAGGACGGCGGCGTGCAGGCGCTGTGGAAACTGCACGTTGAACGCAATAAATTCCAGCAAGAATATATGGAACGGTGGAATGCGTGCGAAGGACTTGATGGATTGTTGAGTGAGTTGTTACACCAAAACAGCCCCCCCACCCCACCTCAAGCAGGGGACGAGGAAAAATAAACACGACCGATCAGGGAGAAAAAAGCCATCGTCTAACAACTCTGAAATGATGCGCCAGCCCCAACAACTCCGTTTGCGACCGTTGAGCACGGCCTCTTCAAGCACGTCGGCTACACGGGCGTATACAACATCCTCGATTATTCCTGCCTGTCGTTCCCGTGTGGCGTCCACGTTGATGCCGCCGTAGATGTCCCCACTGTGAATGAGACTGCGCTCAGTAAACTTGATGGCAAGGTGCAGAGCGAATGTATGTGTTGCCCCTGTTGCTCTCCATCTCTTTTCTTCGCTAGGATGCGCGTTCTTCTTCTATTCTCAACCCAAGCGACGAAACAAGCTAATGGCTACCTCAAAATGTGTGCAGACAACCCCTCCGCCGTCCACGGCCAGCCTGTCAGTCTACAGCTGGTAGGCCGCAGGCTTGATGAAGAGAAGGTGGTGATGATGGGAGAGGTTATCTTGGACGCGCTCAAGGGGACGGCTGTGAATGGCAGTGGGAGTGGGAAGTCTCAAGCATCGTCGTCTACTTTGTGATTTTATCATGATGATGTATTTTCAACTGGCTACGATTCTCATGTTTTCCTAGAGGTCACTTTCCATGCTCCGCACAGTACAGTGCGTATACAAAGTGATCAAGTTCATGGTCCGGCCGAGTTAATATGTAGGTACTGTGGCTATATATATATATACATATAACATAAAATTATATCATTTTTAATTTTATATCTCCTCGCTATCCGCCCTTCCATTTCTCTGGTTTTTACAGTAGTCTTTATCAGGCGAATTGATTTATGAATTCACATACCATGGCTTCATTAGCATTTGATGGGAGAAAATATAAATAAATAAATGACGATATGAAAAATGGAGATGAGAAAGTTATTTTTATCGCCGATACCTGAATATTATAAGAAGTTAACTCGCTGCTTAGTAAGGAGTAGTGGCAATTAACCAGCCTGAGCTCCTCTTTGCTTCAATTCTTCTTCAACAACTTTGCATTTGTGATTGCTACATCATACATCCACTCTGACAATAAAATTAACAGGTGGTGGTGGGTGATGGTGGTGGGTGATTCACTGATTCATATATTCTATTTCATTCACCACTTATCTCGAATCTAAATGTGAGAAAGAACTAAGTTGAAATACTAATAAAAGAATAACTTTTCTCCATTTTATTTTGTATATTGCTCCGAGGGACTTTGTTAGATAGGGGCGTAAGGAAATTAGGGCGCGAGGGGTGGGGTGAAATCAAATTCAATGATTTGATGCGTGATCTTCAAAAATGGATGGCATACTCACGGGGTAGAAGGGGGTAAATGGGGCTTGTGGAAGGCGGAAATAGAAAGGGTGAGTAGGAAATAGGGAAAACAAGTAAATAGAGATATGGCAATTATCCGCAACCCAAAACGTAAGCATGTTAAAGGAGAACATGAATAAAGAAAAATAAGACGGAGACGGAGAGGGAAGATGACATGGGAGTGAGAATGAGATGAGGGAGGAAGAGAAGCAGAACAATCACAATCGTACGACACCAAAAGCCTCTTCGTCAGGGTTTCCATCGGGGGCAAACTTTACTTTGTGAGTTTCAAGGAGGGGCCAGGGGGGAGGAGAGATTTTTCAATCGGCGGCTGTATAGATGTGAGCCTATCAAACAGACATGTTCACCAGCTACGCCTTTTACAGTAGAATAGGCAAGAAGCGAAAGAGTTACAACAAATAGATTGAACCGTAAGGGAAACATTGGGGAGGAAATACTGATGGAAATACGCCGGTGTAATTTAACATGCTTGGTGAAGGTAGGGGGAACCGGGAAAAATGGAAAGGGAGAAATTGAGTAAACTCGATAATGTTTAGTGTCTGATAGAGAGAAAAGACGAAATCAACCAGATAGAGATCGGGGAATACATGACGGTGAATCTTGTATAACGTGGTGGAGTGGCAAAAATTTCAGCATTGGGCCAGCGGAACAGGAAGGCTATGTTAAAGGGCGGAAGAAAATTAGAGGGCTAAATGTGAACCATCAGTCAATCTCGTCTCAGCTCCAATGTAGCTGAAAGAGAGTTGTCCAGAAAGAAAATCGTTTATCGTTTAGGAGTCGATTCTGATCGTACCATTGGTCTCAAGAACAGTTGAAGAAGTATCGACATGATACAAGACACTTTACATATCCATACTATCTACGCCGTTGGTGAAGTTGAAGGATCCGGTTGGTTGCTGGCTGGTACCTAAAGTGAAGCCTGCCTGTGTCTGTTGGGGTGCAAGTTCGTCAATATCAGCACCAGTCTCGTCTTCATCTGAGAAGTACCGTTCAATGATGTTATAAGCTTTCATGTAGATCTCCTCATTCGCGTTGTTTTGGCAGTCGTGGATCTTTTCCATGCCGCCAGCTTCTTCAATGAAGAGGGCATAGCGATTCACGCTGGGCTCACCCATCTGGGCCGCTTCTTTATCCATCTCTCCAACCTTCAAAATATTCTCCAGGCCGTCGAGGGCAACTTGAATGATCTTGTTATCTGGGCATGCAAGAAGGTCACAAAGTGGCTTAATGCATCCTTGAGACACGAGATAGCGTATTTGGTCTGGTTTCTGGAGACCTCCTGATGTGGCGTTTGAAATGGCCCAGCAGGCTTCTTTTCTGGTCTTGAAATCGCCGTTTGACAGAAGGTTGATCAGCGGAGGGATGATGTTGGCATCAATAACAGCCTGAATTTGGGTAGAGTTGCCAGCTGTAATGTTTGAAATGGTCCAGCAAGCCTCCTTTCGGATACCGTCCTTGGTGGAGCTGAGTAGAGAAAGAAGGGCGGGAAGAGCGCCACAGTTGATGATCACTTGGGTCTGAACGTCGTCACCAGTGACAATGTTGCCAACAGATCTAAGCGCTGGGGTCTGGACAGATGTGGAGGCATGCATCAGCAGTTCCACCAACCGACGAGGAATACCTGCTTCGATCACGGCCTGGATTTTGTCGTTCGATCCGTCCGAAAGATAGGAAATAGCCCAGCAAGCGTCGATCAAGACCTCGTCATCAAGCATGTATACCAATTTAGCCAGAATGGGAAGAGCGGGGAGGATCTAGAGTGTCAAGCATTAGCACCTTCATATCAGCAATTGAGGGGTTGACCACAGGAAGGCAAAGACGGTACGTACCGTTGGCCAGTCAGGTTGGGGAGTCTTTCCACGACAGAAATTGCTCAGCGTCCATGTAGCATTTCGGAGCATGCTGAGTTTGCGGCCATCGCCAATCAAGGCGAGGAGAGGACGAAGAGCTCCTGCACCAAGGACAAAATCGCGACATTGAGGACTGTCACCAGCAATGTTACCCAGCGCCCAAACAGCCTGTTCCCGCACGTCGGGTTCGTGGCTACTCAAAAGCTCAACGAAAATAGGAACAGCGCCAGCTTCGATGACGACCTGGGTTTGCTGTGCTGATCCGGAAGCGATATTTGTCAACGCCCAAGCAGCCTCAAACTGGACTAGAGTATGGGGTGAACGCAGGAATTCGACGAAACGGCCAACGACTCCGGTTTCAATAACGCGCTCGATGGGTGGATTCCGTTCTTTGGAAAGAAGTTTTCTGAACTTGGTGGTAGCTTGAATCTGCAGATCGATTTGATCGGAGAAAACACCCTTGACCATCTCTGGGAGCTCGACGTTCAGCTATAGACGAGTGATCAGTAAGGTCATTCTACTACAATATCTACCATGGGGATCTTTTTGAGAAAGCAAGCCGTTGTGCAATTGCACACTCTGGATCATAACATAGCTGTCTTTGCGCTAGAAGATCCTTGCTGTGGGCCAAAGCTGGGTAGCTAGCCACCAGAGGGACATGGAAGGAATAATAATAATACATTGACAGAGAAGAGTCGAACTATGCGCCAAGCGAAAGAGCAAGTAGAATATCATGCACATACCTCACTCTCAATGGTTCCACCCTCCTCATCACTATCTTCAGCACCGAGCGCAGAGTCTCCGCCCACACCGATACCGCCATCGCGAGTCTGGATACCTCTCCGCTTTGCGAGGTTCTCTTCGCGTTTCTGCTTCCGAATCTCAACTTGTTGCTCCTCGCGGCGACGACGGAGCTCGTCTGGCTTGAAGGAGCTCTTCGCCTTGAACTGGGTGCGACGGTGTTCTGGGATGTAACGCTCCGCCATGGTTGACAGTAGGAGGAGGGAGGGGAAACAGACAGACGAAAGACAAAGCGAGAGCGAACAGCGAAGACACTCTGGGCTTGGATAAACAGGCAAACAGCTAGAGGAGGCGTAGGTGTAACTCTCAAGCGAAAGGAGGAAAGGGGAAATATGTGGGATATGAAGATTTGATGCCTAGGATAGATTGGGGACTGTTTGGGTGGGAGAGTAAAGGGAAGATTGTGCTGAAGAGGGGCTTTTCTGCTTTGGGGCGGTGGTTGCCAGAGGGAATGACTAAGCAAAAACATCACCTCTTGGACCTTGCGCAACATCCGTGTATGTATATCTGCAAGGGATATCGATTTACGTCTGCCCGCCTGTTTACATATGCTAGTTTGATATAAAGTGAGCAGGAACAGGAGTCTGTTTGCGTTATATCTGGAGTCAGGAGACCATAACCTTCCCGTTGTGACTGATGGGACGCGACTTGAGAAACTTCTCCAAACCATGAGTGACTTTCGCACATTTTGCGCGTCTAGTCAAAATGAGAATTGAATTGATCGAGTACCAAGGCCATTCTTAGAGATAGCTTCCGTTTGCTGCCTGCAAGCACTCCGATCGTGGTATTAATCTGCTCCGCAACACCTCGTTGCTGATGCTGGAACACCAACCTGCGTATTGACAATACAGCACAGGTTCCCCCCTACCTTTGGGAAAGATATATCATCCTATGGTTGCTTCATTGCCTATCCTAATACCGTTCGCTGGATGCCCAAAGTTTTCTTCTACCGTTCGACAGTGTTATTTCCCTTGCTTTTCTTTGTTGAGTTGTCTACTTCATAATGTCTTCGTCCCTTCCCCGAGGATTTGATGATATCCAAACGGTGAAGTCTAAACCCGGCAGGGTGGTGAACGTTATTGCAGTGGTAGTAGACGCGCTTCCACCGAAGTTGTCCAGAGGAGATTCATATACGTCTACCTTCACACTTAAAGATCATGACTTCAGCGGTGAGACATGGAAAGGCCTCAAAATCCGCTACTTTCAACGTTGCGAGTCAAATCTACCAGCTCCTCAACAGGGGGATGTAGTTCTCTTACGACAAATCAAGGTCCGTTTGTTTCTTCGGATTTGAATTATGAGTCATTATGGTCGCTGATAACCTCGACAGCTACGGCCATACCAAGGGGCCGTGATTGGCCTCTGCACCCAGCTGGATTTTTCTCCTTGGATCATTTTCAGACAGGGCTCCAATCCCAAGGCTTCGCCGCAAGTAATTATGTGCCCCGGCACTCGAGAGTTGATGGCGACTGAGAAATCATACGCTCTCTCTCTGATCGGCGCAGCGAGCACCACAGCTACCAACAACCAGCCCGTTCAAGTCCGGCAAACCGTAGCTCCGGCACCACCCAACCCAGTAATCACAAAGCCATCTATCCAACGCGGCAGGCCAAAATTCTCCTTAATAAGAGACTTATCCTGTGGTATATTTGTCGACCTCGTCGTTCAGGTGGTGAAAACTTACGCTGAAGATTATCAAAGATTTCTCCTCTATGTCACCGACTATACCCAAAACAAGCAACTTTTTAATTACACCGCAGAAGAAGGCGGCCCCCGCGATGGCGACGAGTACGGCTACACGTCACGCTCCAGTAGAACTTGGCCTGGCCCTTACGGGCAGATGACCTTGCAAGTTACTCTCTGGGAACCACATTCGTATTACGCAAGACAAAACGTCAAAGAAAATGATTTCGTTTTGCTCCAAAATGTCAATATCAAGATGGGGAGAGTGAGTGGCGCAATGGAGGGCAGCCTTCATACAGATCGCCGCTTTCCCGAGAAAGTCCAAGTGATACCAATCAATGACAATGATTCCGACGAGGATGTTAAGAAGTTAGTGAAGCGAAAGATCGACTACTGGAAAAGAGTAAAAACAGAGAATCCCGGTTTTCGTGGCAATGGCATAAACAAGCGGAAAGCGACCGATAATGATGAACAGCAACGGTGTCTATCCAAGGCCAAGAAGCGACAAGCAGAGCAAAATCGAAAGCAGGAAGAGAAAATAAAGCGTGATGAAGATCAATCAGAAATAGAAACATCGTTTCAGGAGAAGCGGGATCAACTAAACGCTTACAGTACGTGCCGACAGCGCATCGTCCACTTGATCCGTACCTCGAGCGGTGAAAAAAAGAAAAAAATTCAATAATAATAATAAACGCTGACATTCAATTTTGCAGTCCGCGCAAACGACCCCTCAGTACCATGTCGCTCAATATCTGATATTCTATCTAATGAATCCCACATGAATATCTCCCCTGATGGCATCAAATACCGTCTTCCCTTCCAAAATCTCCGCTACAAAGCTTCTGTCCGCGTTGTAGATTTCTTCCCTCCCAATATAGAAGATTTTTCCGTACAGTACGATGTGGAACGTGCCATGCTGTCAAACACCTCAGACACCGAAGGTAGCACATCTAGCATTGGCGATAACGAAACTGACAGTGGTAAAAGATGGGAATGGAGATTTTGTCTCCTGGTCGAAGATGCGGGGCCAGGTACTCATTACAACCGCAGCGGGCCACGGGAACGCATGAAACTCTATGTGGGGAATAACGATGCTGTATTCTTGCTCTGTCTCGATGCTGTGAAGTATGACATTCCCACTTGTTTTCGTCTCACGTAAATTACGCCAAAACAGAAATGCTCACCAGAATATCTACAATAAATTTCAAAATAGTCTCCGTCAGAACCCTGCCGTTCTTTCCGACCTCCGTGAAAAGTTGTTCATTCTCTGGGGTGACCTAGAAGAGCGCAAGAGGGCCATTAACACCGCAGCTTGCAACAACGCCGGAAGCAACGATGACCCCAATCCTGATCTCAATAAGCAAATTATCCCCGCGTCAACGAAGCCATTTATCTGCTGCATTAAAGAGTTTGGAGTTAAGAGCTCGCTCCGTTCGGACGAGGGGTCCTCAGCTAATGACGAGTGCCGATTTGGTTGGGAAAGACGGTTCTGTATGTTCGGAACCACAATTGTCTAGGAGATAGATGGATCTATAGCTATATAGGATGATGCTTTCTTTTTCTCTTTTTGCTTTGCGCCTATAGATTTCTAAAACAAATAGCCCGCTAATGGTGCTGGCGTTTCTGGGTTGAAATATATATATATTTCTGTCTGTGTCTGTGTTGCATGAGAAGATGAAATAGGGGCATCTGACTCATATTATGTTTCTATAGATCTAATGAAAAAATGAGCAAAGCCTTCATGTATGATGTACTGCTCCCCATAACTACAACCTTCGTCACCTTCCTCCCATCCCGAAGTACAGTAGAGCTATCGTAGGTATAAGTAAATGCGATTATGATAAATTGTAGGTAAAACAAGGCAAAGGTGAGTACAACTATGTTTTCAACTCACCTCCATGCCTGTAGATTAATATTATGTTTATAAAATGCAAGGGAACAAAGGAAAATGAGACTCCATTGATCCATGCATCCACCGACTGCATGCATGTCCAACCCCCCTTGAAGATAAAACACAAAGAAAGTGCGATGATGGCAGACCGTTTGATTCTGAAACTGAGACAGCAAACGCGGGAAATATAGAAGGGTGAAGGGAGATAAATGAGAGATTTGAAGGCAGTGTTCGGGAGTGATGCTCAAGACTAGGACACAATAATAATAACAAAAAATGAGCGGCTTCACACAATTCTGTGTTGGCTGAATTGAATGAACAGAGCCGGCGGGAAATGACAAAAAGTAGCCGAAAGGAGAATAGCCTTCGTTTTGACTTGCGAAGAATAGTACCGGCGGGTTTGTGTGTGCGAAGTCGGAAGGGAAAGCCGTGCTGTCCACATAGTTGGTTGGTCGAGGGCTGAAATGTAGCACATGGATTGTCCATAACTACTCGGCCCAGCGCCAGCGAACATTCTAGGCAAGGCAAAATCTTACTTCCTTTTCACTTCATGAAAATAATTAAAATCCTAAATGACAAGAAAAACCAAAGGTCACATTATACCTTTGTAACCTTCACAATTGTTGTATCGATTCCATGAGCGGCTGTGTCGAATCGACAATTGGAGCCCCAGAAACAGTCCTTCTTGCCAATCTCACTCTGTGGACAGCGATGGCCATATATACAGCCGGGATCATCGCAATCAGTTCCGAACCGGCACGGCGTCATCCGCGCAACTGCATGTAAGACGGTGCGCTCATTCTTCGTCAATTTATGATCATGAGTATGATAGCAACTTAAATTGGGGCAGTCGCCTAGTAAATAATACAGGTTGCATAGTTTCAGCTTTTTCACGCGGTTTAATTCGTCCTTGGGGATGGTTTTGAAATCTAGTCGGTCGACGCGTTCGCCGTATTTATTGCGCTCCACCTTAGTTGGAGCAGGGCTACTTGGTTTCGAGGTCGTTAAATCGGTAAATGGACCATGGGCTCCTGCTGCTGTTGTGGCAGCCCATGTTGGCGGTGTGTTGGTTCCATTCGATGGGATAGTTGAGTTTGACGGGATGCGAGCAAGGTGGTTGTTGTTGTTGCCAGGGGTATTCGCAGATAGCACGGAAAGCGGTGTAGACGAGGGTATCGACATGGGGTTATTATTCGTCCCATTCCGGTCATTCCATGAAAGTGAATTCGTGTTTATTTTTGAGGTTCGGAAAAGTTCTTCAAATTTAGTTACTCTGTAAGAAGCCTTGATGGGTACAAGTTCTCGTTCGAATGGGACGCCTTCGATTAAAGATATTCGTCCAACAAGGTCGCGATCCGCTAATGTATCTTCAAGAAGTCTAGCGTACCCATTATCGTGAGAGCAACCGAGAAATATTTGGTGACAGTGACAATTGTATAAATGGAGCTTAAACACCTCTTTAAATGTTAATCGAAAATTAGTACATATTTCCATATGAGTCATCAGAGTAGAGAGATGGATTAGGAGGACGACGTACCAGCGATCTTATCATCAGCTCTATCTTTACCACTCCCCACATCCACAAAATCAAACAATAGTCTGCTTCCATTGAATCCACGGGCAAATTCCTCAATTAGGCCGGGACGTTCAATTAGGCCAGCTTTATAGCATGCATCAGCCAATCCTTTGACGTTTGCATAAACTCGAGCTATAATTTTTGGCGATGGTATGTTCGGAAGATTTCGAGACGCATAGTCACGGATAGCAGCCCAGAGCTGATTTGCACCATCTTTGCCGCCCTGCTCACCCTGTTGGAGAAAAGAGTCTTGGAATACCATCCCATCACCATCGAGAAGAACGAGAAGAAATGGTTCTTGTTCCTACCGCAACCAACAAAGAGCTGATCGTTAATGCTGCCCGGATGAAATATTATATATAGGATGACAAAACCTCACCATAACAGATTCCATAGCAGTTATCTGGTTCATAAGCTCTATCTCATGCATTTGCACTTCACGATTAAAACGGGATTCACGTTCATGGTCCAATCGGGTTTGTTGGTATGCATTTTCGAGCTCGGCAACCCGTCGTAAAAGATCCTATTTAACTAACATGAGAAGACAGCCAGATGAAAAAAAAGGGGGCAGCAATTAGCACCTCAATTAACTCATTCCTTGACTGCTCAACCGCTTTAACTTGCTCATAACGCTGGAAAAACTCCTGGGCGGTAGAGCTAGCCATCTCGTTCAAGCTGAGCTGTGGAGCGCGTAGAAAATAGATTATCTACCTTTCTGTCACCAACAAGAAGAGGTGAGAAAAGTGACAAAATATCGGACTAGATGGCGAGGTTATAAAGAGAATCAGTAATAAAATAATAATAGAAAGTCAGTTCCCAATTAAATACGCACAGCATGGTCAGTTTTCTTTCAGGCTGATTGCTTCTCCGCTTTGATCGGAGCGCAGAGCCCATCGGCGGCTAATTTTCATGCGTCTATCGCGTTAGGAACAGGATGTTCTGCTGACTCAACTACCGCGCTTGGACGTTGTAGTGATATACGTGGAAAATAAGCTCTAATCTCCCTGGGAACGTTCCGCTCTCCCAACCTTCTTTCGCCGCTTCTTCGCTCCTTTTTCTTCTCCGCTCCTCTTCCAAATCTCCTCCATATACTCTAATAAGCTCATCAGCGCAAACATGGGGAAATATGGGCTGCTGTCAGTTGCGCTGCTTTCGCTGCAAGCCCTCCTTGTTCGAGGGGATTCGGTGAGTTTATTTTTTTTTTGGTGAAAGTCTCCCTTCGCAGCACAACTACTAATACAATATTGTATTGAAATGATTCGCTTAGCCTGTGCTAGGAGATATCAAAGCCCCTGAATTGGATGTTGCCGTCTCGGCTTCCTTCCCAAATTCCGAGGTCTTTGGAGTAAAGCTCGTGAACGGCAACCCAACTAACGCTCTTCTCTCCATCTCCAACAATGAACCTGATCCAGTGACCCTGAACTTGATTGGAGGTAGCTTATGGACGATTCATCCTTCGGGAGAGGTGGGCCAGAATGTCCGCAACCTCACTTCTTCCCGCTACAACATTGCGATCCCTCCCGGAGGACAACACTCAATGGAATATCCGCTTGTAACTGAAATGCACCCCCAGGATTTGAGACTGCATTTAGCTGCAGTTATCTCCAACTCCAAGGGCATGGCATTTACTGTCCGCGCCTATAATGGCACCGTCAGCATCGTAGAAGCTGAAACGAGCATTTTTGACCCTAAAGTGTTAGTAATATGCAGCCTGCCAACTCTGCTTAAGATCAAGTGCTCACATGACCTACCATTTTTCTAGTCTCTTCCTCTATTTCTTCCTCCTATCTGCATTCGTCGGTACAGTCTACTTCTTCTATACCATCTGGATTGCTCCATACTTCCCTCAGAAACGCAAGGGCGCAGACAGACCGAAAAAATCCTTCGGACGAACCAAGAGCGAGCCATCTGAGCAGGCTTCCGTTTCTGGGACCGATTCAACAGGCGTGACTTCTGGAAAAACTTATGATACTGAATGGATCCCTGCCCACCACATCCACCGACCTGAGCCTCGAAAAGTGAAGAGCGGAGGCCGGGCTAAGCCCAAAGCTTAGTACGAACCTCTGATCAGGCATACTACTTTGGATGATGTTGTATACCACCAAACATTTTACTTGGCGGTTTTCATTTCCTTTCTGGAGTTCGGTTGAGGAATGGATGTGCGGTTTGGAACCAACCACACAAGCCGAGAAAAATAATGCACGCTCAGGGCGATGATGCGTTGATCCAAGGGAAATTGATAACTCTCCGAGATGCGACTTCGTACCAGTCCATTTAGTTTTGGTATCATTGTTTCCTTTCTTCCCATTTTAAAATTTGTATTACATATCAAATAATAGTCTCTATATGGGCTCTAAAAAAATAAACTAATAGGTCGTATTTGCTCAATATTCGCATGACATCTTGAAAATCCAATGTTTACCACATGTGTTAGGATCCGCAATTCCAATAGGCAATGTCAATGATGGGCCACCGTTTAAAGTCGACATATGGTATCCACAACCTATCCCGTATGGCATTTGGAAAATAAATGGTAAATAGCTTCGTTCGGTACCCCGTCTATTTGAACATGGGGATCATATTAAAATCCACCATGTATGCATACTACTCATCAAAGTGTCCTCCAAGCTAGAAACTCCTCCTCCAAATGTGCCTTCAATCGCTGAAATTTGTTCCCGAACATCTTCCCGCATCTCCAGCACTCAAGATCCCGCTTCAGGTATCCTTCTCTCCCTGGATGTCTCCGTGCATCATCCTTTGCCAACGGAAAATCCTCAACATCGATGAAAAACGGCGTTGAAAAACTATTATAATGTTTCCGATGCCTGAGGCACGGGCTAAACCTGTCTACAGAAAGGACGTGTATATGCAAGTGAGCCATAGAAGGGTGTGCATGGATGCCGCACATTATTTCCTTCTCCCAGTCGCGACCGGCCGGCAACTCGTCGGGCGGCGGATCCGCATCCATAGCTTTCTGGCGCGCGATTTCCTGTGTGGAGGTGGAGCTGTGCATTCTCCGTAATTCCGCAGCTGCCAGGCGCTTTAACCTCTTCGTCTCCTTTTGAACCTTTCGAAGGAATTCTGGGTCATCGAAAGCGTCGAAAGGGTGCAGGCGTGCCTTTGTTGGTTCGCGGGGGAGGAGAAGGAGGTGGAGAGAGGATTTTGGGTAGCGGTCGCGCACAGCGACGAATTCGTCATTATAGTACAGGACGATGGATGGGGAATAGGACGAAGGATTTACGATGTAGGGACCTAGATCATCGCGGTTTTTGAAGTTGATTGAGAGCTTGTGTGAGGAGGATATTGGTTCTAGTGGCAGCTGGGGTTTGGGGGCCATAAGTTCGGTAACTGTGAATCCGGAGTGGGATATTAGTTATAGATGGCTGGCATGCTCAAAGAGAATGGGATAATACAAGCATTCCGGCTCTGCATCTGCTCCTTACGATGAGGCGCGGGTGCTTCTGGTGCAGACCCCGGTACAACATCCCCGAGGCTGGAGCTGCGCGAAGAGTTCCTACTCATGGCCGAGGCAGTCGAAAGTGTTAATAACCAATTTTGAATATTTGTAACAGCGTAATAAGCTCTTCATGCCAAATGCACGATGTACATACAATATATCATGTATATCCGCTCTCGAGCTCCAACACAGCCAGTGATGATAAGATAATATCTGCTTATTAAGCCCCTCAGCGTCATAGTTAGTTAACTAAGTAGCGCACCTCCAGTTGAGACTTCGATGAAATGTTAAACGACGCCATTGCCTAACAACGGCGAATGGGCACTTATCGGTGATCTTTCGTGATCTACTATGGGCCCGAAGAAGGGGCCCGCCGCTCGTGCTGGATCTAAAAACAAGCCCAAACCTCCTCCAGCAGAAATCTCTATTAGCGATTTCGTGGCTGCAGGTGAGCCCAAAGGGAAATCTAAGGCTGCGGACAGAAATAGAACCGGCCATAAAGATGGAAAAGACGAGCCGTCCGAAGAGCCGAAGAAGCCAACAGCGCGGGTGGTGATAGGAGGTGCCTCATGGACTGGAAAGCTGCCTGTGAATATGCTCTCAGAGCACTGTCAGAAACAGAAATGGGAGAAGCCAGAATACACAATGGTAAAGGACCCCATGTATTAGTGCTAGGGGAGCTTTCTCATGCTGACCGATATATTCCAGACAAAAGCCAAAGAAGGCTTCGTCTCAAGCGTGATTCTCAAAAAATCCAATCCTAAAACGAAGGAGACCATCACTCTACCTCCCATGCGCCTCCCTCCCGCTCAGCAGCATCTGGCTGCCTGCCCCACCGCAATGGAAGCTCGCCATTTTGCTGCAGCATATGCCCTCTTTCGTGTATGCAGCATGCGTAACTTGCACATGATGATGCCGCCTACCTACCGTAATCTGTGGAAAGATGAATTTACGCAATTTAAGAATGCTGATGTGAAAGAAGGGAAAAGTTGGCTGTATGAAGCGGACCCCTTTAGCGCTATGCAGGAGCGGGAACACGCGGCGGCAGAGCTTGCTAAGAAGAGGGCTGAGCGGGAGAAGGAGAGAGTTAAAGCTCTGGATCCAAAGTTCCAGCAGCCAGGGCTGAATATGAACGCGGGGAACGCAGGGGATAACGGTGGCAAACGTTGGTCTCAGGCTCCTAAGGTGGAGATGGGGAGTAAAGTACGACGTACGATTGAAGAGCTGGTAAGACAAAAGGCTATTTGGAATCCGTACAAGGTCCGAATATCGGAGTCCCAAAAGAGGCAAATTGTCGAAGAGTTGAGTGATCTAGGCTTCAGAAGGAGTCACGTTGAAGAAGCCGTATCTGAATGCAAGGACCGTGAAGAGGTTTTGGAGTGGCTGTTGATACATATTCCAGAGGATGATCTCCCTGCGTGGAGTCTTCCTGAAGGGTATACCGCCGGAATTAGTTTAGCTAGTGGAGATCTATCCAGGGAATCCAAGGTCAAACGACTTTCAATGTCTGGTTTTTCAACAGATTTCTGCGCTGAGGTGCTTGACAAGATGGGTGGTAATGAGCACATAGCAGCCGAACAGCTACAACATATGCTCCTCCATGGCAGCAATGTATTGGAGTCCGACTCTCCTACAGAGGAAACTGGAGCTTGGGAGGAAGAGCAATTTACCTTGGAAGCGATATATGGCGAGAGATATATACGATTGTCGCCGATTGCATGTGAAATAATGTCGGAAAACCAAAATCTGCCACGCAGAACGACGTTTTATTTCCAAAAACAGTCAACCGCTCCTTATCCCAACTGCGCACCGGTCCTGACCATTGCATCAAAGGAAATTCCAGCATACGTACGCCTTAGTGCTATCCGGCAAGCCATACAACATGCTAACAAGGACCTGCTCGGGGAGCCGATGATATTTAATGTGGTGGAATGGCTTGAAGAAAATCTGCCTAGAATTTTAGAAAATCCAGGAAAGCTTCGGACCTTTTCTGTTGAGTCTCTATTTCATGTTAGGGACGAATCGACCATCCAAAGTTGCGCTAAATCTACTCGAAAATCACCAAAGCCTCAGAGTCTAATCGCCGGCACACCACAAAGCCGTGAGATTCGAAAAAAATGGGAGTCAAAACAAACTCTCCCTGCTCAACAGAAAATGCTCAGGGCGAGGCGATCACTTCCAGCGTGGGATATGCAGAAAGCAATTAACCAAGCTGTCCATTCTCATCAAGTCACTATCATATCAGGTGAGACGGGAAGTGGAAAAAGCACTCAGTCCGTTCAGTTCATTCTTGATGATATGATAAAACGAGATTTAGGTTCAGCTGTGAACATCGTCTGTACGCAGCCCAGGCGGATTTCTGCCCTGGGGCTTGCTGATCGTGTCAGCGATGAGCGCTGTTCTTCTGTTGGTGATGAAGTGGGCTATATTGTAAGGGGTGACTCGAAAGTGAAATATGGAACCACAAAAATCACGTTCATGACCACTGGTGTGCTGCTACGCCGCATGCAAACTAGTGGCCAGGATGTTGTCAGTTCTTTTGCGGATATCAGCCATGTAGTGGTTGATGAAGTTCATGAACGGAGCCTTGATACGGATTTCCTTTTGGCACTGTTGAGGGACGTCCTCCGGCATCGCAAAGATCTAAAACTCATTTTAATGAGTGCTACGTTGGATGCAGACATATTTACGCAGTACTTTGGAGGCGACGCTAAAGTCGGGCGGGTCAACATTTCTGGGAGAACATTCCCTGTTGAAGATCTCTATCTCGATGATGTCGTGAGGCGGACGGGGTTCAATCCTGGAAATGCATCGTTGACACTGGATGAATATACCGGTTCCAATGACGACGACTCAGCGGGCACTTCTATCGGCTCCACACTTCAAAAACTAGGAATGGGCATTAACTACGATTTGATCGCATCCACAGTCCGTTATATTGATTCGCAACTCAAGGACAAACCAGGCGGCATCCTGATCTTTCTACCGGGCACCATGGAGATAGACCGATGCTTAGCTGCTCTAAACCATCTTCCATTTGTCCACCCATTGCCGTTACATGCATCACTTTTACCAAGTGAGCAGCGACAAGTCTTCTTGCCCGCTCCGCTTGGGAAGAGAAAAGTAATCGCCGCCACTAATGTCGCAGAAACGTCCATCACAATCGAAGATGTAGTTGCTGTCATCGACACGGGCCGGGTCAAGGAAACGCGTTATGCCGCTACTGACAACATTGTCCATTTGGAAGAGGTCTGGGCATCGCAGGCTGCTTGTAAACAGCGTCGAGGAAGAGCAGGGCGAGTGAGTAGTGGAACTTGCTACAAGATGTATACACGGAACACAGAGGCGAATATGGCTCCTAGGCCAGAACCAGAGATCCGGCGTGTGCCTCTGGAGCAATTGTGTCTTTCAGTCAAAGCCATGAACGGAATCCAAGATGTGGCAGCCTTCCTTGCAAACACCCTTACACCTCCTGAGAATGTAGCGATAGAAGGCGCGCTAGAACTTCTCCACCGCATTGGTGCACTTGATAATCAGCAACTCACAGCTCTGGGTCGGTATATTTCGATTATTCCGACCGATCTTCGTCTAGCGAAACTAATGGTATACGGCACCATATTCGGGTGTCTCGAGTCTTGCCTAACAATTGCAGCAATTCTTACAGTAAAAAGCCCTTTTGTGTCACCTCGAGACAAAAGGGAGGAGGCAAAGCAAGCTCGGGCATCATTTTCAACAGGAGATGGAGACTTACTGATAGACCTCGCAGCGTACCAGCAGTGGTCCGAAAGAGTCAAACAGCAAAGTCACTGGGAAACACAATCATGGTGCAACCACAATTTTCTCGTGCCCAAAACCCTTCGCGAAATCTCTTCGAATAGATCCCAACTACTATCTTCGCTCAAAGATATTGGCATAGTCCCTGTAAATTATAGACCCACAAACGACACTGCTAACAGCGCGACGCCAAACCGCTGCAATAGCCAAAACTCCAACACACAACTCCTTCGCGCCTTGATAGCTGGCGCCTTCAATCCCCAAATCGCCAGGATCAGCTTCCCAGACAAGAAATTCGCCGCATCGATGTCCGGGACCATAGAGCTGGACCCTGACGCCCGCACAATCAAATACTTCAACCAGGAAAACGGCCGGGTGTTCGTGCATCCTAGCTCCAGTCTCTTCGACGCACAGAGTTTTTCCGGCTCGGCCACGTATGTGAGCTACTTCACGAAAATGGCAACTAGCAAGGTGTTCATCCGCGATTTAACCCGTGAGTCAACGATGTGCTTCTCTTTTTCCATGAACATTCGCACTAGGGTATCATTATTGGCCGCAAAAAGCTAACGGTAATGTTAAAACACCAGCGTTCAATGCATACAGCCTCCTTCTGTTTTCGGGGCCCATAACCTTGGATACTCTGGGGAGGGGCGTGCTTGTAGACGGCTGGCAGCGTTTGCGCGGATGGGCGCGGATCGGTGTGTTGGCCTCGCGCCTACGCATGTTACTTGATGAAGCTCTAGCGCAAAAGATGGATAATCCAGGCCTTGAGGACACGTTTGGAGAAAAGGTGATCGATGTTGTCAGGCATCTGGTTGTTTTTAATGGACAGGACCAATAAGTAAATTGGTGAATAGACAGGTTCTTATATCATGATCAAGGATCAGTTTGCTGGGCGCTTGGTTCCGTTTGGAAAACATCGTTGGATACCTGAACAACTTCCCTTTTTGCTCGGGCTTTCTTTGACACATCGACTCCGGATATCCACCTTGCAGGGAATAACTACGTAAAGTGGTTTAAAAAGACCACTTGTATATATGACATAGACTAAAAAGCACAGTTGGGGACCCTAGCCATGATCGTCCTTTCGAAATGGAAAGGGGAAATAGAAACTAGAACCATAAACATAGACCAAGCTGATAATTACAGACTACCAAATGTAGCGTAAAAATTTCTATCAGGCTCTCCCCATCCCACCTGCGTCTTTTTAACAGCATAACAGGAGCAGAAGGAAAAGGACAACAGAAAAAAAAAAAAAAAAAAAAAATTCACTTGAAACAACTGGGCAGAAAAGTGGATAAAACTAAGCTTATAATCCATCGAAACGAGGAAATAACCACTCACAAAATAATAGAATAAAGCACAATAAAAGCTAAACCATAAGAGATAGAAAGAAACCCAGCAAGCTAAATAAAAGGAAAAGGCAGACCAGTAAACTTGGAAAAGAGCAGAATCCGACAACACCATTCGCGTGCCTGGCCATCCCACCCGAGCAAAAAAAAAAAAAAAAAAAAAAAAAAAAAAAAAAAAGCCCCAAAACCAAACAAGAACATGAATCACCCATTTCCCCTCCCAACCCCAGACCACCCCATTAGATACTGAAGAAGAGAAAAGAAAAGGCGAGAGAGATATAGGATAGAAGACGGTCCAAATAAAGATCCTCCCATGCCATGTAGGCGCATAGAGGAAGTAGAGAGCACATGTTTAAAGGTTTAAAAAAACGGCAACAGCTGGGAGTACCATCTCCGCATATGCCCTTCGACTGAAAACAGGCAATTGAGAAAAAACGAAGAGACGAAATGGAAAAACAGGGCCGAGGATCTAGCACACTTGGGCATGGGAAACTCAAACGAACGAATGTATAAACCGGTGTGTCGTGCCAATGTGCCCAAAAAGGAATAGGAAAACAAAACATGCGGATGCGAATGCTTATTCTGGCGAGTCGGAAAGTCAAGGGGTAAGACCAGTGACAAGGTATCGAAGATATTAAGGGAGAAATGATGGATAAAAATGGTTCGTCCGAAAATTGTCGTAGGCGGAACAAGAACAAAAATAAGAACAGCCGCATGCTTGCTTTGGAATACCCACAGAAAATAAAATCTATACAACGCCACTATGAGAATTAAAAATTAAACGCCTTGGCACATGGTTGATACAGTCAACCCGAATGGGTGGCCTGTATACGCCACGATGCGCCGGTCGGGATATAATTGAAAGTAACATCGGAGATGTCGTGGGTTGCTGGAATAGCTAAAAATAAAGGAGCGTAGGATATACAAGAGATACGCGCTTGCAATCGGTGAAACGGGAGAATGCGGCAAATTATAAAAGATGCGTGATGCAGTTCGGCGAATGAGAAGTTAGAAAACGATGGCGAACCAAGGAAAGAAGTGGGTATCTAATCATTAAATGTATAAACGAGTGTTTTGTCGAAGTAAAACCGAGGAGACATTCTGTTGCCGGTAGCCTGCAACAGTGGGGAAATCCGAACAAGGTATAAAGAAACAATATGCAATTGTAAACACAAAGGAGCGGTTGTCAAAGCAAATCCCAGTGGATTACTGACGGCGCCAGATGGATGGGTCCTCGAAGAGGTTTATTAGATGAGCAGCGGAGCTCTCGCGGGTTGCTTCTGGGAGCTTGAATTTCTTCATCATCTCGGCCTTGACGAAAGTAGATGCCCGCTTGAATCGTCTGTCCGAATACTTTTCGTAGACAGCTGAGTGATGCTTCTCCGGGTTCTCGCAGCACTCAAGAATGAGCGAAACGAGTGGATACAACTGGGAGTATGTATAATTTGAATAATACACATGCGCAGGCGTCTGGAGGCTAGTTAGATACAGAGCGAATTAAAAGTTTATTTTAAAGGTGACTTACCCAAGTTCCCTTCCTCAGCATTAATCTCGCGAGGCAATGAGCACCAGCAGCCGTGAAGCTAGGAGGGGTACCAACAAAGCGCTCATCCATGATGGTAATCTCTAGGAAATACTTGGCAAGAGTCCGCGTCTCCAAGTCGTAGTCGTCGGCCTTACTAATCCGTCGGAGGAAACTCATGGGACCCGGCCAACCGAGCTCGAATTGTAGCATGCTTAGCATAAAACGCTCTGCCTTCAAAATTTCATCGGCGGTATATCCGTTGTCTACCATGTAGATAATCTCTTGGAGAGATGGGCAGTTGATTTCCTCGTACTTAGCTGCAATGAAAATTGCAGTAGCCCCAACAAGCTGTAACTTGCCAAGAGAAACAATTTTGCATGACAAAAATCGGTCAATGTAGTTGACGCATAGGAAAAGGGTTTCTGGGAGCAAAGAGAATCGATGATGGACCTGGACAAGCCAGTCCATAAGAACAGATCGCATCGACCATTGAATCTCTGCTTGATTATCCATATAATGGGCATTGGGCAAGAGTCTCATCTGTGATATTGTTAGTTGCGATGAGCGCCGTTCGTGAGCGAGTGAGAAAATATTTTACCTCAAGCTGCCTCATATACTGGAATATCTCATCACTATACTCCGCAACCATGCTAGTATCCCAAGCTTCATCCTCAATATCCTCCGGGGTGCGCGTTGCTTCAACAATTTGTTTCGCAATTCCCAACTCTCGCTGTACCTTCTGTGTAACCTTTGGCAGAAGAACTGTGGCACCTCCAGTGGTATTATCACGGGATCGATGTGAGCGAGCGGTAACGTATTCTTCCTCCTCGTAGTTATCATCATCATCCTCGTCCCAATATTCTTCTGGTTCCGAAGGCAGATGTACACGGTCGTGCTTAACACGAGTAGTGCCTGAGTTTTCAGAAGGGATACCAACGTGATCAGCAACAGGCTTCGTAGATACAGCTTCGGCGTTACTAGTGATATCTAGTTTTGCTTTGGAACTAGCCACGGGCTTTTCATGCATCCTGTCCCCTGTTTCATGAGGCGAATAAAGCTTGATCTCTCCGGTCTTTTCGATATATACTCCATCTGACCTTAAGGCCGCAGGTTCATCTGAGCTGATCGACACAGACGAATGTTGCAAGCCCTTTTTCATCCGATCGTTCCCTTGAGCTACATTAACTGGCTTAGCATTCACAACTGCCTTGCTACTCCCCTCCGTCGCTGACCGCTCTGCCACATACTCGACAGGGCCCTTGTTATTCACCGGAGGAGCAAGGGGCTGGTTGCTCTGAGAATTAATTGGTTCAGATTCTATCACAGAGGACAGTGTAGTATCTTTGAAAACGGTATTGCGTTTGGTGGTGGTGGTGGTGGTGGTGGCTCTTCGAGGGTTAGCAGGCAGCTTCTCTAGTGCATTGGCATTGATCACGTTGGGTAGGGCAGGTTTAGCACCAGCAACTGATAGGGGCCGCTGAGCAGGTCGACACAGGGATGTTGGCTTTTCAGTGACTACTGATAATCCTTTTGGAGCTACGGACGCATCATCCCTGAGTGGTCGCGTAGCACATGCCGTGTTGCTAAGATCCCCAAAAGCTGTACGCTTAAGGGAGTTCTTCACCCTCCCAGGCCCAGCCAGTGTTGACAATGCCGGCGTCGATTTATTGCGATGGTGGAGTGTCTTCCCGGCAGGGTTGATAGGGGGTAGCAAGTTCTCATCTCCCGGGACACGAAGGGGACGAAAAGGTCGCTGAGGCTAAATACAAATATTGTAGTTAGTAAATATATTCATTTGGGCAAATATTGGGCCCAAATAATGTGGGTGGAATCGAGATATCAACGCGGTTTGGCCGGATAGCCACGGGTTAAAGGCAAAAAGGGGTAAACAGGAGTAAACTTTAGAAGAGAGGAGGATCGAATGCTGACCTTTGCATCCATATTGATACTTGACGCCGATACTAGCAAGAAAAAAAAAAGTGTTCCTTAATAGAAAACAATGTTGACGTTCACCTAAGATATCCGGAGATCTCGAGGGTTAATTCTAGGGCTCTCCAGGAATCCGTCTGTTAGACGTCTCAAACACAGGACCAATTGATGCGTATCCGGACCGGCACGTCCAAGGAAAGGTGAGTCAATGAAGTTCTGCCATTAGGAAGTGAGAGGAAAGGTGGTTGATGGTAAACGGACGGCCGGTGCTGGAGGAAAGAGGGGAATCCTGTTGCTGCAGCAGTTGTTGTCGTTGCTTGGATGTTTAGAATTTGTTGATGCCAGGAGCGATAAACAAAACTAGTCCTGTTGCGGGCTAGCGGCGGGTAGTTTGGCTGACAAGCCAAGCGAGGCTGATTACGTCATGGACGACCGATGCAGAACACGTCTTCCGGCGCTTATGGAAAAATGTTTCCCTGAATATATGGACCTAGTTTCCCAATATTTTTAAGTATAAACAAATTTTTTGCATAGGAAATATTCATGCGACCTCAACTGAAAACGCCCTCATTTGCGCGATCAATTTTGGCGGCGTAATTCCAATATTTGTGAAGTTTGCATCCCTCGCGTGTTGCAGCACACGCCGAAACGCCAAACCACGTGAGTGCCATGTCGCAAACTGTCACCAAGCAGGAAAAGGTGCGAGAGGGGAATTCAGCACTCAATCCACATATGATCCTTCTTTTTCCTCCCATGCTATGGCAAATACCGTTGGAAGGCGAGAAAAAACAATATGATAATGAAAGAATGCTGACCCCTCAGCAGGATCCCTCAGCCATTTTTCCGCAGATCAATTCGCTGCCGAAGCACCATCCAATCCTGTTCGAGCAGCACATTCATAAATAATTGCATCCTCGGGATCCAGCGCAAGCCCCATAAATAAACCTTCCAGCTTTATCCGTCAAATGATCCCAAATAGCCAAGATTTTTAATCGGGTATTTTAACCTCTCCCTCACGGGCCACCTGGCCAGCGTTACTTCTTCGGAACCAATTCAACCAAAAAGCCATTGGTGGGGGCAAAAGGGTTCTCGAACATCCGCCAGCGACTGGGTAGGTCGCAACCTTGGAAGCTACAGTGCTCCGAACGCTGCACAAAATGCCGTCAAAGATGAGACAAGCTATTTCGATGATGAATTATGTCGAAGAAAATAGGTGTTTGAATCGGGTTTTTGATGCCTTAATTCGCTAACATAGCCGTCCGCCCACACCGGGCCACAAAATGATACGCATCATCACTACTGCCAAGTCAAATCCGGTCAAATCACCACCAAGAAATAGTCGCCTCCTCGACGAATAATCCGTTTCAGCCCCAGTAATAGTTCATTTGTTAGAGTCCGTAACAAGTCGCAAAATAAATAAACCCCACAAAATGTAACTGTAGTGTACCCAGCCAATCCGCGCACTTGTCTTCGGGAGAAAAGGGAAGAGAAGGAAAATAGAAGAAATAAGAAAGAGAGAGATCACAACGAAAAAAAATAAAATTTATCGCTTCCAAGGTTGTCATCTGAAGGTGTTTCCTATTCTAGAACGCCAACTCCGCCATCAATCAATCAGTACCAGTAGCGACAGCCTCCTACAGCGTAAAATATGCGACAGAGCGGGCAATAACAATGGGAGAAACAGAAAAACATAACATCAAGCACCAAACACTCTTCCTCCCACCCCATCTTAGTGACATCAACAATAATACAATAACCGTCGGTAGGGGATAAATGTCACCGACTGATGATGCGGGGAACGAGGAGGGACGATGGGTTGACGGCTAGGCATTACACCTCATGAGCATTGCCAGCGTCTGGTTCGTTGGATATCATTATTTGCTGATTGTTGAGCTGGCTGGGGAATATTAATAGGAGGGCCACTCAATCCTTGCACATGGCGATTGGCATCTGATTTGGGGGAAGCGGGCTGTATTCTAACCTGGATAGTTTATGTGGTTTCACCCTGCTGATCACGCCAGCTGTGTGTGATGGGTTCTTCGTGCTCTCAAAGATGCGCGTGCGCAGCACTGTCAGGTTAAAAGTCAGGGTCTCTTGACTACTTAGTTACCTGTTGGCTCCAGAAAGGGTCTGGGGGTTCTGTCTGTTCATCAGTTCCATCCTCTGCCAGCTTGCCTGTTCATCGGCCGACAAGCCATCATGATACGCAAAAAATAAAAACGGTTTCTTTACTTCCCTCTGGCCTAGGCCGGAATGAGAAAACTCGGGCCAAACAAAAATGTATGCCATAATTATTGCGAAATTCTGCCTTGCTGTTAAATCAGCGACATCAAAATAATTGGCTCCAAACTACCTGCAAACCCAAGGTATGAATGCGCCAGATTACCTTTCATACGGCGTACTCTTCTAGACAGCGCTTGCGCTGGACATCACACATAATTTGGCAGGGTGGGCGTTTAGTTGACTCTTTATCACCGGCACACCGTATTTCTTACGTTCTTCTCCTTGACTTCTGAGCGGAGCACAGCACATACAAAATTGTTGAGAACCTCACAGTGCCACAACCCCCGGATATCCGCTTCGCATGATTGGCCAGACCCCGTTCATGTCTTGCTGCTGGCTTTCGGGCTGGCCTGAGCTGATGAAATAGTCAGTGGGCCATGGCGGCGATTGCTGCTGGGGGGGCAGACCAAAAGGAAGTGTCTGTCTCTTCAGAGGAGGTGGTGCAAGAGAAATCTTCTACCTTCCTCAAATATCGCTCCTCTGGTCGGGCGTGATGGCCTGTCAATAAGGGTCAAGTCGAGAGTGGTGGCGACATTGGTGGACAAATAAGAATAGTAACGTATCAATCAGGCTTTCCCCGGCCCAGAGAAATATTAGATCTTCCTTCCTTTCATCCATCCTTTCATCCTTCATCCATCCCACAGACTCACGAAGAAGCCAAAAGAAAAAGGGTTTCGAATGGATGGAACTGCAATTCGTGGGAAGGGCACACGGCCCCCCAAGTCCAGCATCGGCCCAGAAGAAGGGTAACTACCGCGTAGATGCGCACGAACATGGCGTGCCAACTAGTGTCTGCTCCATACGCAGCTCATCTAACCTACTGTACTCCGTACATTTGACTGCTTCGACGTGGCTCCCGCCAAACGAAGGAGCCCGGACATCCAGTCAACGCTTCTCCTCGTTCCCACCACCAGCACCAATTCCTTACCCGTCTCGTCTCCGCATGCACGACGACCTTTCCCTCCGCAGGATTCTTGGACAAACTAAACAACAATAATGATGACAATAAGCATGATTCTGAAGGAGGGGACACTTATCGGTTTTCCCAAGGAATCTTGCTTGTTCACCCATTTTACTCTCGCCTCTTTCGGAAACTAACTCGGAGGCTATATGTATATATATAAACCTTCGTGCGAATTTGCGTTTTGAACATGAATAATGAGTTTGTATCGTATTTTGAAGCTTTCTCTGGCGACATGACTATTTCATTTGTTAAAACTAGAATTCGCTGTATATTCAGGTGGGAGGTGCTCGTAGCAAAAGAGGAGGAGGCGGAGGAGAAGCGCGCACAGAGATACGAACTGTCGCATTCATCTAGGCGGGTACATTAGTTGACGAAACCTACACAGCCGTCGCATTCTTGCAAACTGACATCCGTCAGGATAGAATCGCGAGTAGGAATACTGCTAGATTTAATGCGACGCTGGTATATGATGCCAGAGCGGGAGGATACAATGAAACAACTGCGGTGATAGAAGCAACACATCCAAATACGTATAACCTGAAAATAACGAACAACAAAGTAAAATCGTAGGGAATAAGAACGGAAAATGGGCTTGCTTGCTGGTCATGCCCCTGCCGCACATGTTGTATTTAATGGATGGGCGTGGTTGACCGGGTCGACTCGGTGTGAAACCTCTCCTGAGCGCAAGTTCGCTCTCTGCACCCACTTCAAAACTCACCTCACTCTACCTCTATCCTCTCCTCTCTTCCATCCTTCCATCGTCAACCACCAACCCTCGACATTCCCCGTAGATTGCTTGCATCCGCCCCGTCTGACGAGCTCCTATCCTATCTCATACCTGATGTAAGTACCTCCCTCTTCCCTTGTACCCGGCTTGCCGCTCTATTCGACTGGTCCTTTCGCTGAGCTGCCGTCCTGTTGCCATCAGACTGCCTGCCTCTGCCAACCAAGGCTTTCATCCACCACTGCGAATCTCCATCATCGCCAGCTTTGTTTTGGAATCATACTTAGTGTACTTCTGCGACTCTATTCAATCTATTTTTGCTTTAACATAGGTATATTTCTCCCTCACTTCCGAACCCTTCCCTTCTCGTCTTGCTGCCCGAATCCTCAATGCCAGCACACCTTGCCCTGGCTGGCTGCTCATCCTTAGGCATATACCATCCATAATCCACAAACACCAAAACGTTTACCCTTTCTTCTCCATTGTGCGATTTTATATATATGATGCTAACTGTTTTCTGTTCCATCGTTCTTACAGGACACCTCTTGTCATCCTCGCCTATATTCTCTTTTTTCCCTACATTTTTACATACCCTGCTTCACCTTGGTCTGCCCACTATTACAACCTACCTTTCGTTGCAACATCACAACCTCGCCCATTAAGGTTTTAAATCACTCATAACCTTGGTCAATTCTTCCAGCCAGGAAGTTTTGCACGGTTGTGATGAGATAGATGGAACTCAGAAGTCTCCTCACAGACCCGCCGTCGCATCCAGATGCTGCCAGCAGGATCTTTACCACGCCACAACATCGACACTCAGATAACACCCAAAGCCACGTAACAATGATGGCATCTGCACCTCCTCAGAACCAAATGCCACCCAATGATGGTTATTCCACTCCTCCCGACATCCACGCTACCATTGATGGTCATGGTGGTGGTCCTGTTTCGCAGCAGCCATCCCCAAGCATCCCATCTCCCAAGCATGTTGCCTTCGAGCTTCTCCTAGATGAGAACTCAAAGGTTAGGGCACGCATCCCCATGCGAGTGCAAATATTCCCTCATGATACTACTGACTCGATCGTTACTACGGTCAAAAATTTTTACGGCATCTACGAAGGCGCAGCAAGCGGTGTGAGCTTCGAGGATGAGAATGGCAACACACTCATTGCAAGATACGAAAATCTGAGAAACAACATGACAGTCTATGTGAGAGTCATCTCTTGCCATAATAACTACCCCGAAAATTATACGCGAGGGGCCTACTATAGTCCTGTCGATGGCTATCAACGACCTACCCTTGGAGAGCCATTCCAGCATCAACCGCAACACCCTGCCCAAGCTCTCGACTATGGAAAGTCGCTCTCCCGGCCACACTCAAGAGTTGCGAGGAAGCGAAGCAGGTCTCCAGCTAGTCGAAGCCGTCGCAGTGTCTCTGCCCAAAAAGTTCCCTGTCGTTCTGGCATCAAGAGTCATGGGTCAAGCACCCACGGCAGCTTCCACGATGACTCTATGGGCCCCTGTAGCGACAATGATGACGACCATGGATCAATGACAGGATCAAAAAAGGCTAGAAGTGAGCAATTTGCTAGCTCTGAAATTAGCATGGACAATATACTACAGGATGGTAGAAGAAAGCGTCCAAAGTTTGACAGTTCGGTAAGATTTATCTACTCCATTCCCCAGCAAGGGAGCATCATTCTCGAGAAGCCATATCGATTAACCATATTTTCTCTATTGCTTAGGAACTGCCTCTGTTTGTCCCTCCTCAAGTGCCTCTCGCCACGTCAACGTCGTCGATATCTCCTCAACGACGGTCCACCGTACAAGAAGGGCCCTCCCCATTTACGAGACCGGTCCAGCGCCCTTACGTAGGACAACAGCACATTCCATCTCCCCAGGCATATGGACGTCACGATGCAGTGTACGGCTTCAATGCAACTGTGAATAACATTTATAGTACGCCTGCTCAACACGGCCATCGACTACGCGATCGGACAAACACACAATCTGTGGGTGGTTTCGGGAACTCTGCCCGTCGTTCCAACAGCAATGGCATATTGCCCACTCCAGATCCGACAATTGCGAGCTGCATCTCCGACGAAGACGTTGCAATGCAGCTAATTCGTCTTGGAGACGTTTCGAATTTCTCTCACGGGCGCACGTCTGCTTCTACCCTTGACGACGCATTTAGTGGCGCTGCTGATGCCTCATCCACTGGTGCCACCACGGATGGTGCTGAAGCCAGCGAGGATGATGATGATCTTCCACCACGCTCAAGACAAAAGTTGGAATCCAGCCCACTGCTCCCTACAGGATTTGTCAAAAAGCGTCACAAGAACCTAGACGAAATTCTTCCTAGCTGCGACAGCAGCGACCCAAGCAGTGACGACCTTGATGGGAACTATCAACCTCAGAATGCTCAAGTACTTGTCAAAAACGAACACGATAACGATGCCGCCTACGAGGATGCACCCAAGGCGAAGCGTCCAAAAGTCAAAACTTCAAACTCGACAGCTGCCAAAACCTCAGTTGCCAGGTCAAGTTCCACGTCCAAAACCAAGGCTAACAAGAACCGCCCTGCTGCAACTGCCCGTAAGAGCAAGGTCACTTCAAACAATAGCAACAGCAACCAGGTGTTTGCAGTTCCAGCCACCCTCCCTCCTATGGCTAGCCCTACTTCGTCTCGCAAAATTTCATCTTCCGCAGTTAACTTCCAGCATCAGCTTGGTGTGGATGAAGAAGACCTGTCCACAAAACCTCGCTGCCAGCGCTGCCGCAAGAGCAAGAAGGGTTGCGATCGTCAACGGCCCTGCCAGCGATGCAAAGATGCAGGTATTGGCATTGAAGGTTGTATCAGCGAGGACGAGGGCAATGGACGCAAGGGCCGATATGGTCGCCACATGGGAGTTCCAGTGAAAAAGAATGACGCTTCCGTCAGCAATGCAGGTGTCGTTTCCGCTCTCGGAATTAATGAGTCCTATGCTCATGGAGCTAATGAGCGCTATCCCAATCCTGCCGCATCTTCCCTGGCACCCGCATTGGCTCCTACCAGCGTCGCTGATAAAAACAAGAAGAGAAAGCGATAGTGGTCACAATAACATCCCTCCTGACGAGCAGTGACTATATATACGAGACAATGCGTGGCATGTAGTAAAGTGATTCTCTCACAAACCCGTACCCGCCACGATTACCTCCTTGAACTTCCTCTCTATAACGTGCTTGCTTGTTCGAGTGAATTCCGTCCTTACTTTTCTCATCCCAAGTCCGCTGTGAGGCATACCTCAACGTCACCTTACCTGGCTTAAATATTCCTTTTAGAAGATACGGTGTTGTTTCCCGCGTAAGCTTATGTTTTCTCATGACAAAGGTGTTGCGGAGAAGCACAAGGTTGACGGCCGTTGGATTTTCACGGATTTTCACTCTTTCTCTGCTGTCGATGCTATCACCATCTTCGTTCCTCGTTTCCACTTGTTTGCCCTTACTTTTGGCTCCCTTGAAACCTCACCCAAGTCTCTTATCCGGATAACACTGTTTATCTAGATCAAAAGTCACCACGTTGCAAATATCCTTTGCCTAACCAACCTACGTTCCTTTCCATTTTCGTCGACCAACGAAACTATATCTAGTTTTCTTTACTTATTTCAGCGAGCGATTAGTTTCCTTCAACTGTGAACCGGGAGGGGTTTGAAGCTTTCGTGTTGCTATGTGTCTGTCATACTTATACGTCTTTCCACGGACTATATTGTTATATTTTGTTCCAGTTTTAATATGTTTAACTTTAATTTCTGCTTGTTTTCTGATTGCTTTAGTACTATCGTTTTCTTGTTGTATCCCTTCTCTCCCTTTCCTTTTCGTTAGTCTACGGAGGCGGTGTGTGGTAAACATTCATGGTAGGGCAGGTTAACAACATGCCCCTCCATTCAATGAGCCAACGCTGTCCTGTGCTGTGGGATATATTGGCTGAGTGTCTAAAAAGAAGCAGCAACATTGCACAAAGAGGCAGAGGTGCGCCAAAAATTCAACTGACAAATAACTTTTTAAAAAGTAGAACAGATGTTTAATATATGAGAAAAAAATCAGCGCGGGAGGGAAGAAGAGAGCGGAACCAAAATGGCTCCCATTCATACGTTCACTAAGGGAATAGTATCACACACGTCTTTCCATTTTTTGCACTTCTTGCTCTGTTATTCCTTTGCCTTCTCTTAAAGGTCCGTTATATACATACTTATTTCGCTCATTTTCCATTCCTATCGGCCACCATGCTCGCTATCATTCCTATATCACTGCTGCTGTTTAATGTTCAATCAATTGCGCAAGTACATGTTTTTCTATTTTTGCTTTATCTTTTCTAGCATTTCTGTTTCCTGTTGTTGTAACGTGCCGTCTTGCTTTTGTCGTTTCCTTTCCTTTTCCTTTTATTTTCTTTTTTTGAGAAAAATTTATCCTTGCTTTTATGACTGCATTATTACTATTATTATCCACCTAAGTATTTAGCCAAAATTATTACTGATTCAACAAAAAGAACATGGTTTATCTTCTTCTGCAAGTTGTCGCATTCGTCCATTTCCTGTAAAGTGCCGGTCTCGTCCAGCGCTGACTCTAATTTGCGCTCCAGGAATAATAAAATTCCGATATAGTTTTTTTTTAATACACTCCGCATCCAAGAATACTACCCAGGCGCAATAGGAATTGAATTACACTTTGATTAATGGCATTTGAAGGACATCGTAATATTTCCAAAGGGCTGCCCATCAACTAAGAAAGCATACCCATCTCTTTCCTTGTTTTCTACGTCCAATCTCTGCTAATATATGACGCGAAACTTGGAAAACTTCTCTTAGAAGTGAGCCTACCGAGCAAAACAAAATTGGAGAAGAGCAACATCTATCCAACTATGCCACCAAAATCCACAAACAACCCTCGCCGCCCCCCAACCATCTCCACATCCTCGCGCCGCACCGCCATTCCCATCGACAGCGCTTCACCCACGCCCACGCCCGCAATTGCAAGTGCAGACCCAACCAACCCTCCCATAGACCCAAGCCTCACGCCGCTTCGTTCCCGAAATGTCCCCTCTCCCTCTACCATAACTGCCAGCGGCTCACCACCCCGCGCCGGGGTCCAACGTCTCCAATCGCTAAAAAAGCGCACCCCGGCCGGCTCCCTGATCCCGCTAAACCCAGATGGCACAGCACCTAAACCAACCTTACGCTACCAGCCTCGCGCGGTTGTGCGGAAGAGTAAAGAGGAACGCGAAGCGTTGGAGAGACTTGAGGTGGAGAGGCAGCAGGAGAGGCTTAAAGAGGCTGCTGCACTGAGGAAGGTCGATGCGGTTGCGGCGGGGAGGGGTGGAGATAGATTGGTGAGAGGGAGAGGGAGGGGTATGGGGAGGGGGAAGGGGATGTTTGTTGCGGGTGATGTTTCAGGGCCTTTAGGGTCTGGAATGTCGATTCGGAGTCGTGGGGGTGGGTTTGGTGGGGCGTCGGGCAAGGGAAAGCATCGGTATGGGCATGGGACTAGATCGGGTGCGGGGAAGGTTCATGGGCCTTGTGCGGGCGAAGAGTGAAGGATGAGGTTGGCGGGATAGATGGTTCTGGTGGGAGTGGGGATATTCGTCCGGATGAAGGGAGTGACGGAGGCCCCAGGTTCAGTATCGAGCAGATCAATATCATTAGCGATGATGAGCAGGAGCTGGGAGAGGAGGGTGATTTTGAGGAGGGGAATGGGAAAGGGAAAATGCGTGTTCGATCGCCTGTGGGCGATCGTACGGGAAAGGGGCTGAGGCCGGTTCGAGTTGAGAGACAGGAGCACCAGGAGAGGTCGATTGGGATCAATACTGATGCTAGCTCGGAGAAGTCTGCTGAGTTGAGAAGGCAGGCCAGAACGAAGGTGAAGGAAAAGCACGGCGGGGTGGAGAGTTTGTTTGTACAAGACAGCGAGGAAGAGGCTGGTGATGCTCGTGGGGGTGAAGGTGACGATTTGGTAGAAATAACTTCCGAGAAAGCGGTTGGTGGTACATTATATGGAGGAATACGAATTAAGGAAGAGCCTACGGATGACAGAGATGTGCTTATGGCCGACTCCATACCGCAAGGCGTGGACGACCGTCCTGCGACGACTGATACTGGGCCTCTAGCACCCGCCGCCCTAAAGCCGAAAGCTAGAAAAAATAAAGTTACTGTCCATGATCCGCGGAGCAAACTGCAGACAGAGGAAGAGCGTCAGGAATGGGACCGTCACGAGCAGGATATAGAGCATATCAAGCAGGCCTTGGGGACAATAACCACTCACGACCCGCCTGCGGAAGAGTCACAAGGCACAGAACAGGAAGATGAGACAAAAGCAGTCGAGGCACCCAGGGACGAACGTTCTGGGCGACTCTTCCTCATTCAGTTTCCGCCCATGACACCCAATCTCGTCCCGCCGTGGCCGGATATGGATGAGATGAACCAAGACGTAGTTGAAACAGGCGCACGCGCATCAACGCAACAATCTCCTAATCCCACAATTAAGAAAGAGGTCACCGATGGCCTGACCGCCCCAATGCCCACCCTTCCCAGCAACGGTACGGTTATTCCCTCCCCGTTAATCACGGCCACAAATCCCACTCTCCCACCAGGGCGGGTGGGTAAGTTGAACATCCACCAATCCGGTCGGGCAACAATAGACTGGGGCGGGATCAGCTTTGAGTTGACCAAGGGGAGCGATGTGGAGTTCTTGCAGGATGCAATTGTGGCATCCGGGGAGCAGCCGAAGCCTACTGGAACCGACGAGGGACTGCATCCGGCTGACTTTGAGGCAAAGACAGTATGGGCGATGTCGCAGGTTAACGGTAAGTTTGTGGTAACGCCTGATTGGGAAGCATTACTTGGGATATGAGTGAAGCATAAAGCACATTTGGAAGTGACTGAAGGTCTTTCTCTGCATTGCATATGGAATTGGCGTTTCTTTTTTCTTAAAATTTGATATTATGTTTTGAGCGTTTGATGAAGTCCCATGCCTAGAATATGTCATGGAATATATCCATCCATATGTTTCCCAAAATCTTAATTTTACCATCATTACGTCCACTTTTAACCGAAATGCGTAGTTCTGGGCTGGATATTCCACCGTTTCATTTTCTAAAGGTCTTGATCTAAACCTACATCTGAATTGGAAGATACCGTCTCGGCATACCACTGGAGACTCCGTGCCAGGTTCATCAGACATACAGCACATCCATCATCCCCTATTTTAGACGAGAGCTGTGATTATATCTTCAAATTTTAGATTGGAATCATCGCATCTCTCGCCAAAGGGATATTATACCCAGTCAGTGGAGGTCTGCATCTGCATGTCACTGCAATTGTAATGAGCTGTAGAGAATGTGACAAGGCAATGTATCTCTCGAGACCTGTGATCAAAGCCGCCATCTTTTGAGATACATCATACATATATGTATAAGGGGAGAGCGATGACGTTGAAATATGTGTGCTTAGTCATGCAACTCTAGGGCCCAACTAGAGCCAGGTTAGGAAAGGTGCAGCAGCAACCGTGACGCTATCGCTGCAACTGATTTAGCGCGATATCGGGTCAATTAACACCAACACAAAAAGAGTTCGCAGACAAAGGCTAACCACTCAACCAAAAGATCATACACAACAACAACATCTAGCGTTTGTTATTGGAACCCATGCCCTATATAGTTCAACCCCTCGGGGGATGCTTGGGAGTGCTAAGTGCTTGCAGCAAGGGTGCTGCCAGACGACCTACCCAATGCCAGCGTGCAGTACGGGGTAATGGGAGACCTCAAGCGCTAACTGGTAGAAAAGGGGACAAGCCGAGCAATCCAATCCCTCCAACAAACTACACCAGTGTTTGACTGGAAATAACTCAATAGTTATTGATCACACAGTTCTCGAATGGAAGTTAAACCAAGTTGGCTACCATCGCAGTTTCAAGATATGTTAAATTTGAACGCCAACTTGGAAGTCTTGATCCTCTTTCTACTTTTGTTCTTTCATGACTATCTCAAGGGTCATTGTTATTGAGGGCACTCACGTTTCTGCAGCGTTGCTGTAGTTAAGATTGGAATATGCTTTTGATGATGCAAGTGCGCTGTACAGTTTAGGCTGGCTACACAAGTTTTTCTCCGGGCTTTGTCTGCAAGGACGAGAGCCCTCATAGTTTACTACAACAAAGGTAGATTATTTCTTTCCTTTGAATCTCCCTAGCAACTGGAAAAACTATCTACTATTCTTGGGTTTCTTTGTTTTAAAACATTTAACATCCCCAGGAACCCAAGGGCCTCCACTGGCGCACTGGTGTCTCCGGAGGTCTGTCTCATCGATACCCTGTTATTGTTTTCCACGATTTCGAGGACAAGTGGGTGATGCCATTCAGACGCGTATTTGGCGGAACTTCGGGGGGCCATTGTATCTCGGTAGAATCCAATTTGGGATGGTATACTGTTGTACAGTTTTTGATACTCTTTGTCTATCATTTGCTATAAGTGTGTTCATCTGCGATTCATTTAAATTGAGTCGAAGCTCCTATGGCTCGAGTCAGTTAGTCCCGCTTCCGTTTTTCCTGCTCAAGGTCTTGTTCTATTCATCATATCTCTTCCTGGAATCACTTTCTACTCCTGACGGACAGGTAACAAAATGCGATTAGGAACCTTTATATATCTCCTGGCCCGTACGCTGTGTCTCGCCCATTGTGTTCTAGGAGAAGAGAAACAGACGAATGTTCCCAAAAATCAATGTTATGGACTATGCTTGGATCCATCCGTTCTCCAGAAAGGCTCCGAATTAGATGGGGAAAAAGAAGCTCTGAACAAAGACGAAGTCATTCCTTCTATAACGTATGCGCCAGTGCATTTGGTATTTAATTAGATTCATCTAACGAAGGAAATAGTTCATCGAACAACTTCATCAACTACTGTAACGGGAAGACATTAACAAACGGCACCAAGATCAATGAAGGATCTTGCAACGGCATCCGTGAGTAGCTCTTGATTCTCACAATGCAACTCCTAGCAAGATTATCTCTAATGCCACCACAGCCATGGGCGAGATTCCATCAACAAAACACATGGTTTCTACTCTCATCACGTCTCCGTTGCCAGGTGATGAATTCAAAGTCAATCAGACGATTACTTTCAAGGTCGCAGTCAAGAACATCGAAATGGGCTTCTACACAAATTCGAATGTGGCATTCCTCTCCGCACCACAGTCGCTAAATTGTGAAGGACTCGTACGAGGTCACACACATCTCACTGTTCAGTTTATGGGCCCCAACACTCCAACTATTCAAGCCTTAGACGCGAGCAATCCGACTTGGTTCAAGAGCGTCAACAATCCGCATGCCGTAAATAAAACTGACGATTTCACCGCTACGCTTGAAGGGGGCCTTGGGAAGCCGGGGTTTTATCGCGTTTGCACTTTGACAGCAGCAGCCAACCATCAACCTGTCATTATGCCTGTTCCCAATCGGGGTGCACAGGATGACTGCACGAAATTCAAGGTGATTTCTGGATAAAGTGAAGGGACAATATCAGCAAAACAGGAGAGACATCGAACACTGCTTTTATGGTTATCCTCCAGAACTCAGCTATCTGATTTTTGCCCCTCGACCTTTCTCCCCCTACAACTTCAAACTCACCATTCACGCGCCCAATGACAAGTCGTTTTGTATCGTTCGCTCTCTCTTCTAGCGACAAATCTGCCATGCAACCATCATTTTCTGATTGCGCAATACTGCTGAAGGTTTCCCTTGGACCTATCTCATTCTCGCATGTAGAACAATAATATGAAAGTGTGACGCCGCTGAAAGCCGGCGAGTAAGATTCGATATTTTCGGCGTCCTGTCGGTGGAAGAGCCCAGGCAAAAAATTTTTTAGCTGTACTTAACATTTCTGGTACACCGTGCCTCTCCAGGTGTAAGAGGGAGTTGTATGGCATGAGGGGTTTGTTTTTGTATCACCTTGTCAATTTTTTGAAGCTGAAAGGCCAGACTGAACGGATCCCAACAGGCTAGAACTGTTGCATGACTTTCAGGTGGCTGTCCTTCCGTAAGCTGTTAGTATCGAATTATTAATGGAGCCGCCTTGACTCCCAAGTAGGAATTGCATCCTGGAATTGCAACGGAGTTTTAATCTCGTCTCTGAGGTACAGAATTGATAGAGCATAGATCGTTATCTACGCAACAGAGTGACTGGTCTGGGCTTGCTGACTCATGCCCCACACAGTAGAACCCCATGTGCTGCCCGATATGGAAATGTTCCACGATGATCGTCCCCCAGACTGACATCAGTCCTCCTTTTGTCGCACGGCCATCCATCAACAATCAATAGATGCCCGTTTTCATTCGCCATAAAGAACCTGCAATCCGCCTTAATCCTCCTCTTGATCATCTGCTGATTCAACATCTCCCACTTGGACGAACGTAGTACTGCGTATGATCATTATTGTTTGAAGCCAATACACACCTCAATCCCATCCGAGAAAACTGCTCGTTTTTGCGCTTCTTTCAGCCAGAAAGACGACTGTGAATGCGAAATACGAGCAAAGAGGGAGGAACTGTTGTTTTTCTTTACGATTACGCGACAGCCAGATCAAAGAATATCGTTGCGACCATTTCTCGGATAACTTGCAGGCAAATATTTGCTATCGGTCTCAGAACGGGGCAGACTGAAAGTTGGACTTGCAAAGGCGGGGGGATATAAAGAAGACAAACCCACTTGGTTGAGCCTTTGGTACGGGACCTGTGTTTTGAGTTTCCGCATTCGTCAGATCCGTTCCAAGGTTACTTGGCCATTGAGTTTGAGGCAATCTAAACTCTATCCCATGGTTTCTTTGTTTGAATACAAAAGTTCCATTTGAAACGCCCATTCCTTATTATAGGGAGACAGACAACACTAACACCGTGTAGATTCTTATCTTATCAGAAATTTTACAGCATCACATGAATGAGAAGTCAGCTTCTTCCACCTCTTTAGTACTGGCGAAATCGCGTATCCATACCATCCTCGAAGCCATCCGATATTGACAATTACCTAAAGACGACCCGTGCAGAAATCCAAAGTGCCGCACTACACAACTAGAAAAAAAGAAATCACACACAGGTGAAAATGAACGGCTATGGAGGAGTCGTCCATTCCATGAGGCCTGGCGACGTCCACCCCATTCCTTTCACTCCTGTACCATCCATGGGGGCAGAATTGGGCATTATGTTTGGCTTCATCTTCTTATCGATAGTGACCATGCTTGTCTATTGGTATTTCTGGCAAGGTATGTAGTACATCCATCAATGGCGTCAAAGCCCGCGCCTGTCCCGCACTTCCATCTTACAGATGTAAATACATAACATAAACATTCGCATAATCCTTTCCGATCCACACATTGCTATGGAATATAGACTGACAGAGCCCTCAGCCGCCCAAAAGCGCAACGCTGCCATAGAAGTTGCTCGCCGTGAGGCCCTCACCGCGCAAGAGCGACTTCGGCGATCCGAGAAACAGAGGGAGCAGGGCGTGGACGATAATAGTGATCATAATGGCTTTGCGGTATCAGGAGCTGTTGACGGGATGCCGAGTCGATCGACTCGGAACGGCACGGGTGCGAATGGGTTTGGGTTTGGCGATGCCATGCAGGATTTGATTGTTTAACGAATGATATGTTCGTTCGCTAGTTTTGTTGATGCGTATTGGTGGTTGTCTGGTGCTCTCTTTCGGCAGTTGGGTTGGGTTCTGAGATTACAATTGGGAACGACGGATATGGGCGTCCCTGTTACTACTGTACATTGTTTGAAAGGCGTTGGAACGTATGTTTTTGTAAGACACTTTTCATGTACCTTCGGTTCGCGTGCAGTTTTCTTTTTGCTCTTTGGGATTACCACTTTGATTACGACCCCTATATACCCTTACTACCATCGGTAACACCGACATCTCGCGACTATTTATTAGGAGTTGCAGCGACCTTTTGCGCTATTTTTGCGAGGTGCATTATATGCCTGCTGATTTGATGTCGAAAGTTTCTTCTTCCACCAGAAAGTTGCGGCAATAAATATGTAGCCGCCGGTGACAATTTTCAGTCTGCTTGTATATACTTTTATACATCTATCAACCAAAATCCAAACCCGTATCAACAGACCACAAGACCAAACCCAACCGTCCACTGCACCGACCCAATAACCGCAACCAAAAGGCCTAGCGCAACACCAGTTGTAACCAACCCATAAACGTACGCATGCTCATGGTCAAGACTATCCAACTCAGCCACCCACGTACTCACCGTTGTCGTACAGCCACAGAACCCATCCATAATGCCCTGCAATACCTGACATCCAGTGAGACGAGATACGCTAACGGCGGCTGCCGCAACGGCAGCGGAAGCGGGGGAAGAGGAGGATGCAGGCACAGCAAGCACATTCGTCGACCTCTGCAGGTCATAGCACATAGCCAGCACCAAAGTGCCGAAGATATTCGCTGTGAATGTCCCTAAGGGAAACTTGGGGATTCGGCTGTTAAGTAATAACGAGACATAGAATCGAAACAGACAGCCTAGGGGTGCGAAGACGACGGCAAACACGACACTGCCGCGCCAATGCTCGCGGACTCCTAGAGAGCGATCAGGAGGCCAGATGGCGAGGAAGACAGCGCCGAGCCAGGAGCCCATGGCTAGAAAAGAGATAAAGGGGTCGACATATCTTCGTGAGAAAATGTAGGGGATTACAGGGGTGTATTTGTCCATGAAAATGGCGAGGTGGGAGCCGAGGATTAATGCACCGATGCTGAGGGAGAGGGTGTAGATTATTATGGCGAGAACGGCCATGAAGCCGTATCCACCATTGCGCGGTACGGGAGATGCTGGGTGCCCTGGCGTGGGGAGATCATTCGCTAGCGCGAGGAAGACGTCGAGCATGAAGGTCGAGAAGGAAGTGAGGGAGCCGCAGAAGCCGGTTGTGAGGCCAATGTAAAGGGGTATAGTTTTTTTGATAGATTTATGGATTTTGAGGGATTGGGCTGGTTCCATAGGTGGCGTCACCGGTTCCTCTTTCGGGCTATCTACATCGTTGTGTTCGGAGACTCGAGATTGTCGCTCTGAAGGCGGATGCTGTTGGTGGGTATGGGAACGCGAATACCGCCGTCGGAGTTGTTTCATAGGATGCGGCAAATGAGAATGAGAAGATAGATTGGAAATATGGCCATTTGGCGCGCTAGATTCGTGTCCGGGATGCTTTCGCTTCCACTGTCCCCATTCTTCGCGAAACAGTTTTCGGTCCTCAGCTAAGAATCCCATAAGTAAGCATCCTCCAACATTTGCCCATGTAACTGCAGTGATTAAAGGTGCTCCGGGATAAGAAGTCAACCACTGCAGCCCAATCCGAGCCAGTGCTCCAAGTATTGAGAAAAACACCAGATATGAGATTGTATAAAGGCGAGTAGCATAATCCGATAATCTGGCCTCGATTCCTGCAACTCGTTCAACGGTCGGGGGCGGCGTCGTAACACGAGACTCAGCACTCTCGAGAGCCGCCCAGTCACCCCGCCAGGACGACACGCGTTCGACGGGAGGAGGTACAGCAAACTCAGTCAGAGGTCCATTGCGCTCTAAATCTCTTCGGAAAGTCGCTTCACGGATATGTTTTCTTTGCAACTCTGCTTCTGCATCTTCAAGGGTATCTGGGAGGGCGCTCTCAGTGAGGTCTGCGACTCGTCCCTCTTCCAATCTGCGGCCTTTTCCCCTCCATCCTGACTGTGCTTCTTCGAGACTTGGGCCCCGGGTCAATTCCGAGTCGCCAAGCGCCTCCTCCTGAGCTTCTTGTCCGCTGTGGGAACGGCGAAAATGAACTGACGATTTTTCGTCATCCATGCTTGAAGTATACGTTCGAAAGGTCCCCCATTAAAATGTACATTTCTTTTTCACTGGGCCCTCTTGATATAGCAAAAGTGTGAGCTTAATTCAATTCACTGCGGCGCCAAGCAAAACTTCCAAGAATCACGAACATTACCTCGATGTTACCAGAATGCAACGGGAACTGCTGCGTCGATACACACGCCATAGCCCTTTCCCGGATGCTGTGTTTCCAAACGGGAGACAGCATATTTGTTCGAATATTCAGAGTATAAGTGTTGATGGGAAGTCGAGGAGGTTAAGCTTGCCGAGATAGACATAGTACATCATGTGACAGGCTTAGCGGTAATATTAATACGCTCAGTAATATTGGGTACAAAAAATGGTGGGGGGGCAGGCCGAAATTATGAAGCTGTTGTGGGGCAAACGGGACGCATTCCGGCCCGATACCGTAGCATACAGCCCTCATAGTTAGTTACACAGGTTGATAAGATAAGCATCCCTACCGCCTTGCTCCACCATATCAACATCGTCTTTTCTTCCTTTGTCTCGACAGACATAGGAAGAGTTAATGAATCGTCGCTCAAGCTCCTAAATACGAGTAATCGCTAATATTCCTCCAGGACAGCCAGAAGAACCATGGCGTCCGCCTTCTCAAATAACACACATGTTTCCCAGCATCCTTGTCTTCGCGCGAAGCTCTCTCAGCTGCGCTCCAATGCTACCAGCTGCAAGGACACAAACAGGTTAATAAATGACATTGCTATGATAATTGGCTGTGAGGCTTTGGGTGCCAGTTTGCAGGTCACTCCGAGTGGTATGGTGAGCACTTACTCCTCCTTCCTTCTCTGTCGAGATAAAAGAGCGGGAGCAGGAGGATACCGTGTAGCAGAAACACAGTCAATCTTACTCTTTTCTCCTAACATATATTGTAGGGTACAACACCTCTTGGGTATGAATATTCCGAAGAAACCGTCATAACTGAAAACATCGCACTGGTCCCAATTCTCAGGTCAGGCCTGGGAATGGTACAAGGTTTGTTACCCATTGTTCAACCACGCCAGCCTTTCAGAGCCTTCAGTCCGGTCGTTTGTTTGCCAATCCAATCTCCTAACTGCCTTCACCACCCAGCAATCCAAGATCTCCTCCCCTCACCCGTTGCAGTACACCATCTGGGACTATTCCGCGAACCAACCACTCTCCACCCGGTCGAATACTACAATAACCTTCCATTCAAGCCTCTTGCTGAAAACCCACAGAAAAACGCTGCCGCTGTTTCTCTTGCCATCATCGTTGATCCGATAATCGCCACAGGGGCCACTTGTGCGGCTGCGATCCAGACTTTGAAGGAATGGGGGGTCTCTAAGATATTAGTTCTTAGTGTGTTGGCGAGTGAATGTGGAGCAAAACGGGCAGCGGAGGAATGGCCGGAAGGGGTGGATGTTTGGCTGGGCGGTGTCGATCCGGGATTGGACGCAAAGGGGATGATAAAACCTGGTGTAGGTGACGTTGGGGATCGGCTGTTTTTGGCGTTGGGAAAATGAAGGCTTCCTATCGGGCCGTGGTCATCTTTGTTTCGGGAGTGAATGAATCAGTGGGAAGTGTGTTTAGGCCAAGGGGGTTAGGTGAATGAAGGGAAAGCAGATACGCCAAAATGTGAGTAATGTGTCCCAGGCTGTTAGATGGTTAATGAAGACGTAGAAATACCCGACATGTTTTGTTTGTGCTTTTTTTTAAATCAGATGGCGGAGTACTTCCGTTGTAATTAACGAGTTCCATAGGGGCTGCCATTATGCTGTGTCGATTCAGGGACGGGTCCAATTCCGGTTTTATATTCTACATTTTAATATCACGTTTTCATATTTTTCTGATACAGATACAATTTTCACAATCTCTCCTATCCAGTATTCCTGAATATCTGATGCCAAAGTTGTGAGAAAGACATCAATATCTTTCAAGATCAACGGAATGGCTCACAAGCCCGTAACCCTACCGCATCTGCCTTCGGCATCGGAACATATGCCGCGGATTCTATTCTGACACTGACGAATGTATGGTTGTTAAGCTTTCAATAGACGTGATGAAGCGGACAATGAAGGCTTTTGTGATCAGCTTTGCAGTAAGCAGTGGGGTGTATGTATCCCGAGCTCTTTTTCCACACAATCTAGAAGGAAATAATAAGCAGCGGCAACTATTTACAACGCGATTTTAGTTCTCCCCTTTGTGCTCGCAACAAGTTCTCTTCCACAGCACACACCATTTCTCCAATGGTATCTGCCAAAGGAAACCCTTCGCCCTCATGTTCAGGAGGAGGTAACTCCCGCTAAGATAGGGCTGACCGTAGCGGGTGCACATTGGACAGTACAAAGAAGGAGATACTCCTCCACAATCGAGGCGGATATGGCTGTATCAAGCCTTTATAAGAGTATACTATGGACATCTTACAACTACGCTGGCCGGGAGAGCGGAGGCAAGGAGCTGGACACCGATACTACTGAGATATGAGGGTGCAGTCTGCAGGTGCAAATTATCATCACGTCCTTGACACACACGCACACACACACACATATATATGTGGATTGCAAGGCGAGATGGCGAATACAGAGAACAGTTCCTGGAGTGACCCACCCGCCTTCCGGCCCTCCACCATTCTCACCTCATCGCCAACCACTGCCAAAACAACATCTGACGGCGGATGCTGAGAAAAAGTGCCTCAAGGCACAGACGTCGACTTCACTGACCACGCCAGTCAGGAGTCAGACACCACTTGAGGGTATCGACTCTTAGCTTAGGCCTAGGCGGCTTTGGCAGCAGGAAGACCCTTCAGCCGGACAGAATGTGAGTTCGGAATGAAATTTGCAATTTTATGCGCGCAGGGGTTCAGGGTTGTGGGATTCCTTGGTTGGGACCAATGAATTGTTGTGCTGGGGTTCCCTGGGGGAAAACAAATGGGAATGAGCAAGGCGTTGGTAGGAGAAAGGGGGCCACGAGGGGAGGGGGAACAAGAAGCGTCATATTATCAAATTTGACTGTTCGTCAAGGATACCAGATGAATGTGCGAATGTGGAAACAAGGTGAACATTCATTGATGCTAATAGTAAGTCATGATTTCGAGATTTCATGGTGTGCCTTATCGGTCCAGAGAAGCCCAACGTAAGTGACGACCAGCACGATAGGAAGATATTTAGGGGTAAAAGAAAGAAAGAAATCAAAAAGAGGCTGAAGTTGAAATCTTTCCCCAAATATCCGCGCGCGCCTGGCATGAATGCGTACAGGCTCCACCTCACTCGTTTTATTCCCTCCTCCCTCCTCTTAATAGTAATTGATTATGATTATTCCCCAGCCGCTTTTTCCGTGGCTTCAGGCCCTTGACTGTCCAGGTTCACGTCCATGTCAATGTCCCTGTCCCTTTCGCCGGGGCGCCCTCGTCATCAACGAAGAAAACCAGTGCTCGCTTGGCCCAGGTCCGCATTGTTCGTGTAAAAGGGACTCAGTTGAAAGAAAGGAAGGAAGGAAGGAAGAAAGAAAGAGAGAAGGAGAGAAGGAGAGAAGGAAGAAGAGAATCAAAAAACAAAAAACGCCCACGAAAGATGTCTCTCTCTTAGCTTTTTCTTCTTCATTTCGTTTACGGTTTTTCCTGGCCGGACGAGTATGTAGCACTCACAACCCTCTTCTCTGCTTGGTTGGGATGACAAGGATCCCTATCCGTACAAACATTCGCTCTCGCAAATGCTCACCTGCAACTAAAGAGAGAGTATCTGGATGCATCGACAGATGCCATCTGGCGCGATATCAGAAAATGCAAGGCATGCCTGTCTAAGGAATATTCATAACATAATACAGATAGATGGGTAGGGCTGACAGAAGCCGGGAGGCCTTGCTGGTCACCGGCCATGGAAGAGGGATGCATCACTCGTGGATGGCTCCATCCATCGTGGAGACATTCCGAGTGCACGGCCGTCGTCGCCACCTTCTGGAAGACTGAAGGCCCCGCCTAGAGCACAATCTGACACATCAAGAGATTGCGAATCCGGGGTATCGAGAGATTGCTTTCATTTTTCTTCTTCTTCTTTTCTTTTATTAATCTCTTGTCCTGACCATATCTTGATTTAACAAGGAAAGTACGGAGTATGGTGTGCAAATTTCCGAAAGCGTATCACACTGGAGGCCCACGCGCACCGCCATTCTTTTCCACAAGTCTCTTCGCAGAAGGAGTGCTAAGAGTTTCAAAGCTGAGACACACGACCGAAATGAAACAATGATCAGTGCATCGCGTGGCTGTCAGGTTGCGGGGTTCTCTGTGTTTATTGCATCGTGCCAACAATAAGCGATACAAGACAGGAAGTTGGCGAGCTGGGACTGGACCGCGAGTTAGCGAGAGGTTGGCACAGTGTCATGGTAGCTTACATGCATTTACGCCAACACCCACACGTATCATGGGATGAGCCTTGGACCTCTGACCCCCATGTAGGTGAGAAAGTAGTTCTAGAAAAGCGCTAATTGACAGCAACAAACAGTCATGGAAAGGTCACGTTACCAACCTCTATTCTCATTGGCCGTGGTTTGTTTTGTGCATCCACGTTCGGGGAAATTACATAGTTAAGTAACCGGGCCCTAGATGATTTGTAAGCTGCCGCTCACCTGCAACCTCTGGTCGGCCCCTCGTTCCGAGGGTCCGCCATCTCAACGTTATCCGCCATCTCAACGCGATTATTTTCAAATACGCGAATCTCTTTTTTCAAAATGCAATAATCAACCAATGTGATGACTTCTACATATATTTTAATAGAGAATAAGATCACAGAGGCTCTAGATTCCATAGCCGATATTGAAAAACCCAATATCAAAGCATTGGCAAGAGATTATAACCTTCCCTATTCCCGTCTGCTCAATCGATACAATGGCCGTGCTCCGCGAACTCATCGACCTCCTGCTAATCGACTTTTATCTTTTGAGCAGGAAAAATCACTTTGTCAGTATATAGAAGCTCTAGATAAGCTATGCCTACCTCCCAATCGATCGATGATCTTTGGTGCTGCTCGATTCCTACTTGCGCAGAGCCATACAGATTCTACCACACCTGCACCTGGGCTTGGAGAGCACTGGGTCAAAAGATTTCTCAAACGCCATCCAGAGTATAATGTACGCAAGCAGAAGACCATTGATATATTACGGAAACAGGCTCATCAACCATCTCATATCCTTGATTGGTTTAACCGGTTCAAAGAAACAGTCAATAAATATGGAATTCAAGATTGCGATATCTACAACTTCGATGAAACAGGGTTCAGAATAGGAATTGGACATGATCAATGGATTGTAACGCGAGATCCTCGAAGACGGGCCTATGTTGGAAGTTCAAATAATAGAGAAAGTCTTACTATCATTGAAGGAGTTGCAACTGATGGCTTTACCATTCCTCCCTTATATATTCTCACCGCGAAGCAGCTACAGGAGCGGTGGACAGATGAAATAGAGAAGGATGCCATGATAGCTACATCCGACACTGGGTATAATAATGATCAAATCTCTTTTCAGTGGATTCAGCATTTCCATCGGTCTACAAAAGCTCGCAACAAAGGAACCCACCGTCTGCTTCTATTAGATGGATTTGACTCCCATTGCACCTTTGAATTCATGGATTTTTGTGAAAAGAACAACATCATTCCCTTCTATCTCATCCCGCATACGAGTCACCTATTACAACCTCTGGATGTTGGTGTTTTTCAAGCCTTTAAGCATCATCATTCAGTGGCAGTTGAAGAAGCAACAAGACGCGGCTGTGAGAAGTTCACAAAGGTTGAATTTCTTCATGCTATCACCTCCATACGAAAAGCAACATTCAGAGTTCATACAATCAAACATGGATGGGAAGCAACTGGCCTACTTCCATTCAATCCTTCAATTGTCCTTAATAAATTGCGTGAATTCGAGACTACTCCTTGAGAATCTTCAAATTCAGATTCCATGGATTCAGATACTTGGTATACTCCTTCAACTGTACGCCAATTCAACCGATATAAACGCAAACTCGAGGCTTTGGAAGAGGAAGATGAAGATAACTATGATGAGGACTATATATATGAAGGATTACAGAAGCTTTATAAGGGTAGTATTGCAATGGCCAATACAGTGGCTCTTTTGCAGGAGGAGCTCTCGCAGACAACTGCCGCCTCGGCTGCTCGCAAACGCCGTCTGAACGGCTCACGGAGGGTAGTTCATAAAGGAGGAGTCATCTCTGCAGATAATATTCGCAAAATGACAGCTATTCATCATCAGATTGGTATTGAGGAGGCATTGGAGAAGTTACGGCCAAAATGGAAGAAGGTTATGAAGGAACTTAAGAGATATTGCAGAGACAAAGGCATTTATGTTAATGCCACCAAATTTACAAGGAATTCACGGCAATAGTTCATTTACAATATAATCTATTTGTATCTATCAAATATAGATTCATTGGTTGATAAATCAACTGAATATCATGGGTATAAGTGGGCAGTAACGTTGAGATGGCGGATAACGTTGAGATGGCGGACCCTCGGAACGAGGGGCCGACCAGAGGTTGCAGGTGAGCGGCAGCTTACAAATCATCTAGGGCCCGGTTATATAAGTATATTGAGATTATTATCATATTACCATTATCACCAACCACATCTAAAAGGGAGCCACGCGCTATCATCTTTCAGTTTGGAGAGTTGTGTCGCAAACCTGCCATGCTGTTTCCACAGGAGAATGAATACCTAGATTTACAATGTGGCGTTCATCTCCACTTATCTAAAACAGAGCGTATCGTTAGTTAAAGGACAACATATCATGGATGTCGCTGCGATTATTTTATTTGGCAAGTAGCAAAGCGTCATCAAACTAAAACAAAAGTAAAATAGATGAATGTATATGAGCATCAGAAAAACGTTTCATCTTAAAACACCCCTACAACAGTATGAGATGACCGACCCTCTATAATATCATATATCATATGCAGAAACAAAGAAAGGGATAAATAAATGATAATGAAAATGAAAAACAGTTCCCATTGGAGGGAGATTCCCGTACCAGTAGCGCGAAATGCCGGCCAGCGAGTAATATTGTTACTGAGAAGCGGAAGGAGCACACAAAACAGAATATTATCCCTTATATCAAACACAAGAAGCGGGGGGTGAAAGGGACAGGAGGCGGGGTTGGTAGAAAGGCGAGGAAGTGGAGGTAAGAAGATGAGCAGTTGTGTATGGGCCCTGCAAAGCCTGTGAAAAGACAGGAGATGCAGAGTCACATTATAGGAGGGGAGCCTCCTCCATAACCTGTAGACCCACGTATACATATCGATATATATATATATATATATATAGATAGATAGATAGATAGATAGATAGATAGATAGATAGATAGATATAAGCGGTATGGGCAGATGGTATCAATGACATCTCCTGCTCCCCCATCAACCGTCGCCGTCGTTCCGTTCCAGAAAGCGGTTGATATGTCAAACAACATCAACGTCAACGCATGCT